GGTAGGAGTATTGATGGTTGTCTTTATTCTCAGTCAATTATATTCTTACAATGTTAACTTGAATAGAAAACAAACATTATAAGGCTGACCATGATATAACACCGAATCGACACTTCAGCGAACTCGCCTGCGAGCTCGAATGCAAAACCTAACTTCATTTTCAACTCTGGCACTCATAACTCCGTCAATTATGAACGGATTTTATTCAAATTTGAAATATAAGTAGATGATATCAGTAATTGGCGGAGGGAATTAGGTTAGGTTTTGCATTCGAGCTCGCAGGCGAGTTCGCTGAAGTGTCGATTCGGTTGATATAACACATAACATTTTACATTTGATAACTCGACATCTCCTGGTTATATAATGTCAATTTACACCTCCTAGATCTTCTTCTTACTGAAACTATAAGAGAATCAGAATTTTGTACATACATATGCAAATGCAAGTAATGTAATTATTTTCAGAAACGGTAAAGGTTTCAGTCAACGATAAATGTTTTCTTCGACTTTTATAGAAAACATGTCTGTGGGAAGCTTAAAAACTTTTCTCAAGGCGCTTAGTTTGGACTTAGGATTCTTAGGTCCACGAAACGCAAATAAGTTGACACCGGGTCCTAGCACTCTATCAAGTTGTGTTTGAAGTGAGAACGTCTCACAATCTAAAAATAACAGAAAAACTTATCCAAGGACTTATAAGAACAAAACACAGCGTTTTGGTCAATTTGAATAAGAAGTTTATCAGCAAATTTGAGGCAAATAGTTGAATAATCCTAGAAGTTACTTACAAGTTAGGAGTGTTTACGAGATTATTAACGCGTACAACATGAAGCCGTATTACCCTACATGGTTATACGGTCTCGATCGAAGGAATTTTATAATAATCTCGATCATTCTCCACGCTAAACATGGTATGTGTACGAAGTTTGGGCATATCGGGGCCGCGCCATAATTTTGAATAATAGGACCGGATTCACGCCATCGAGAACCCTAACGCGTTTTGTGACTGCTGTATAACTGCCGCATGGAATATTCTAATTGTAATGACGTTGCTATATTAACAGAGGTGGGCAGTAGCGCGCTACATGTAGCGGCCGCTACATTTTCAGTAGCGGTAGCGGTAGCGGCGCTACATTTAAGGCAATGTAGCGGTAGCGGTAGCGCCCGCTACATATTTAAGTAGCGATACGATGTTTTGCCGCTACAGCGCTGCCGCTACATTTATAGATAAAGCCTTTAGATTTTACTTAATAGTATTAAATATTATTTAAAAACCAGCATGATATATACATAATATAAATTAAAGAATAAAACTGTACGAAAGATTTCGGTGTAATGTTGTAAACCTCAGCCTGTTACTAGTGTCAACATTTTAATTGTTACTTGTTAAGTTGTTACCAGTTACCACTTACAGGTATTTTTTTCATGTTTCAGTTTGCTTACAGTTATTTTTACACAGTTATTTTTATACTTCACCTTCCCTACATGGATGTCTACTTTAATCTACCAATCTCAAAAATAATCCACATATATATACAAATAAACGACTGATTTTTTATATGTATATGTGGATAATTTTTGAGATTGGTAGATTAAAGTAGACATCCATGTCGGGAAGGTAAAACATAAATATAACTGTGACTTTTATTTACTGTATCTAACCCGTACTAGTTCGGTTAGGTTAATTGCAATAAAGTTGCAATGATATGTTTTGACAATGTTTTATTGTCATTAAATGTTTATGAGTAAATCCCAATAGCAGAACAATAAATATTTAGAGATTTCCAATAATTTTGGCCATTGTAGCGGCTAATGTAGCCGCGCTACATTTTACTGTAGCAGTAGCGGTAGCGGTAGCGCCCGCTACATTTAGGGCATGTATAGTGGTAGCGGTAGCGCCGTTACATGCCAAAGTAGCGCTGCACAGCTCTGTATATTAAGCAAGCAATAATGATTATTATCTGCCAAAATAATTATTAATTAATCTTACTGTGTAACATATATTACTCATTAGTAACATTGAATAATTAATCGAATTCAATAAGTTATTCTAATAGCAATAACATAAAAAATCAACTCATGAGACGTTACATGTTTTTGTTTCTGTGAGTGATGTTGAATCACTTGACAATCATGTCAATTGCAGACTTTTAATGCAGCTATGTATAAATAGTTGCTTGTGACAGCATATTTTTTCCATTCCGAGCATTCATGCATCATGGCCGGTGACATGACTGAAATCATCTAAAAGCAGACAAACGACGTTCTTCATGATGACCCTCTTAGTTTATGATATAACAGTTCCAATGGACTACGTCACATTAAATGTAATCCTTTCGGAGCAATAAGTGACAGAACTGAACCAAATTGTGACCATCTGTTGCGTTTAAATTGTTTGAAAACGTCCTCTGACGTCACCCTATTTACTACAACACACTCCGGTAAAGGCGGTAGTGCAAAAACTATCGTGTCTGGCTAGTCGGAAAGAGGTGCGTCAGAACGGAGGTTGGTTCCATTATTTTCTAATGCACTTTCGCCAAGCCTGCATTCTAGGAAAGTGGTACTTTGGTGTGAGTCAGGTTCGTTTGTTGATCTAGCTGTTTCTTATGTTAAAATAAGGCCTGAATTCAGCAATTCAACACCCAATCATTTATCAGTACAAAGGAATTTTTAGAAATCTACGTTTATATCAATGGCATATCATAAATGCTATATTTTTTCAATTAACAGGAACTTGTAAGCACTTGATGTTCTTCTTTATATTATAACTCACAACATTTTCTCGATTCTCGGGTATGCAGGAAATTGTTGAAATAAATTTCATAACCCGAATTTGATTGACAAACTTCCATGAAGTCAAAGAGTTCATTGGTACCGGTTTATCCAACCGGTTTTGGAACACGGGCTGGAACATTAGAAAAAAAGGCTAAAATGCCATTTCACCTTGAACTGTTAAACGATGAATTCAATACCTCTTAGGAGAAGATCTACTGCTATATGCAGGATAACGTTTTAACGGAATCACCGGAAGTTGTAACGTCAAAGAAAGCTCTGACGAGTCACTAATATTCCAATAGGAGCTTGCCAAACAGCATTCGGAGGGTTTCCGTTATAGTAGCACTTGGTCTTTCTCTCTTTCCCTCGAATTATTATGAGTGTACTAAAATGTGGGATTGCAAGAGAAATTATTCAAAGTGACGCGTAGTATATATATATATATTTTTTTTATTGCTGTGGCTGCACACTTATACTCGAACTCAGTTGCGCAGTCACGTTCTGAGCGATGTATTTTTACGGTTATTCCATGAACCGCACAGGAGAATCATCCTAGCTAATAACTATATTTTTCTGGCTGAGCTACATATGCTTACGGAACACTATTCTTGCTATTGGTTGATGTTCATTCAGTTCTTGCTTTTTTAGCACGCTGTAGTTTCTCGTGGTTTCTGCCTAGTAAATGACTCTTGCATAATTTAATTAAGAATTGTGAACACTGAACCAGTCTTCAGTAAACGAATCAGTTGCATTGATACATGATACATTTATTCGGGCAGTATCAGTCATTCGAAATGATTAAACCGTGCAGCATACTCTGAATTTAGATTTCTCACGAAAGTACATTCGTTAAACTAAAACTTTATACAAGTGATTTCATGGAGTAATTCTGTGAGAGCTAAATGTTTTAAGCATCCAAGTGAGGTGACATTAGGATAGACCGTGTGAGCCAGATAATACAGAGCTGGTTTGCGCTCAGGAACATATACGGAGTTTTAGTCATGCGAAGCGCTGATTTAGTTTTCTACTTATCTATCAAAACATTTTCTCGATTCTCTGACATAAAGAAAATTGTTGAAACAAATTTTATACCCCGTTTTTGAACACGGGCTTGAATATTTTGAATATCGGGTAGAAAAATTTAGTTTACTGTTACTATGAGAAAAACTCCTTTGAGTCAATTATTGAAGATTCTCTTTTTGTTAGGTGTAATAACATAAACGCTTTCGTAACTAATTGAAAGCCGATACAAATGAACTCATAGTGTTAATTTCCTTTTCGAAATATCATCGTATTCTTATTTACTCAAAGCGCTTTGTTTATAGCAACACTTCCATGCTCATTACCTACAAGCTTCTTACCGTTCAAAATTCTCTTGAGCTAACCTCTTTGAGCTAACCTTTATTCTTTATTCTCTTGAGCTAACCTTTATTGTTGAACTTATTCATTCTAAAAATATTTTGAATTTCGCAGCTAAACAAAAGCTATGCTTCTTATTACAATGTTGTCTAGATTTGTCAAACGCATTCACTCTGCATGGGACAGGATGTTTGAACTTAATCACGGTGTATAGAAGCAGCGTAACACGCAACAGTGCATGATTCACAGAGCCTTGCCTGGGAGAACATTCTAGAGTTCTCTGTATGCGCCAGTCTCTTCGACTAGTTTTGCGTCACACAGCGTAAACTATCTAGTAGTTTCTTAGCCATTTTGCGTAGCATCGTCTCACGAAAGATCAATTTTTATGGAAGCCCAATGTTGCGGAATCGTCGTTATTGTTGTTATTTATGAAATAAAAATCAACGATAAAGTGTTTATCAATTTTCAAATGGCCACAAGCTTCTCTTTATACATATATAATAAGAAGCTCATGGTTACATGAAGAAATGTACAAATGTTAATCTAATTACACTACTTTTTCATTCATGCTTAATTCCCATTATTAAGTTTTTTCTTCGCTTACCTTAAGAAATGTAGGTATAGATCCAGCTGAATCCATCATTCGTAGAAGGTATTGACGCTTTCAAGTTTCTAGAGAGCACAGAACAAGAGTGACCAACTAACAATTTATCCCATATTCAACGAAAGAAAGTTTCAAACAGCTGAGCCTCCATTGTGATTCCAGGAAAGAAGTTGAACAAAGCACAGGCCCTTGAGGTGACCTCAGCATATCCCACCCAATCCCACCCGTCACGTGGGGCTTCAACCACCGGCCACATAAGCAGCCGAGCAACGGTGCCCGGCAGTAGTCGTGTAACTGCACTCGTATGAGACACATGGCGCGCGCGTTTTTCGCTACAAACTCAGTGGTGTTGTTGCTTGCCATCATAGCAAGCACGCAGGCTCAGCAGCGAGATGCCAGATTTTTCAACGCAGGAAATTTCTGGGATGGATTTGAAAGCGGGTAAGGCTAATTCGTAACATCACTATTTAAATTATTTACCTGTGTAGACTATTGCATAGAATAGTTTGTATATTCTTATAATGTAGAACCATAATGCATAGGCTAAGTGAGTAGGAATGTTTTTTTAATCTTTTAGCGTACAAGTAAAACTAAAACATCATATACATCGAATACATCACTCAGTAGATGTATCAGTTCTGTGATCCGGGTGCCGACCATTAGTTATGAGAGCTAAGTAGTGAGTACTTCTCAATAAGATGATCTTTATCGCCATGACCTGCGGTTTTTATAAATGATTATTAAAAGGTGCAAAACATTTTTTACTGGCAGGCAAAGAGAAACCATTGTATGACCTATGAGACTTCATCTGCAATAGGTAGCCAGTAATTCGTGCAATAGAAAGCTTCCTCTTACGTCATTTGGCAAGCGAGTCCCGCAATAATTGACGGTTTGCGCAAGAGAGGCTAACTTTCTCAGACGGCTTAAAACTTCTTAATTCTTTGCGGACTGAAACTCGTGAATCTTTTAGTTTCAATTCATTTGTGTTTCTTGATTGAATTTCACAACATTCTATTGGGTTTCAGTCCTTTCTGGCTTTAGTATGAGCACAGTTAAACCAGTTTATCCGGGATTCAATTTTAACCGGATTCAATTTTCAATTTCATTACTCTTGCAATAATTTTCTGCGAGCATCAATCTCAATAGATGTTAACTGATGCTTCTTTACATGAATAAATTTCCGCGTAGTTTACGCAAATCAATTAAAGGCCAGAATATTTATGTCTTTATCATCTCAAACTTAGAAGGTCATTGGGTTCAACGTATCAAGTAAACTGTGTTTTTTCTTGAAACTTGAATTGCTTGTTTAAGAAAAGGATTATACATCGTCAGTTTGATACGTATTAACGTATATTATATAAGGTCGGTCTAGCATAAACTTCTCTTACGCAGATAATGATTTATGGTCGGTCTAGAACGAACTAGTCTCTCGTGACAATTTAAAATGATATCCCAGATGACAACTCTGCCCTGACAGATTGTCGAAGGCTGGAGTCGAGGTACAGAAGAGACTGGACAGCAATCTAGAGACCGCAATGGACAACCTGTCGTACCTCGGCAAGTCTATCGGATCGTTATCTGACCGCATCGAGTCTCAGGTCAGTTCTTGATCTGGAAATAACGTGATTTTGTGATACAGAATTCTTTATGAATTTGGATTTCAGATGGATGTATTTCCAACGTATTTCTATGAACGTATTCTTACACGTCAAATGTATTTACAAGCGTTTATTCTTGCACGTACGCGTTCCGTGTTGTGCAGTTAGTTAGTTGGGATAAGTAGAGAAATCTATTATTTACAACGATCAACGCGCCACTATTACAATTTATTTCGAAAATTAGTATATTGAGGTTACACTCGTCACCTGGTAAATGTGATTGAAATTTATTGCGATGAAAATAAAATGCGAACAATGCCCCGTTGTTTTGAACAGGTGCAAGAATCGCTGCCCAACTGGATGCGCGATCCACCCCGCCGGCGGCTCCACGTGAGCTCCGTCAACGACGAACCTGTCGAGGCGGTCATGGGCAGCTTCGGAGAAGATGGACTGGACGATGGGCTTAAGGTAAAAACACATATTGATTTATCAAGTGCATTCTCTATTATGCAATATTTATGTGAATATATTAATGTTGCATCAACGTTGGTTTATGCATCTTTCCAGCTAAAATTAATATTTCGATGACGTTGGTCCTATAACAGGGGATAAATTAACTATTCATTTTTACACTGCAGTTCACTGAACTTGAGAGATAAACGTTATATTCGTTTATTTAAAGGTATACTTGAAGGGCGACGCAGACAAAGCTGGAGAGCTGCCGGAACCTCACATTATTCCCGGCGAGTCGGTGGACTCCTTCATGGGTTTCGACAAGGAAGAATCTAATCCCGAGGCAGAAGTGTTGCCTCCACCTCGCAACGGCGGGCCTCTTTTCGACTTCAGACTCAACATTGACGATAGTTTCCCCAGATGTGAGTAAGATTATTTCACTGTTGAAGAACGATGTTCTTCCAAAGATACATTAGAACTTTTTCAGACGGAAATAAAAATTTGCAGTCCATTTTCGAAAAACGCCACACTAATTTGTAATTTTGTATCTATATTTTAATATCCTAGACGCTGATATCATGAGTTTATCTAATAAAAACAAGACAATGATAAAAAAAAATATGCTGAACACCGTCGTAAATTGTGAAGTGAATTGAAGTGTCCTGCGTAAATGTAACTTAGATAAAAAAATCTACTTATACTTAACTAATTCGTGTTTCTGGGTTTTTTTTTGTTTTAGTTTGTTATGTGGCTGCATTTCGTGTCAAAATCACTGATCTGCATTATTACTTGCTTTCTTCAGTGCCCGACATGGTCGACTTCGCTCGTCCTTTCTTCTTCAACGCCCCCCGATACCAGCCATGGTGGAAAGGGTGAGTGACATTTGCGCAGTCGTTACGTTCATTTATTGATCTTTATTGCTTACTTACCAAGAGCTCTTCTCGGTAGCTTTCTTTCTCACAAGCTATGCAAATAAGACAAGCAAGAGAGAGACGGGTCAGGTTTTTGCGTCGTCACGTCGAGCGCTCATCTTGCGGTAGCCTGATCACCTGACGTAATGACAACAGTAACAGTACTTTAATTGTACTGTTATTCAGGCTATAACAATACTGTTATGGTGGCTATAATAGTACTGTTATTGTGGCTAAACAGTACTGTTATCGTGGCTATAACAGTATCGTTATTCAGGCTATAACCGTACTGTTATTGTGGCTATACCAGTACTGTTATTAAGGCTACAACAGTACTGTTATTGTGGCAATAACAGGTCACGCATCGCTCATCACTGCATAACTGTCTGCCTGGCATTCTTCGAGTTGTTGCAACTTCGATATACGAATGTTTTTCGTGGATTGTGACTTGGAGTATTATTTCGTTTAGTTTTGAATTAAAAAAATCAACAGTAAATTGCAAGTCATTGCTGTTAATTCAGAACTCGAATACCTAGAATGAACTTTTTTTGCGGAAACCCAAGCGAAATACTTTTTATTTCTGTCGTTATTTCGTCATAATTTTGATGCGATATATTTGAAGTTTGAATCGATGAATAACGCGTTCGACGAATCATCAGCGGATGTGAAGATGGGCGAGGCAGAGCACGCACGCCCCGTTACCGTGATCAGCCGACTGAATCACTGCACGAATTTGTATCTGTACTTTAGCGCATACAACGTACGAAGGCATGTGCCATGTACGCTCACTATGTGCATTTTGAACTGACGTATTGCTGGGGACGGTGTATAGTTTTTTTAACATTACATCGATTGCTATACATTTTCTATACTCTATAGGGTTTCGAGGGTTAATTTTCCTCTATCCATACACTCTCCGTTCTGATAAAATACGAGTTTATATTTAAAAACAATAATTTTTGTAAATTTTGAAAGGTTGACGATGGAAATGTTGTCAGCCGAGATTGTTGATAGAAGAGAAAGCACGCATAAGCAAAGAAAGTCTGCGGAGAAAGTCCACTGCGACGCGTTAGCTTGGAGTAACGGCCCCGTGTTTGGAATACAAATTTCATTGCTCTCAGAAGAATGGACGTATGATTCTCTAATGATATCTTTACTCCTGTGGTTTGCATAGAGTAAGCCTGACTACCTGATCAAAATCTCGCTTCTGGCGTGCCGTAATTACAAGTATATATGACGAAAGTTTTTCCAATTCGACACGCACTGCCGAAGCTGATACTGCACGACATGCATGGCTTTGATCGAAACAGAAGAACTATTAAAGTCTTTTCTAAAATTCATTTTGCATAAGTCATCAGAGACGGTTAAAAGATGGATTGATTCTCAAGCCAAAACAACGAAATATTTGTAATCATGTGAACGCGATGTCTGCTATATATCTTATTTATTTTGCTTAAAAATTTGTCTCGGTAAAATTCATCAAAGCAAATTTCGGTGTAAACAATATGCTTTTGATAATGCGATTTTCAGGTTATGCATGAAAATATTTAAAATTAACTAAATAGAATTCTGCATAAATTTCTTAATAAATGTTACGTAATTAGTCCTGCAGGCGAGTTGCACTTGTAAGGCTATACCGCTTATTAAGTTCCACATGAAGAACGATATTCAAATCTTCCTGAACCTGCAGTGTACAAGGGCCCTCAGTATCGTGCTTGAACCACACTTTGTCTCAGTGCCACATCGAGGTTTATATTTGAAAAGTATGGTGATTAAGAGACCACGAAAGCAGTATACTGATACTTCCTGACACTGAATATGAACGGTATAGTGTGTGCATTCCTTCGTGTTGGAATTTCGCTAGATGGAGAGGAAGAAATGGCAAGCATTTTAGATTAAAATCTTCGTCGAGAAGATTTTGAGGCTATAGCATACAGATATAGCATACAGATATTTCAGTTCGAAGTGTCGAACTTCGACCTCTGCCTCGCTTTCAGCACAAAATTACAGCTACATCCTCGACTGTCCAGTGCCAAAAAAATTTTTTGCTGATGAACCACCATCATTGACACGACCGAGATAGATGGCTTGATGATCTACACTAACTTCAATGCTTTACACTGGTTTAATGCTCTACACTAGCTTGTTGCTCTATAATGGCTAGATGATCTACTCTGGCTTGATGATCTACATTGACTTATTGCTCTAAACTGGCCTGATGCTCTACACTGGTTATTGGTTGCTTAGATAGATATGCTCAATCCTAGCTTAATGCTCTCTTCTGTTAAGATGGATGTGCTCTATACTGGCTTGATACTCTACATTGGCTTAATGCTCTTCACTATCTTGTTGCTCTACACTGGCTTGATGCTCTACACTGGTTTAATGCTCTACACTAGTTTGTTGCTCTATAATGACTAGATGATCTACACTGGCTTGATGATCTACATTGACATGTTGCTCTATACTGGTTACTGGTTAGATAGATATGCTCAATACTAGCTTAATGCTCTCTACTTTTAAGATGGATGTGCTCTCTACTGTCATGATCTCTCTACTGTTAAGGTGGATATGCTCTACAATGGCTTGATGCTTTATACTGGTTATATAGCTCTGGATATAAGTGCTGTATTGTGCCGAGAGCGGTGGTGTGGTGGAAGCAGAGCAGGCCATCAGGTCGTCTAACGTTCTACAGACCAGTCGTGCCATAAAAAACATGCAAAAAAGTATCACAACATTGAGTTCATGCTTGCATGCTAGGTGTCGGTCAAACGGGCCTACTTTATTAGAAAGATTTATTGGGAGAACTTGGTTTCTTGTTTTTGAGTATATAGTATACGACGTATTTGTTGTATAAATATATCCAACGTGACTTTTCGATGAATGTTCATAAGGTATACATATATGTGAATTATTTGATCGTAGTTCTAATTAATTAATAAATTTTCAGGAATTTTGTTCCATATCTAACATTGCTGGGGAATGGCTTCAACCAAATCAACAATATTATAGTCTTCAATGCGCAAACATACATTCTTTGTAGTAACTCAAATATCGCTGTGTTCGCAAAGTACCATCTAGTTTTTTCTGTTTCTTAATAATAATAATAATAAATCTCGACCAGATATCAAACCATCGAACAAGTGGTTTCTCATAGTCATAGTACACGAAACAACCCAAATACACTGCAACCATTTGCAAGAAGCCGACTGAGATGTTTTTTACTCCATGACAACCGTGCAATTTTGCTTCGGCCTTATGTTAGGCCTAACGCGCAGGTCGAAATCGTACGACTTTAGAAGGGTAAGCCAGTGGTATGATGAAGGCAGACATAGGATAAGGTTTAGGAGGTGACAAGTGAACACATTAGTGTTAACTGGCAACATCCTGGCTTGCAGGGAACACTCGACGCGCTCCCGCTGGCTTTGTGCTTTGTACCTCTATTGTATGATACAATATATATTTTATACAAATTATATCTGTTTTTAGACTATCAGTAATAATTGATTGATATCGATTAATTCATTTTTCAATCGATTTCTTGAGCAATCGTCCGTTCTATTGATTTTGGGTCACTTTTTATGTTTTTATTGTTTAATTATATAATCGTTTTCATGCGTAGAAAAGTTTTACATGTACGACTAATAGTCAGATGCATACGTACCTTTTATCGCATTTTCTCATTTATGGAAAAAAAAGCACTATTGTGCTTGTCATGTCCGTCCGTCTGTCTGTCTGTCCGTCCGTGAATTCACGTTTTCGTCGTCGAGAAAATGCGCTCTCTGTCAGTGAGTACTGAGTTATATTTTTTTGTTTTCTGTGTAATTGTAATTTTTTAATTCTGATTACGGTAAATGATATTCCAACAATTTTGTGATGATAATTTATGGTCGTTCTTTAATGTGCAGCGAGAACGTGTGCCTCACCGAGAGCGAAATTAACGAAGCAGAAGCTGATGCTACCGACGACACGCCAGGCGAGAGCAGCGGTAACAGTAACGGTGAGTATCAAAACTTGCACGATTACTTGAAACAGTGTCTTTGCAAGTATTCAAGGTAACTACCTCGAATTCTGCTTGAATTATTATTGTCTTATCTATTGTCTATTCTTCTTCTCTATTGTTCTATTATCTTCTCTACCAAGATAGCTTAGAACTTTCTGGGGGATTCCTACAAATAAATTTATACCGATTCCTGACTTACTTTTTAGCGCATTTTCTCATTTATGGAAAAAATGCACTATTGTGCTCGCCATGTCCGTCTGTCTGTCTGTCCGTCCGTCTGTCCGTGACCTCAAGTTTTCGTCGACGAGAAAATGCGCTCTCTGTCACTCACTGCAGTGAGTACTGAGTTATATTTTTTTTAGTTTTTGCATCGTCGGTGTTGTTATAGTCTCTCATTTAGTTTTCATTGTTTTTTTCGCGTTATATTATTTGAACCCTTTTTTACATTTAAAGGTAAGCACTCTAGAGCCACAACTGCTATGTTAATTAGTTCGATCCATTTTACTTTACTTTCTTCAAATAACGATCTGTAACTTGGTCGCCAAAAGTGATACCTGACTTTATCGTCGACAGATGCTCTATATTCTTCTTCTCTTTCTATGCGACTCAAAAATATCTGTATTTCACGTTTACGTTAAATTTCACAGGTACCACTATCGTTACCGATGACGCCGTTACCGAAGCCGACGATATCATTAAGGGCGAGATCGAGCGCGAGAAACGCGTTCAAGGAGAAGAAGCGGCGGCCGCTGACTCTGGCTTAGGCTTCTTCTTCAGTCAGATGGAGATCAAGTCTTGCAGCGAGGGCCCTGAAAAATACACATGCACAACAAGGTTCGTGTGTCTCCTGATCTCCGTAATTAAAATTAATATTTTTTCATTTTTAAGTATAATTACTATGCGTGATCCTGGGCAAAGAACGGACCTTTTTTTATATAAAAGCGGACGCGTCTGAAATGAATAGGAGCTGATATTCGTCCGAAATAAATACATTTTGCTTCATTGATCTCAGCCGTTTCTAAATCGCACCTAACCACTGTTTGACATTATGACGTGGTGAGCTCATTCCAATCATCATGTCGTGTATTAACTGAAATTGTTACGACACGACATCATGTCGTGAATTAACTGAAACTCTTCCATTTATTTAAGTGTGTCATTGGTATAAACTATGGAAAAGACCTTATAACTTCTATCAAGAATCCTCTTACAATGTTTTCTTTCTAAATACTCTAAACGTAGCGATGCCATTTTTCAATGAGTGATCAGCTTTTTTATTATCATTATTTTTGTCGGTATTGGATGGTTTTCATTCAGAGTAGTTACCGTTGAATCGCTATCTAGTGTAGCAGTGAAGCAATGTCATCACATCCGGCCTTGACAAGCTAGCGCCGGCCGCACCGCCCACGCCTGCGCTGTACGAGTCTCTTCCTTTTGTGCTTTGTTCGGCTCATCATTTCCTTCCATCCTGTGCTATGCTCGGCGAACCTCGTGACCGACCGACGTATCTTATTTATTTTCAGAGTAATGTTGGCGAACGAATAATATTCGCGAATGGATGCAGATTCGCCTCTTTTAGTGTTAGGTGTCTCAACCCATTGCTTCCTTTATTTACATTACCTCATGATCATTGTTATCTCTCACGCATTCATATATTTTTATCACTCCATTTTTATTAAATTATTGAACTTATTGACTTACCTACTAGTTCATTGTGTCAAAAAGTCGACTTGGTTATACTTAATGTTTTTTTCTCTCCAGTAATTAATTATTTAATGTCATCTTTCTCTCATCGAAAGGACTCGCAAACGCGGCATCAACCGCACCATTCGCCAAGAATATCGCTGCTGTCACGGCTTCGTAAGAGAGCTCCAAGGATGCACAAAAGGTAAGTAACTCCCTTGCTCTGACTGTTGCAATCAATAACTAACTTAATCGTTCATTTCTTCTCTGGTTTTGAAATAGCTACTCATAATTATTCCAGCATAAATTCCATTGCTTACTTATTACTGTGTAAATTGTTATGTTAAGAATGTGCGAGTCAATGTTGCTTTTTGAAGTGACCCTATTATCTTGCACCAGTCGTTTAAACAATGTTAAGTAATTTTGTTCGTACCCTCAGTTGACCTGGTGCCCCTGCCCGACTCGCTGGAAGCCTTGGGCTTGACTGACTTCCTCTCGCTCGCCAAGAATGCCGGCCTGGTAGAGGTTCTCCGTACCATGAACCTCACCATCTTTGCTCCCAATAACGAAGCCGTGCAAGACTACACTTCTGACCTCACCGAGAGAGTAAGCCGAGAATGAATCTGTTTTCATTGTAGTGAATAACAATTTTACAAACAACTTATTCTGTCATTTATTTTAGGATTGTGACTCGATAGTAGATTCTTATCGAATTGCTTGTATACACAGAATATCCTCATTTATTTTCTCTTAATACTATCCTAGGCTTAAGTTTAGAATTGCATTAATTCCTAATACAATTAAATGTGTTTGAAGCCTATTTCTGAGACGTTTCTGTTGCCCTCAGAATGACTTGGACATCACAGACAATGAAGTATATCGTCGCAAACGCTCCGCTGGCAGCGATATCATCACTGTTGTGAACTCACATCTCGTTAACGGCTTCTACTATGCCGGAGACCTGGAGGATGAACAGGTCAGACGGTGTGTGAGAGATAGTCTATTATATGACAGCATCAGCTGCCTCTGTAACTAGACATATTTCATTGTGTCTTTGATGTTGTCTTGTACGTCTCCTTACTTTCGTTTATTCTCTCTGCTTCTATTTAAAATTTGGAGACAAATTAAACTTCTAATTATCGATGCTATTTAATTAATAAATTAGGGCAAAAGTTAGGCTTCTTTTTAGCTTGATTCTGATTAATCAGCATCTAATTAACTTGTAATTAGCTCGACTTGCTTTTAAAAAGCCTCATTGCCTTCAGATCATCAAGACGCTGTCGGATGGGTCGACGGTGCGTATCAACGTGTACGCCCAGCAGACTCCGGCGATCGTGACGGCGAACTGCGCCCGCGTGGTCACTGCCAATCAACACTCCAGCAACGGCGTCATCCACACCCTCGACCGCGTCATGACGCGCGCCTCCCGCTCCATTGCCGACATCATCGGCAGCGACCCGCAGTTTACCACTCTCAAAAAATGTAATTTATCAGACCTTTTCTGAAGTTTACCAATCTCAAAAATCGTAATTTATCAGAAGTTTTTCTGAAGTTTGCCACTCTCAAAGAACGTAATTAAAGCCATCTTTCTCAAGTATTTACGTCACAGGAATTTGTAGCATTAGCTACTTATGGTGTGGTTCAACTCAATTCCCTGCTTCATATGTAGGTGCGCTTTACACTGTACGTAATATGTGTAGTAAGATGTAGGTAATGGTTTTGATTTTCCGAAAGGAATCTATCTAATTATGCAGGAATTGCAGTTCATCTTATGGTTATGGCGGGTACCTTCTAATATGCTAATATTTGATTAAAAAGAGTATCATTTGCATTCAAAACTTCTTTGAACTTTAGTTTCTATAGCTGTCTAATAATTCAGCCCGTACCAAGGTCGACGATTTTAAAATACAAATGGCATTTTTTTAATCATGTATGTCGAATATAACATGTGACTAAAAAATATACAACATGACACTGCATATCTTAGTCGATGTTACTCTCTCAGTGATGAGCGAGGCTGGGATGCTGCAGACGCTCCGCGACGACGGACAACTGACGCTCTTCGCGCCCACAAACGCGGCGTTCGCTGCCCTTCCTGACGGGGAACTCGATGCTCTCTTTGAGGGCTCTGCGTGCCTGCCCGGTGAGTGCTCTCTTCCTGACGGGGAACTCGATGCTCTCTCTGAGGGCTAAGCGAGCCTGCCCGGTTAGTCTCCTCTTTTTCGATGCCCAGCACGATGCTAGGCATCGTGCTGGTTATATTTACCTTTAAAAATACAGGTAAATATAACTGAAAAATAAACATAAATTTAATATATATATAGACAAAAGTGCATGTATTAATAGTAATTAAAATAGTTCCTTGAGGAATCTCATTTGGCATTCGATATTGATAACATGTTACGTATCAAAAAATGTAATCGAAATCTAGTTTGGAAGGTTCAATTTGGAAAATATATTTTCAGCCGTCCTGAAGAACCATGTATTGCCGAACGTGATCTGCACGGCTGCCATCACTAACCCAGAAGCCAAGACAGTTAACCTGCTGGAGAAGTACCTGAAAATAACCATGCGTGACAGCGGCAAACTCTTCGTCGAAGACGCCCAGATTGTTGCCAAGGATATCATGGCTTCTAATGGTGTAATCCACATCATCGACGCTCCTCTCATGCCTCTTGAAGGTTGGAAACATTACATGTAGTGATGAACATAACTCGGTAAAATATGATTTCATAAATGCCGTTTACACGAACTACATAGATTTGAGCAAATTTCGGGTTTTCTTGCTTTGTTTTCAGGAATTATTTCATAATTACTTATTTTTGTAACCCGCTTTATCTCACCGAAAACGATTCTTTCTTCAGCCAAGCCTGTTCTGGAAGTGTTGGAGAAACAGAACCTTACAAGGTTCCTAGAACTTCTCGAGCTTGCTGAGCTACGGAATGAAATCAATGAACTGAAAGACGTCGTTGTTTTCGCCCCCAGCAACGAAGCCTTCGACAACGTCCGCAGCGAATACCTCGAGGAACTCAAGGTGGGTGGGAGCTAGCGATTATTTTATTCCCAGCATTGCCCTCATAGAAAATGTGCATTGATGTGTGTCTAAGTACAACTTAGCAATAAAATAAGCTTAGGACCGCCCCTCCGGCCTTATGAAACACTTATTTTCGGGCGTTTGAATTAAACACCAGTACAAAAACATCGATATATGTCTTTTCAAGATTATAGGGTTTTACATTTTACAACAATTTCGTTATTGATGCCAGTTTTTGTCGTACAGAACGACGTGGAGCGTCTGCGCGAAGTGCTTCGCTACCACATCACCACTTCACCACTCAACCAACGCGACGTCAGAAACAACCACATCTCCAACACCCAGGCCGGCCACCCCCTCAGATTCAATCTCAACAGCGGGGTGAGTTATTTCTCAGCACTCGAGTCCTGCATGCAGCGGGGTACGCCCTTCATCAATATTATTCAGAAAAAGTTCAGATGCAGCAAAAGAATTTTTTATTTCGTTGAAGGCTCTGAATTATCGTGAGCGCTCTTCACACTTCAAAGAAATCCTATAGAAAACGGAATTGGTTTCGTTAGTTCACTGACTAGAGCAAAATTTAGGGAATAGACACAAATCTTGTGTATCAACTTGGTTGATTGGACCGCTGGTACCAAATTGTATGTAATCACAAAATAATAATAACTATCAAAAGTATTATCTTACTGAATTCGTTTGTTTCAGCCTTCGTTGTTCAGCTTCCTTAGCCCGTCCGCGTCGCGCGTGCGCATGACCGCAGGCTGTGGGCGCGTGACGCTCATGGACTCACGCGCATGCGGCGCGTCGGTGCACGTGGTCGACACGCTCCTCGAGCCCGCCAGGGAAGACGTCCTCGCCGCCCTCCAACGAGATCCTAACTTCTCCATCTTCACTAAAATTGCCAAGGTTTTTTTTTTTTTTGAGAAATAATTTAACATTTGGTGTACCTCATGTCCAATTTAATGCGTTTAAATGGTCAAGGTTTGTGAGGGATAATTAAACATTTGGTGTACCTCATGTTTAGTTTAATACGTTAAAATGGACAAGGTTTGTGAGGGATAATTAAACATTTGGTGTACCTGATGTTTAATGTAATGCGTTGCAATTGCCAAGATTTGGGGAATTACTTGAAGATTTTGTGTGCATCATGTTCAATTTAATGCATGGAAATTGCCAAAAGTCCCAGAGAAATAACTAAATATATGGTATATGTCGTATTCAATTTAATGCCTATGTTTTTATATTCTGATGCGTTACGCGGTTTATTAATCACCGGTCTTATATTGCTGCATAAAATGTATTAAGTATAAACTTGAATTAAAGATTTTCCTTCTACTAATATTTTACATCTTAGTCTTCAACGTTTTTCATTCGAACTTGATAGAATTTGATCAAATCTAGAGTAAGCTTGCGAAGCTATTTTTGCTTAATATCAGCTCATTATTACATTTCCTAATATTCTCCCGCAATTGTTTAATAAGATAAATTTCTGATGTCAGCTCATTATTTGCCTAACTAATAATCTCCCCCAATTATGTAATAAGATATTTTATCTAATGTCAGCGCATTATCAGTTTTTTAATATCTTCCCCAGTATATTTAACGAGCTGTTTTTTCCTCTCAGGAATCGAAGATGGCGAGTGAACTATCAGGACCCGGACCGCTGACGGTGCTGGCTCCGTCGGACCACGTCTTCCGCACCCTGCCGCAGGAGGAGCTGGACAGCTTGCTGGCTGACGAGGAGCTGAAGGAGGAGATCGTCAGGCGACACACTTTGCGGGGTGAGAACTTCACAGGGCAAACTCGTACCGTCGAAAATACAACAAATTTTTTGTGTAATTTTGAAAATGGTTGTAGGTAATTTCACATAGTTTTATTTTTCGATGATCACGAAGCTTGAATAGCGCAATCGATTATTACATCTTAACTTAACTAAAAGCAAATTCCTCGCGTTTGAGAAAACTTCAAAGGTTGGTACAAAAAATGAATAAAGTGCAAATTGGAAGAAGAGGGCGCGATTGTTTAAGAAATGCGCTCTACCTTTGCTTATTCCTCAAAAGCATTGATAACATTTATAAACTAGTTTATTTCCTCCACTTTGTGGTGGAATAGCATTATTCCCACCAGGCAGCATTAATGTATCCTGATATCACCAACATTATTTTCATTTTAAAATGTATTTTTCAGAGCACATGTGCTGCTCGAGCATCCCGTACAACTCGTTCCCATTCAGCAACCACGCACGCACAGCACACGGCGACACCCTGCACCTCCACCAGAGCCCCGGCGGCCTCCTGAAGGCGGGCTCAGCGCGCATCACCAACTGCTCCAGCCCTAAGAGCAACGGCCTCATCCACACCGTCAACAGGTTACATCTCCCACTTATTTATTATTTATTTTTTTCCCCGCTTATTGCTTCTCGTTTGCAACCTTGCTAAACGTTCGGGAATTTTTATTAGCAAATACATCCTCAACTTCCTTCCTCAGCCATTTATCATTTCAAATACACCAATTTTGAAGATGATAATTCGGAATTTTGATAATTTCAACCCGTTATACTTAATAAGTTTTGAGCTTCAGCAAACACCTTCTTATTATTTTAAGAGAATATCCCACCGTATTTTCGCGACAATATTGTAATCTTTAACTGATGAAAAAATGTTAGTTTTTTTAGCGCATTTTCTCATTTATGGAAAAAATGCACTATTGTGCTCGCCTGTCCGTCTGCCTATCTCTCCGTGATTTCACGTTTTCGTCGACGAGAAAATGCGCTCTCTGTCACTCACTGCAGTGAGTACTGAGTTATATTTTTTTAAGTTTGCTGACAATTGTAATCTGACGCAGGTTGTTCGTTGAGCCTCACGTGGCGCGTGAGCGTCCCATCACCGACCGCTGGAACTCGGTGCGCCCTCTGGTGCTGCGCCTGCCGTCCTTCACACACACCATCTTTGGCCACTGATGTCTTCCGATGTCCACCAAAACGTGACCACGCAGGAGCGCCGCAGCAGCAATGTTGCGGTTTAAGGCTGAACGGAAACTTGTAGCGAAGTAAATGTTCGTCAGCTTGGTTTTTGGTTTTGCATGTCATGGCTCCAGTTGTTTACCTGCAAGTAAGACGAGTTTTCCATTTCAAAAGCATACAAAAATACAAACTTTTGACAATATATATATATTTTTTTAATTTCGAACAATGTTTTCTTTCATTCGTTCAAGTTTCAATATTTTTTGTCTCCTTCCATTATTTTCAATGACGTACTTTTTCTCATTAGTATAAGTACGTACTAAAATTTGTAATAAATAATTAGTTCGGGTCCAAATTCCTCTGTTTTTAGCAAACGTGCACATTTGCATTCAAGAGAGTTTGCCGTGTGAACGAACTAACAATATTACAGCGCCGAGGGCCACATATATATTACGATGCAACTTTTAGTTGTAAACAAAATAGAAAGAATATATCTTCACCTTCGAATTTATTATTAAGTTTAATTTAGTATTTAAGTTCATTCAGTTAGATTTTATGAATGCTATTATCTACAGTTGTCATCAAGTTCTATATCTTGTTCTGTTATATTTACTGTCCCAATCCTACGGCATTACTTCCTTGTTTAGATTTTGATGTCATTGATTATTCTTTAATAAAATGCATAGAAATTGATGATCGAGTGGCTATTATCTACCTTACTCAGATCTTGCGTGCAGCGGTTTGATTGAGAAGTAAATTTTTATGTCGAGATTGCGATTCCGGAGCTAATTTTCAGAGTACAATTTGTTATAAATGTTACACCGCGCTTGTCGCGTCTGTGGTCTCGCCTGTCTGTAGGCGAGAGTGAATTTTTCAACAAGGTAACCTGTAATTGACATCAGGCCTGCCTTAGAAAGACAGCCTAATAACACTACTCGTTCAACTTACCGTTTAACTGCCGGCTGATTACATTGGAGTGTGGAGTGTGTTGTAAGTCAAACTTGAAGCGATTCATTAAGAGCTTTAATCCACAAGAACGCAATATTCTGAAACAAGAAAACACTTCTATAGAAAATACAAAGAACGAAATAACTGGATATATTCATACATGAAATGTCACACGTAAAGCGGCAAATTGCTGGATACTTGCAGAAAATGAGAATAGTAGTTAACAATGCAAGAGTCGAGTCAGTTCTGCTGATAGTCACTACTTTTCGATCAAAGTAACTTACTGGCATCCACTACGGTACAGAATAATATGTACATATGAAGACTACCCTAGAAACTTCACGAACGACCGAGTGTGCTGCGTCTCTTCCATCTAGGCATTAATAATTCAATGAGCGCTCACCTCATCCTACTATTATCTAATCGGGTGTTTCGTGTATTCAATACTCGTGCAGATTCGGTCGTTGCATGAATAATTTCGAAGCTCAGATAGCTATATCAGTCTGGGTATACGAAACAATACAACGAATGTGCACATGCAGCTATTAAACAGCGGAGTGCGTCGGTGATGGTCCGCAGCGTGGCCGGTCACGATGTATTTTAAGACTCCTCGTCTGTTGGCACGCGCTTCGTCTTGCTGCAGACAAGACGCGTCATCGAGCGTGTAAACAAGTAAATCTATGACATGCGATGATTGCAAATTCTATTCTTGTTCCTAGTGATAAAATTGCCATCATTACATGGGAAAGGTTCTTAATAACCAACCAAATTGCTTGAATTCGAAACAAGAACCAACACCAGGGGCCACAGCTGCAAACTAAGAAAAACTGCGGTGCAGCTCATCCACGCGACAACATTTCTTCTCGCTTCGAGTCAACGACATGTGGAACAGCCTCCCTGAAGATATTATAATAGAATAGAAGTGTCGGCGTTGAAGAAATAGGCCCATGACCTGTTGCCGATTCTTGAACTTTTCGTGACTTGATTCACAAGGGATCCGGCCTTTGGAACCCGATCTTTCCATAGCTGACGATTGATTGAGATAGCTGCTGGACTTATTGCCTGGTCCGTAATTTGCTAGGCATTTTAAGACTGAACATATGCTCCTGCATAGCTTCGTCTAGTCTGTTTTTGAAGATGTTCATACTCGGAGCGTCAACGATGCTATCAGGGAGGAGCTTCAACGATGCTATCAGGGAGGCTGTTATTGTTGACGCTCTGAGTATGAACGCGTTCAAGAACAGACTAGACAATGTCATGCATGAGCAAATGTTTAATCTTGAAATGCCTAGTACGTAGTACCCTACGGAATAACAGAAAGTCGAGAAATGATTTCAAACCACCGTCCGTTGAAAAGAGTTGATCAAAAATCCAGACTTTTTACATCTGTGAAATAGTCAAGAAAAGTTCAAGATTCGGCGATAGTCCTAGCCAGACCTATATTTCAACACCAAAGATACTATACTTCTATGCTAGATGCACACAGTCGAATTATAAAAGGCTTGTTCGGTTTCTTTGAAATGACGGAATATGCAAGCAATATCTACCAACTATAATCATCTATGTGAATTTTTATTTGGTTGACCCTTTTCACTACAACACGATAGTCTGTCAATAGATCACGTCTTGTAATAAGAACTCCTTGCACAGGAATACAATTTCTGATAAATCTAAAATCACAATTTGTAGAAGATTGTACCTCATGCATTAGTTGAATGCAAACGGTACTTACAGATATTTACGTTGATCAGTAGCTCCGGTCTTGCCACGTGTAAGAAAAATCGCGGAGATATAGATAAATAACGAGACGTCGGGCGAATTCTCAAGCCGTGTTCTCGCCCATGCCCAAAGTTTCTCGAACGTTTGCGGTCCTCGCTTGAGGGAGGGTGAGAGCAGCGGTACAGTGAGGTATAAGCTCAGGTCGGGTGCCAACTCCACAGCAGTGTCCAATCAAGGCTTGCCAAGAAAACACAGATTGAGCTTCCTGCTTTCGTGTTATTAGAATTCGTTCAAAGTAATCGCAAGCAACCGGATCTTGTTTTGAACTGTTTCAGGTAACGATCACAAACATTTATTTTTTGCCTGTCATGCTGATTTCTTGGCGTGTATTGTGAAGGGTAATAAAGAAAGTAAAAATTACTATATTTCAAACCAAAAATTATTACATAAGAAAATGACTAATAAGTTTCCTATAGCATTCATAGCTAAACTATCTCCAACATGATACAAAATAATTTCAGAGAATATGTCAGTTTGTTTCACATGTTTAACTTCGATGCTTCGACCCACAGCCTTGGAGCTCCTCTATGTAAGAGGTGTTTCTATGAGAGGTTTCACCAAGATAGGGTTGATGAAATCATAAGAAACCTTTTCACAAACCATTGATATCGTTGCTTATTCATATACTAAGATTTTTGCGCAGTACCGGAGAAAATTTACATTTTGCACTCATGAGAAAATCGATGACTTTATCCAACAATCCAAAATCGAATAATAACTTTTAACCCTGTAAAAACAGATTCTCCCGATCATTCATGGGCACCATTTCTTTATGAATGAATCTTTGGAGCCTGAATGAATCTTTGGAGCCACGCCAATGCATTTAATTACTCCAACTTAATCGGTCCATAGTTGTTTTCTCACACCAATGTGTCAATGGATGTCCCAAAAGAGTATTCGCTGCTGGCAACGCAAAGCATGCGTGCCAACAACGGTCACGTTTAGAACGATAACAAAGAGTAAAGAGATATTTGCCTAATACTTCCAATGTTACTGAAAAATTAAATAGACAGCGATGGTATGTCAACTCATATAACCCAGTCTCGCCGCATTCCCAAGTATACTATTGATATTTTACTTAAAATATGGAATAAACTATTCACATGAATTAACAATGCACCATGGAAATTAAGTACCATTACTAACCACTAGAGAAATCAATTTCTACGATAAACTGGCTAAATCTTTCAAAACCGTCCCAATAAAATGGCGGAAGATAACTCTGATTTCGACCGTTGTGCAGAATGTTCGCCGGGGCAGCAGACGCAGGGTCAACGGATGACCCGAAAGGGCCATGCGCAGGGTGCCAGCAGGAGGCTTCCCAGCGATGCGCTAACTGCAGGCAGGTTTACTACTGCAGAAGGGAGTGTCAACGAGGGCATTGGAAGGATCACAAGAACGACTGCAAACCTTTTAAGGTATTTAAAATAATATTAAGAAACAATATATATATCTATTCACTTGGATTTTATTGCGTGACACTGGCGAAAGCTATATATTTTCGTCGAATCTGATTCATTTGACCGACTCCACACGTGAAATTAAGTGCATAGCTCGAAAATAATCTCAGCTATAACGGTACAAGTTGCGCTTTTGTTGAGATTAATAAGTGTCAAAACAGTTCCAAATTATAAGATTGTCATTTCGGCGAAAGATAACTAAGTCGTGCAAAAGATAATTAGGTAGTCAAAAGATAATCAGACAGGCAAAAGATAATCAGAAATGTAAAAGATAATGAGACAGGCAAAAGATAATGAGATAGGCAAAGATAATGAGGTCAGACTTGCCACTGTGTGACGTGACCGAGAAATCGACGAGTCTCGCCATCGTCACATCAGCGATGGTATCTATACTACCGTGTTTGCTCGAGAATAGCTATCAAACATTTCATTTATGGATGAAAATCCCTTCCCTGACGGCAGAACAAGCTAATTTTAGACGCATATGTTTAACATGGTGCAACAGCACCGAAAGAGAGTACAAAGACAAACATTCTCTAAAAATTACTGTTAAATGAATTGGCTGAATTTAGAAAATGCGTACACCGGACAAATATGATGATTAATTAGTGATTTCTTTTGCGTAATGGATTTTACTTCAAGAAACGACTATTTTTATTCATCATAATTTAAGTAGACGTTCATGCGAGCTATCTTGCTCGCCGGAGAGCTGTGAACAGCACTTGTATATGATCATAATCTAGCATTCATTCGATTTTTTCACTACTTAAGTAAAGAAAGAAAAAAATTGAAATTATTTTGAAGATTGATTGATATTTAGCAGTCATTTCACTAAAGAATTTTTTTCAGTAAAATCTGTTTACTGCTTACTGTTTACGCTACTGTACGTTACTGCTTACTGTTTACGTTACTGCTTACTGGTTACGCTACTGTACGTTAATGCTTACTGTTTACGTTACTGCACGTTACTGCTTACTGTTTACGTTACTGTACGTTACTGCTTTCTGTTTACGCTACTGTACGTTGCTGCTTATTGTTTACGTTACTGTACGTTACTGCTTACTGTTTACGTTACTGTACGTTACTGCTTACTGTTTCCGTTACTGTACGTTACTGCTTACTGTTTCCGTTACTGTACGGTTACTGCTTACTGTTTACTCTACTGTACATTGCTGCTCACTGTTTACGTTACTGTAACGTGCGTTACTGCACGTTACTGCTTACTTTACTGTCTACTGTTTACATTACTGTCTACTGTTTACGTTAGTGCTTACGTTACTGTCTACTGTTTACGTTACTCTCTACTGTTTACGTTACTGCTTACTGTTCACGGTACTTTTTTTTCTGTTTACGTTACTGTTCACCAATAAACGTTGCAGGAGACTCACGAACAGTTGAGCTTCGCCTGCGTTACGAATAATTCATGAACAAAAAGCTGATGCCTTCTTATGTTTGGCGATGGTTCAATGATGGATCTTTACTAAGAAATAGCACTGATAAGTTTTAATACTATAACAGAAAAAAAATAGAAAATGAATGAAACATAGAGTGTGGAGTTGCTTCTAAAATTGCTTCCTTTTTATTTGACAATGCATTTATTTTCAAGAAAATATATAATTTTCGAAATAAATGTAACAAGATAAACTATCTGAATTGAAAACTTTGGGAAGCAATACTAAGGCATTGGTATCGCCAGACAAACAACTATATTTGTTTCATTAGGTGGAGAAGAACTCCACTCTTGGACGCTACCTCGTGGCGACTCGAGACTTCAAAGCCGGCGACGTCATCATGAAAGAAGAGCCTATAGTGGTAGGGCCGAAGCAGCTAACGGAGCCCGTGTGTCTTGGTTGCTACAAGAGGGTGGACGGGTCATACAGGTAATTTAGTAGTGATCAACACGCATATAATCAAGTTGTACATACTATATTTCCGAAACACTAAGGTCAAACGTATTTCAAGTCATTGGTGCAGAAGTGAGTTGAGAATTTGACTTCCTACGTACTACCAAGATAGACAAATCTAGTCAAAAACATGTCATTGCAAAAGTTGAATGACGTCATTGGCATTCCTTTGTGTGGCAGGTGCCGCCATTGCACGTGGCCCATGTGCGGACCAGCATGCGAGGAAGCTCCAGCTCACAAGCCCGAGTGTACCGTGGGCAAAGTCATGGGCTCACCTATTGAAATACAAGACTTCAATGAAGTGAACCACTTCTATGAGGTGGTCACTCCGTTACGGTAAGCTCTGCTCATTACTAAGCTTTGTGGTTAACACGACTGTAATTTTGCCTAACTCTTCAAGCTATATGTAGTAAAGAAAATATGATAACATTAAAAATTGTTTCGGTAGACTAGTCAAGTTAGTCCACGGCAATTAAATTAACTGCAATGTTATTATTTCCACTATTCAACTAGATGTATTATCTTCTATTTGACAGGTGTCTTTTACTGAAGAAGAAATCGCCGAAGAAGTATGAAGAGCTTATGGCCTTAGAAAGTCACTTTAATGATCGAAAAGGAACACATATCTACACTGAGAATCAAAAGAGAGTTGTTAACATGCTTCGCAATTATTTTATGCTGGTAGATTTCCCACCTGAAGATCTTGACGCCAGCGAAGCATCCATTCATAACATGACTGGAATCATCGACACAAACGCTGTTGATATCCCCTTACCTGAATCAGAGATAGTGGGCATCTACCCCACTTATTCCATGTTGGAACACTCGTGCACACCCAACACAAAGTATCGAGTGTCTTCAACGTATCAGTTAACTCTTAAAGCTGCAGTAGACATAAAAGAAGGCGAACATCTCAGCACAATTTACACACACATTTTGTGGGGCACGGCTGCTCGGCGAGATCTCCTCAAGTCCACTCGTTTCTTCATGTGCACATGTCGCCGGTGCGCCGACCCTACAGAGTTGGGCACCAACTTTTCAGCGTTGAGGTGCAACAAATGTCCGCTGGGTTTCCTGATGTCAGCTGCACCATTAGATCCACTTGCTGATTGGATATGCACCTCGTGCAACGCAACAATGACGGCTGACGAAGCGAACGATATAACTTTGCAGCTCGGAGAAGAAGTTGAGCAGACCTTAGAGAAAGGAAACGCCAAAGACATCGAAAATCTGATTGAAAAAAGTTCGTCCACAGTGGTACATCCCAATCATTTCCATTTATTCGCAGCTAGACATTCTCTTCTGCAGATGCTCGGCAGGGAAGCTTCAGGCTTGAACGAAGATGTCGTCAAAAAGAAGGAGGAATTATGTCGCGAGTTCTTGAAAACTTGCACCGCCATTGATCCTGGTATGTGCAAACTGGCTTCGTATGTCGGTGTGGCTCTATATGAATATCACCTCGCAGTGCTTGCTAGGACCAGACTTGGACCAACGGACACATTAGTGGACAAAGTGGCTCTGAAGACGGACCTGGATACCGCCAAAGCTCTCCTACAACAGTGTATCAAAGTTCTCCAGGAAGAACTACCAGAATCACCTGAAGGCCAGCTAAGGCTTTTGGCTGAACAAAACTTGATGGAACTGAATTTGTGGGAATCTCCCAGCGTTTGAATAATCCAAGATTCTGGGCAGTAGTGAAGATTATAGTGTTTGAATCTTCGACCATGAAACGCGTGTTGGTTATTGAGAAGTCTAGATCATTTTGATGGACTAGCCTCTATCAAAGACGTCGAAAGGTTGCAAGACACACGAATTAAAACAAATTTGAGATAAGAACAGGAAACTTCCTTATATACATCACTTCTAATCAGTATCACGGACCACATGAAAGTGGACCATTCATGATGCATGTGGTATGGAATAAATGGAAGAAATGTCAAATTAGAAAAATTTAATAAACTAAGAACACACGGAATGAACGATAATGTCACTTCAATGGGACAAGAATGTGAGAAAGAGTCATAAATGCAATAAAATTCATAACATTATACTGCTTATGATATTTTCATCCTTTTTTTTTTTTTGTTCCAACGCATAACAGCTCTTGAATACTTTGATGCATCAATTAATCAAGATATAAATACGTACAATCAAATAGAGTTATTCCCAGAATATTTCAGTATACTACGTATAACAAAGGAAATAACACTACTGCCATATATTAACTATTTTCACTATCTGAATTTGCATTACTTAATTAATAGATTTGTACGCATTCGATGGTCGTCTTATTTGGCGCGTTATTTTGAATTATAATAAAGACGCAAAACGTACGTTATTTTCAGTTATAATAATGGTGCAAAACGTACGTTATTTTCAGTTATAATAAAAGTGCAAAAAGTACCTCATTTTCAGTCATAATAACAGCGAAAAACGTACCTTTTTTCCGTTATACTAAAAGCGCAAAACGTACGTTATTTTCAGTTATAATAAAGGTGCGAAATTTCTTTATTTTCAGTTATAGTAAAGGTGCAAAACCTACGTTATTTTCAATTATAATAAAAGCGCAAAACGTAACAATTTAATGCGTCAGTACGATTATTGACCGATGGGACGGATCATCCAATGTTTCATCTACACTTACAAACAATCACATTAAACGCTAACTGCCGCGCAAAGTTTACCTTAATGAGTAAATTTGTATGCGTCAAATGAAATGTTTAATACGAAACAGTCATAGTTACAATTAATTTAAAAACACAAGTGCAAACACAATAACAATACCGTATATTGAAATACTGAAACGTATATACCGTATCGTACCGTACCGTATACCGTACCGTATATACCGTACCGTATATACGTATTGAAACGTATATACCGTATCGTTGAAATGAAATTTCCTAAAGATACCAGAGCAGGAATGTAAAGTCATATCACCACGCACCTGCCAGAACACTAGTAAATAGTACCATTACTAATACTAGTTTAACAATTAAACTGGCCCAAATGGCACGAACCTAAAATGCCACTTATAACAATGCATTCAAATATCATGCTTCTGACATCCATGTTCCTCCCAAAGGACAACATGGATATCAATATATATACATGTTATCCATATCCATGATATATATCCAATATATATATCCATGTATCAATATATATATAGTACAACAAAATTTATGAAGGATATAAATATTGTTCCGAAAAATTCATTGCGTTTAGCATGTGATGATGGAGTTACACATCACCTACGCAGAGCACGTCGTAAGGCACGAGAAGGATTCTTTATACACAAGTCCTACGAGTATCAAAAATAGGATAAGTAACAACCGCGAAACGTCTTTCAAAAAAATGTCCGTGTGAATTAATGCCTATTTATTAGACTAGGGTAACATTCATACAAACATTACGTCTCCCACAAGGCACACTTTAGGTACAGATTGGAAATTCAAATTTTTCTCATTTAAACTTCTTATATATAGATTACAATAATTGTAACACTAAACTTTTTCAGTTTAAACCGTTCCTAAATAATTCGGCATCCTTAATACTCAAAAGTTCACGAAATACATAAAAAAAAGAAACAGCACACGAAATTAGGAAGGCACACGTGTCACTATCACACAAGCATATCGTAATAACTCGGTAATATATACCGATTACTAAATCATCGATATATATAAGGCCTCATTAAATAGAAACATTATGGAACGGAACATCAACTTCCTAACCTATGTAAGCAAAAATTATTCAAGTGTTTAGAAATACTGAGGATAAATAAGAAAACTGCCCTTATGAGTGGCAACAGCGAATAATGTAAGATAAACTTTACCGTATCGCTAAATATATCCCATATTCACGGGCAGCTTAAGAAACAAGTAGGTATATTTCTTGTCTCCTATGATACGATAATGTTAATGGCCGTTTTATAGTGGCATTTTTGCTTAAACAACATAAGGGACTTATTTTAAATAATTATACATTTGATTATTTAATTAATGCGTCTCACGGTTTTAGAAGATTTTTAGCTGATTTTGCCAAACAAACATACATATATCAAGCACGAATAAACTCAACCCATAGCAGCACAGGGCTCTTGTTAAGGAGCTCAGCAGGTTAAATGTTCAACACTTTATGCAATTAATCATCCAATCTCTAGGTGATATTAATCATCACTCTCTCGGTGCCTTTTAATAATCTACGATTGGAATCGTGAAAATGCAGGACAGCAAGAATCTAGGATAGATCGAACCAAAAAACACTATTACATACGTTTCACAGTTTTTCCCAGTTTTGCGGATAAAAGTACTATCAAATAACTGCTAAATATGCATAAAAATCGAAATAATATATAATAATACAAACCGGTACTCACTTTCAATGCCAAGCACACATTTGATATTGACTTCAATCTTTACACAGCTCATAGAAAATATTAAACGATCCTTCAACAGGTCATGAAAAATATCAAACGATCCTTCAACAGCTCATGAAAAATATCAAACGATACTTCAACAGCTCTTGAAAAATATCAAACGATCCTTCAACAGGTCATGAAAAATATCAAACGATCCTTTAACAGCTCATGAAAAATATCAAACGATACTTCAACAGCTCTTGAAAAATATCAAACGATCCTTCAACAGTAAAATATCAAACGATACTTCAACAGCTCATGAAAAATATCAAACGATACTTCAACAGCTCATGGCATATATCAAACGACCCTTCAACAGCTCATGGAACATATCGAACGGCCCTGGGTTCACCTGCTAGTCAACCCATGACATAAAGACGAGACTAACTGTTCGTCTTTTGTTTCTCTTAAGCTACAGATCACAGAGTTGAACTAATCACAGCGAAGTGGTTGTCTAATTCTCACTTCAGCTACTGTCTCGTCAAGAGATCGTCAATAAAGGCGGAGGAATTGGGGAATGTTTCCCTCTGCGCAGGATGGATCAGGATGGACTGGAAACGCGTGGCATGCTTAAGTAGAAAAGGTGGAGCGTAAAAAACTTCATCAGGTGGAACCAACTTCGTGTTGTGCGACCCGTCGAACCATCTGGGAATGAATTTCAATATCACTATAATTATTATTCTTCGGCTGACATAAACTAAGGTACCCATAAAATTGTTAATTACTAAACAGCTTTTAGATCAAAATTTACAGACTAAGAACTGGATGGTAATTTCAACAAATATCTCACAGTTCACGCACCCGCCATATTTGATGAGGTCGGCAAGGTAGGCGAGGTCATGTTTCTCGGGGTAGTCCCCCCACCGAGGCTTGTCACCAGCCTGGGCCGAGTCCAGCTTTAGCACTATCCCCTCGGGGCTGTAAATGAACGAAATGTTCAAAATGCACAGTAAAATATTAAAAATCGAAAAAACTTTACATGTGAATAACTTTAAAGGGAAGCCATAAACGACAAGCTTTCTTCAAGACTAAATAACAAAAATTTATTTTTCAGTAAATAATTTAAATAATTTCAATAATTAATATAAGTAATAAAAATCAATGAAATCCTTAAAGTCGACAATTAAAACATCTCGACCGTTATAATTCAGGGACACCCTAGAGATGTAAGAATTAAAGCCGTGAATCCAACGATTGGCGACATTAGTTTATGCTGTTTAGCTAACCTGAAGCACCAAGAGCAGTGCCAGCCGCAGTAATGGTCCACTCCTCCAGCCGTCCACAAATTCACCAGCCCTGGATACTGCCTGTTATACGCAGCAAGAAGCTCAGATTTTGCGTTCGTTAATCTGCCGCGAATCATAAATGGATCATTTTCAAGCACCTTCGTAACGAGTCCCATCGTGGCCACGGCGCTGACAGTGGTGGTGAGTTCTTTCCTGTTATTCAAAAGCCGCGTTACGGCATTTTCAGCAGCCAAGTTTTTGAAGAAGAAACCGTAAATGGACCATCTTAAGGCCAGGGCCACGGGCTCTGTGTATCCGTCGTAGAGCTTGAGGAACATCACCACTTCTCTTGAGGGCATTTCGTCAGCGTCGTTCAAGATGAAAAGATCGTCATCGCGGATTCCAGATATCCGAGGGATGCCCATTTTGCCCATGTAGACCCTCAAATATTGATCAGCGTACCAGTTGTCTGTCTTACCGCGCGTGGGAAAGAAACCTACAAAAACATGTAAAATTTGGTGATGAAATTCCCGCAAAAATCCATCTTCTAACTTTTGCTTGATGTACAGTTTCTTAGGATCCCCGTGAGCAGAATAATTCGACTCAGCTAGCAGAAATAGATCGACGGCGCCAGCCAGATCGTTGACCCGAGCTTCGAGTAAAGCGACTTCGTTGAGAAGTGGCAGCCCGTTAATGACCCTCCTCGGTACCTGTCTTCTTTTAAGGTTGTCATGGTTGTTTGTTTGGCCGTAAGGGCTGTTCCAAATGGCATCTGGAAGACCACAATCAGCGCCGTAATATCTTTGCTTGCATAAACAAGAGCTGGCGTTAACTATCGTTTTCATTTTTTCCAGATCTGTTCCTTCACCATAGCATATCAGTTTGGGAGACATCGTAACGAAGTACTGGTTGTTATCGTCTTTCAAAGTGTAGGTTTGTTCATTGTTGAATATCATTTTGCTTCTATTTTCTAGATGGAAGTCGGTAGTGTTTTCTGATACGGACGCTGGCGCTGCGCTCGGCTCCCTGTTCTTATTTGCAAGTTTATCCTCGTCAGCCATGTGCCGTGCTGGCAAGTTGTTTTTGCTGGTTACATCAACGAGAGTTAAAGTTGACATCAAATCCAGCTTGTGTGAACCAGTGTCACCTTCTGAAGCTGTTTTATATGTGGATGATTTGTGATCATATTCTTTCTCATTTGAATCATGGTCAAGTTGGTCAACTCTTGAGGCGTCGAAAGCTACTAATGGAGAATTACGTTGTAATTTTTCGATAACTTCAGGCAGGTAATGCTCGCCGTAGAGATGAAAGAACAACAGCCCCAGCAACACCTAGAATAGTGGCATGATTGACATAAGAATTCAGACAACAGAGAACAAAATTTCGATAAAATTTTTTGGACCGGTAATCTGGGTAACGAATTCTGACTGGACGTAGTACGTACGGTACCGTAGTAAAAAATCATATCAATTTTTGTGATCCTAAAAAATGACACTCAGATTAATAATTTGATCACAAAAAAAAATTCGTGGTAACAAGTTGAAACACGAGTTGTACGGTACTTGATTTCATAACATTTTTCATGCAGGAATCACCAAGTTTAATGCGAATAGGCTTATATTTACAGGGTGCTCAAGATGAATCAACATTAATATATATATTCTGATATCAAATTTTCATTCATTGTTTGATAATTTTATTTTACAATATTGAATTACTTATTGCGTCCTGATGTCAGTTTGTATTAACAGGTTATTTTTCTAAATCAGGCCGATTGCCTAACTACAATATTGTGAGAAACATGAAATATATTTTATTTACACCAATAACAATTTTATGCGTCAGTCATTCAGTGAAAAAAGACTTCATTCGACGTTTTGGACTAGACTTCAACTAATTTAAATTTTCAGTTTTAATTAATTAATTAATTAACCCGACTTATTACAGCTGAAATGCACTGACTCATGCTGTATATTATTAATTTATGATTAGAAATGTTAGCAGTCATCTAAAAGTAGCTTGTACGTCTTACGTACGTTTCACGACCTAGGTATATATTTGTTGGTACTATTTAATGGTAATGCAACTAATTTTACTTTTATTGTTGCATTTCACAATTAACAATCCGCATGAAAATCAAAATGCGGAAACGGAAACATCGCCATTAATCTAAACCGGATAAATTTACATACGACGGATAAATTACACCCTCTTCTGTAATTATCCGAAGATTAAGCTTTCATCTTGTCATATATTTCGGTTTTCTCCAATCAACAGAAAATAGAAAACGAGAAAATCAAAGGAAGCGGTAGAATGATTGTCTGCTCAGATATACCGTTGCTTTTGTAGCGGAATGCAATTTAGAAATGCGAGACATTGTCAAGACGCATAGCATAGCAAATAGCCAATTGTCCAAACATAAGTCAGACAATAAAAAAAGCGTATTGATCAAGTGCAAGGCAGAATGCAAATGAAAAGATTTCCGGGATTAATCAGCCCATTAACATGGTAATAAACGATGCTTCAAGCATGATTTGAACCGAAGAAGATTACTTCGTTGCTTGAATGTCACCGTGACTTCTGTTAAGGTGACTGGAGTGTACACATAGCGAGAGGACAATGCATTAGGATCAGCATGAGGAAAATACATTGAATAGAAAGAACTGAAGAGAACGAATACAATAAAGATGTCGGGAATGGAAGCAGAAAAAAAATTCGGGCAGTACCTGCTTTGTGATAAATTGCATGCTCTTTAAATTGGGTAAGTAAGATGATGCAAATGCAGAAAATAGTGAAACATGTACTCTTTCTTGGTCAGAGGAATTAAGTCAGAGATTGAAGTTGAAAGTTTGTGTTTCTAAAGTTTGCAAGATTGAGCAATCGTCAGCAATTGGGATGTCAAACTTTTGTGGTTTACGCAAAGGCCATATACTATTAGCCCTTAGTCCATTTATTATTTCTTATTTCGTCGTCAATATATGATGACTGATTTTTCTTTATAGTGTATAGAACAGAAACAACCGAGGTAAGAATTCTGATCAACTCAATATAGATTTAGACATAATTGTGGATTTATGCAAGAACGCATTTAAACTTTTAGAACTGTCATGCAATTTATTGGAAAGGGAAGCAATATGGAACAAGAATATAATTCAAACTTTCATCGTGCAAAATTACAAGCCATTAGCCGTGAACTGTTCAAGTTTTGAATGAGGAGACAGAATCGTTGATCACTTGAAAAGTTCTTGTACAACAAAAATGAATCGAAACCTTGCAGAAAGACTTTTGCTTCCGATGAACGCTTAAAGTTCCCATAATCAAAAATATCTGAGTACCTCGGTGACCATGTAACGATGTCGTACTATTCAAATGATGAATATTAATGATAGTGATGTTTATATTAAGTTGTTTTTCTGAACATCAAGAAACTTTACTTAATTTGATGGAGGCACCTTTCAATAAATTTCATAAACTGATTGATACATAATGAGGATTTAAATAAATGCTAAATATACGAATATATAAAACTGTGTTGAGCAATCAATTTTATCAAATTGAACCGCATTAAAATTTCGTACAGTATATCCATATATGCATCAGTTATCATATGGCAAGGTACTTTGGAGAGAATAAAATTTTTTCTGATAACCTAGCGATCCAAAGCTCTATTAATTAAAGTAAAACCATTAATCAGGAAGAGGTTTTCATTACAAACACATCAACAGATAACACAATACAATAAATATTTTCAGTTGAATTAAAAAAGTAGATCACTCATTTATGATTATTACAACAAGAGGCCATTGAATAAAATAGTTCGATCATTAAAAATACAAAGTCTCACATTTAAAAGGCTTTTAGTATACTTTCAGGAACATGATGAGTTCAGAGAACTATAGAACATAAGTTACAATTATTTCATTGATTCACCCTAATTGAGAAAGATATCCTGAAACATCCACCTTAACTGGACACATCGACAGGAATGAAATTTTGGACAACAAAATAAATCCGATCAACTTTAAACGAAGATACGTCTTTTCAAAGTAGATGAAAGATAATGCGGCTTTGTAATTGTAACTACACTAACTTGGTCAACAAATACTTATTAAAAGTATGAATTTGCTTGTAGCATCACCGTCGCGCACCAAGATATACTTCTCACCTGCACAACGACGAAGATGACGAGTTCTCTTCGAGGACATCCTCGTCTGAAGCGACCGATTACCGCAAGTGGGCTCATTGAATCTGCCCACTTGTGTTGATACTAAATGAAGCACTGAACTGACGAGCTTTAGTTCAAGCATCGGCTTCTGTTCATCCTGACACCATTGCTCTGAGAAGTCAAAATGAACATCAGCAAATAAAATGATTCAAAATTCAGAGAAAATTATGGATTTTAACTTCAAATGGTCGAAAAATTTGTGACTATTTTTTGTTTCCCCGACATGTCGGAAATAAACACTAGGATTTAGTCAAATATGTGTTGCAAGAATGATCACACACTCGCATTGTCTCGCATAAAAATTTATTCGTAAAAATCTCAATCACTTTTTAAATAGAGAGGCAATTCCATCCCTTTTAGTTTGAGGTGCAGCTCAATAAAATATGCATCTTTTATAAGGAAAAATCATTGCTATAAAAAATGTAATATGTAATTATAAAAAAAACGTTTCCGCCTCCATTTGAGGCATTACCGGTACCGCAATCGCTAACGTCGCGATTATCATTCGACTGAGGTAAAATCGTGATCATATACAAGTCAGGCGTCCATATAACGACAATCCACTCCCTTCGATGGCGAAGAAGTAACTTCCTTCCATCGAGAACGACAAATTCGTCTATAGATATCCACGCTAGTTGACAATTGTCCATCGTTGTACATTAACTGACGTACCTATTATAAGCGGAGCATACAAATGACTGTTAGAAAATGTTTCGAAGATTGAAATAAACATATTTAGCAGTCATATATATCGCGTCTACGCCATCGATACCGAGCTTAAGAGGAATATATGGAAGACTATTTTCAAAACTGCGTCACTCGAGGCTTCTACCCCAATCGAGTGACTAAAATCGATCACTTTCCGCATGAATTTGCCTGGAGTCCCTGTGATAGGAAAGTATGTGTTTCTGCATAATTTTTCTACCTATAAAACTGTTAAAAAAGATAAGTTCAATGAGATCGTCACATACGTTATGCAGCCGCATAAGGCGTCACAGAAATCAAGTAACCGATGCGTGACAACGCGTACTCTGTCGGTCTTAAGAGTGTAGTAGACCGAGAAGCATTAATAGGCCCCAGAAGAAAATGCAGTGTCTTGATGACAAAGGCTGTCCGCTTATAGGCATGATCCATCTCATTTTAAGACAAGGACATTTATTCAGTCATGATGATACTTAAACTAAAACAGACCTTGTTACTGTTAAAATTTAGTAGCGCACAACAATAATGCATAAACTAAGGCAAATAAAGTAAAACAACACAATAATTAACTCAAACTAACAGGACAGTTTCTTGTAACTTCACGTTCCCGACAAAGTGCCGGCACCCACACCACCACGAGCTACTCGTAAGCTACAATAAAATTGTAATATACGATAAGATAAGTCATATCGTGTCTCGATAAGATAAATCATGTCGTGTCCTTAGTTCGAAGACAGTAGAATTGAAAGGCATACGACAACTAATAGGTGAAAAAAAAAAATGTTGGTAATGAATTAGTTCACATCAGACAGAATTTGTAGATTGAATCAAGTGGATAGCTATGTAATCTCATGTGATCTCCTGTATGCTTTTGATCAATGTTAGATTATCATAAATCGCTATGAATAAGAATATCGAGAAAATACTGTACAGATGAGAACCTGCACGAAGATGACGAGGCGGAATTGAACCGTTATACGCAGCACAATTGCGGTCCCTAAATCGTTCGAGCAGCTTTACCTGAGTGGAAGAGTTACATTATAGGTCAGTGGAACTCAATAGAACATCGTTCATTTGTGTAGGGACAATGAAGTAATTATCTATAGAAATTGGATCAGGCAAGCGTTGTGTGATTGTGTTGTAAACGGTGTAAAGGAGCTATATAGTGGACGGCACAATGAAAGTAAGGAGATGGCTGATATATAGTAAAGCATAAGTTGCATAACACACGTTGTCTACGAACAAATTAATCATCATAAATGTTATTCCGAACAAAAAACGTGATAACTGAATATTAAATTTTTACATGTATATTTTAGTCTAATATCTACACAAATATTCTCGTTTTTCTATGGAGCTCACCACGCTTGTATTTATCTGACTGAGTACGTAAATTTAACAGGATCCCGTAACAGCAAAGGAGGGATGTCGTTTGCGCAAATCACTGTTTATTGATATTTCGAGTGATCAGGTCGTATGAAAGGTTACTCCTGTCATCGCAGCATCATATTGATACGTCTGCATTCTTCAAATGTTATCTCAAATAACACTAGCCTCAAGTAACAACAAGGTCCAGAGAGTCGTTTTGGGGGCATGTACGCTCGTTTGCTTGCTCGCGTGTTTACTTTACGTTTCTGAAATTTCGACCTGGCATAGTTTACAATTTTTGGACTCTCAGCACTCGCCTTTTTCTGAAACTTTTTATTTCACCAATCTTGAACCTGCTGCAAGTCCTGATATTTTTTACACTGACGAATCAGTTACCTATAGTTAGAAAAATCTGTTGGGAGCTCCACCGGCAACTAGCTACAAGTGGAATTAGACAAGCCGGCAGCTAAAAATAAAATGAAAGCTAGAAATTTATTTGGTTGAAGCCCGAAGGTGTGTTTTTACCTGAATAGAACTGTAGAGAACTTCGTTCGAAATTATTACGTGATGCCAAACATTTATTTATAAGGTATATTAAACCAGGTTAATAAACACAACTGATTCAGCCTATGTAAATAAGTAGACGATCAAGAATTTTTCAATAAATGATAAATGGCATCTCGTGCAAGGCGGCATTAATAAAAGCACTACACAAGAGTACTTGAATTGATTCTTCGCATGAAATTCTGGTCAGGCGCTGACATGCAAGGTTCCTAGCCCAGTAATGTATACAGCTTCTGAATTTAGGGGAGCTCGAGTTGCGCAAGTACAATTTTAAGATTCTAGTCAATGCAAGCCTTCGAGATAACTTCCATAAGCCATGCTCCTCCTCAGTCGATCGTTGGTAAACCTGATCATGTCGTGCTCTGATGAGTTTGATCTGAAATTTACCCAATTTCTCCAATTATCTACCGCTTACGAACGTACCCCCTTCTGTCGAAATTATATTTTCTAGGTTATTTTATTCTTTAGTAGCCAAACCCAACTCAGTCAGTTACGGTATATCTCACGGTACCCGTAGAATGTAGACTAGCCGTTAGTATATTATACACGTAATAATTCTGTGAAAACTTTCGCAACACTTTATAGTAGGCATAACTGAGTCGGCGACACGTTGTGTGCTGATGCAGCTTTTAGGTAAGAAAATTTAATTCTATGAGCAATAAAACAAATGCAGTAACAATAATTGAATCGTGCACTGTTAGAAAAATGACCGTTAACGGTATTACCGGCGTTTCAGTGGCCGGTCAGCACGTGAAAAGAAACACCGTTTCACCGTTTTTATTCCAATTTAACACCAGAAATCCGTAAAACATCTGATACAAACGGCGAAACAGTTTATTTTCACGGGGCGACCGGCCACTAGGATGCCGGTGGGACCGTTTTTTCACCGTTTTTTCTAACAGTGATGCTACCAACGATTATACTGCACTAGCCACTAGCACTAACATAAGATGAATTTCATTTAAAATATAATTGTTCACTAAACACAAATTACGGTAACCAATATTGAATTATAGTGACTACTGACCACTCTTGATCGCATTACAGTGACGACAGTTTAATAAAATAAACGGCGGTAGATATAAATGTATCAAAGACAAAGATTTTGACAATGATTTAAAAGCATCGACTATGATAGAAGGATATCGAAAATGATTGCAGTATATCGAAGATGATTGAATGTATCGACAATTATTGAAGGCTATCGACACCGATTGAACTCCAGAAACAGCGACCGAGTGGCACAGACAATCGCATTAAATAGATTGAAAACAGAAGACTATTTTATTGCATTAAAATGAATGAACATTAATTGTGACCGACGTGTTGAACACTGTTGCCCGGTTACTAAGCAACAGTTTACAATTATTAGCAACAGTTTACAATTATTAGAAACAGTTTACAATTATTAGCAACAGTTTACAATTATTAGCAACAGTTTACAATTATTAGCAACAGTTTACAATTATTAGCAACAGTTTACAATTCTATGAAAATTATTTTGATTACTGAATTTCTAGCATATTGAATAGTTTCAGTTGTTCACCTTTGCTCGAATTTAGGTTTATTTTGAAATAGTTTATAAATTTTATTAATTTATTTCTTATAGTACTTCGGTATCGATTTTCAGGAATCAGCTACAAACCACAGCCAAAACACCACTCATATCTTCACATTCCTCCTCGACTCAAGGAATCAAATGAACATCATTTACACGACGATTAACATCATTTACACGACGATTAAATCGTACTAAAATTTCATAAAACAATAACGCATTAATATCTTTACTTTTTAAAGCCTCTCGAGTAACTTTTAGAAGTATTTGCCGCTATGAAGATAACATAGATGCATCCCCTTTGGAAAAAAAGTTAAAATATTATTAAGTTTTATTTTAACACTGGTCACTAGTTTGTTTATAGAATAACATTTGTGATTGATGATACATGTTTTAATTCCAGGAAATTCGCATCATTATTCATATTTTATTACATTCAATGCTGCCAAACGGTGACTTTCTATAGCACGCTACCGACAATCGAGCTATACATGTTAACTAACACAAAGTAAATAGAACCATTCAATGAATACTTTTTATAACAGCTACGCATAGACATCACATAATTAGGTACTCATTGTGTTGTCTATGCTTAGCCGATCTTGACCGATCTATTGATAACTTATCCATCAAATTATATAGAGATTTGACCCAGAACTCGAATCATTAACAAAAACCCGCGGAAACGCTTTCACGAAGAGCAAATTAATGAAGTTCGTGATATGATCGAATACTTTACTATCGGATACTGCTTCTGAATACTGTAGTATCGAATACTGCACTATGGAATACTGTACTATCGAACACTGCTTATAAATGCTGTACTATCGAATAGTACTGTACTACCGAATACTGTACTATCGAACACTGTACTATCGAACACTGTACTATCGAACACTGTACCATCGAACACTGTACTACTGTACTATCGAACACTGTACTATCGAACACTGTACTATCGAACACTGTACTATCGAACACTGTACTACCGAATACTGTTTCTAACAATTCAGTTGTGCTCCAGCCTCCAGGCGACTTTGAATTCACTTGAGCTCCACCGCACGTGGAGGCGGTAGCAGTGCTCAGCACTCGTAAAAATTAAAATGTCATACTGTCCAAATACTGACGCTTTCTGCACGTAGAACTAATGCACCCTGTTGCTGTGCTAAACTGGGGTGCTAAGATTCCCACGATTTACGATTTAGCAACAAGTACACCGACTATTTGGACAAATTATCACTCATTCCTTTGAGTGGAGGCAACGCAGCACCTGCGGGGACGTGCCGATCCTGTAGCTAAGCCGAAGTTACCAGCGTAACTAACTTTATGAACTAATTTGAACCAACAGGTGTTGCGGAAAGGACACACCTGTGCTCACCACTGAAAAAGTGGTGCTCAAATTGTTCACCACTGAAACGTGACTGGAGACTGAAGAGGTCATACTAAGAGCAATGATTTACCACGGCACTGGTATGACATGCGGTGAGGATTCGAGTTCTAAAATTAGGTTCAGAAAGGTAACCTCGGGACTTTTCTCTTCGTATCTTAAACACGTAATAGAATAGGCCATAGAGGCAAATAAATTGCAGTATATACTGCTTAGGAGAAGCGCTTCAATGAATCAAATGATGCTTTCAAAAATAAATCTTCAATGTTTAAGCCACATGCAACACCGCATGTGACGCCTGCACTATCACTCTAGTGGTCCGAGCCGATTTAGTCACTAGTTGTACATGTGAGCATGACCCCGATATTAAACATGTTTCGCTGACCTGACAAACCAATTCGTGACGTCCCGGCACAAAATCGGTACAAACTACAATCGATGCGAAAAATGTAGGAGCATTTAGCACAAAATTACCACGATTGGCTTAGGCTGCGGTGCTGTCGTTGGTCTAGTGCTCACGTTGTCATCTGTCCCGCATGAGTTCATGATAACAATTTCGAGACAGTGGACGGATGTGACGGACATTATCTGTCTTTGGTCGAGCTTCGTCGAGAGTGAAGTGTTGCACCACCGTAGCCTTTAACATAAGTTAGAAGAGCACGTGACCAACTGTTAACCCTTAGCCTACGGATATATTTACCGTCGTCATCAATGCTATTCGTGAATAAAGGCCTGGAACCGAGAGGTTCCGTCGGTCCACAAAGCGTTAAATAACACATGCCGTCCCGCAGTGCGTGAAGAGGCAAGTTGCTCAGCGTGACGCCGAGCAAACTTAGCTACAGAGCTTTATTATCAAACGACACCTGGATAAATTCTATTCGCCTTAGGGACTTACCGTAATGTGTATTGTATTGTGCACGCAGTGCTCATCATTCTTAGGCTATGTCATCCTCATTCGCGAATACAAGCAAATTTAATTAAATATCCCTCTGTAATCACAACCTTTGAAATTTAGCACCAGTTCATTTCTGCATGCCCCATTCACACGGAGTGAAAAACTATAAGTTACTAAATCCATTGATCATTGCTTTAGTTATACGGCGGAGAAGTGCTGAGGAATAAGTAACACTCACTATTCATTCACATTGAGAATCTGCGTATGATGCAATGAAATTACTATCTAGAGCTCTAAACATTTCGTTGTTTGAAATACTCAGTGGGTCAAGCAACAATACATCGTAATCTCAACTGTCTTACGGTATGCAGAGCAAATCCTTTCCACTAACTCCTAACTAACGCGTGTATGGATGAAAACATTCGAAGCAAGTTCCAGTTCTCATTTATCAAATGCAATGAAACCCTTCCGTAATAGACAGCTTTGACAAACTCTCATGCACGATTCGACCTATCGAAAGTTTTAGAAATACCGGTATTGTCTAGATGAACATGAGGTTTGAATGTGTAAGCTATTCGAACCATAATGGCTACCGTAAATGATTCAAATTTTAATCTCTTCTTCCCTAATTTTTTATGCAACACAGTACCGTCTGGCGCCGAAACGCGGTTGCAATTTGCATATTTAATGCGAAATAGGAAGGATGACTATGCACATGATCATGAACGAATATTCGACAACCGACAAACCTGGTAAAACAATCGGACACGAAATTACGGAACTGCGTTAGTATGGACGTACAGCACAGAACCCGATCCCAGCTGCCTCGTATAGTAGGACTAAATTATCTCGATGATAATCAGTTTATCAAACACTGTCAGTTATCTGTCTGACTATGCCAGACATTTCTCCTAGCAACTCTGAGAGTCACATATTGATAGTGACCATAAAGAGTCTGATAATCAATCTATCACAATAGTGGATTGTTCCAAAAATTATTGAATTGTTATGGACTACACATCCTGATCCTAACGTTTTTGAGATTACTGCGGTTAGTGCGGTAGGTAGGTACCTCTTATACAGGCTTACAGGGTCATAATAAATGAATAAAATTTGGAAAATTTGAGTATATTACGGTGCTGCACGACTATCTCCGTAACTATTTTAATATAAACCTCAGATATAGATTTAAAGAATGAATGCAAAAATATAGCAAAACGTTTAATCAAAATTTAAAAAGTATCCGAAATTTCTACCAAACTAGGTTTCACGTACGACACTGCAATGTTTCTATTTAGTTCTGAAAAAGGATAACATCGTTTTTGACAGGTTTATGAGGACTTGTATGAAGAACAATACTAGAATATATACTCACAAAAGGCATTGGAAATGGCATTCGTAGATGGATTACAAAAACGAGGTTATGCTATCATTGCTATGCGACGCAAACGCAAGTTCGATTGAATACGTCGAATAGTCTGAACTCTGAAGACACACACTATTTTACAGTTCGCGTTATACAACACATTCAAAATTACAATGAAAAATAAACAAATAGGTACTTTACCAGACACAAAGAATGAGTAAGAGTTTTATACACAAAAATAATCTAGGCTAACTCATCATGTAGCACCGTTAAAAATTGTTGAAGAATAACTTTACGTGTTGGTGAATACGAAGTGAGAGTGAAATGGTATGTTCTAATATATATTTTTTTATTAATAATATGTACATTTGTCAGTTTTGAAATGTAAAAATACATTTGGGAATCTTCCCACAAGAGGCAGCATCCGCTTGAGCTACCGACCTTCACTCACAACATCCGACGACTGACTGGAGGCTTGTGAGTTGTGACCATAGAAACCTGCGGTTTGACTAGCAGCAAAATAACTGTTCCAGCACTCAGTGCGTCTATAAAAAGACAGGCAGAAGACTAGGTCCCGGCACCGCAACTGGCGCTCTCCGGTTCTATTTTCAGCACTATCAATTTTGATACAATATAATTTATTTCTTGGTTTTTATTTGAGAATGCCTAATTTTCCACTCCTAAAGTAAATAACATTTTTTCGGTGAGCACCCTTACGTGTTCACATTGAAGTGACAGCTTGTTCTATATGTAAAATTTTATGCTGATGTTCATCAAATAAAATTATTACCAGCTCTAGCTGATTGTCTAATTGTTATTCAGATCCTTGAAAGCAATGGATTTTTGTTTCGTCTGCTCGACTAAAATCGCAACTTGAAACATCATTGATAAATGCTACCATTACGAATTTTTTTTTTCATTTAATAAGTTTGATAACGATAAATATGAGGTTTGTAGGAGAGTAACTTTGTAAATAATTAAAAAATTGCTGGCCCACATAAATTATTCTAAGTTCGCGCCGTATGGGTTTTTTGTTACGAAAAAAAATATGTAGAACTGCCGGTACATGGTTTCAAACGATATATTTATTCCAAAGTTATGAAGGAGAACGAGCCCCTGATCATGAACAAAGAGTGCATGGTGTGCGACAATTCTAAAAAACACACAGCCATGATATTGAGGACCTCAGTTGGCAGGGATAAACTTGTAGGTTGTAGCCCACTATGTCGGACCATATGGGCATTTATTTCTGATCAGCATAAGTGAAATACAGGAATTCCAAACTAAAGGAGTAAAGAAACACGAAAACATCATGTATCACTATATTATAGAGACAAGTGGTACATGACAACTCGATCACAGGTAACACAACTACAAGCAGCATGCTTAAATACTGACGAATGTGTTTGAGACTCCGCGGCTGGAAATAAGATTAACAAGAGGTCTTTCGCTTCTTCCTTACAGTGACCTCTGCTAAAAGCATTTCAAGGTCTTAGAATTGTTCACAAAAATATTTATCTCCATGTCATTTCAATAAATTTGAAATTCGAAAATACATCTTGGCAGAATAAGGTTAATCAAACATTGCCAGATGCATTTAGGAATGAATGCCAGTACATTACGTACATTAACAAAATTGCTGTTCTCCTGATAAAAAAAAAAGTAAAACGGCTTGCTGTCGCCGGAAGCATAAATGCATAAGACTCCAAATGAAAGATTCGGAATTAAAATTATTCCCGTTGTACTTCTAATGAGTCACCACTATGTCACACGCCAGTCCTTTCTTGTGAGCATACAGCATTCATGATCTTAAGCTCTTTGATGACTATAGTTACGGATGAGCTCCATATTATACCTATATCATCATATGTCATCAATATGGAAACAGCTGATTTATTAAATAAATTGTTGCTAATTTGATTGATTGAAGTAGCTTTTTCAAAGGGAATAGCATTTCAAAACAACAATTCTTGGCCTTTTAAAGAGAAACGTACAATTTTACGAAAAATTTGTCAATTCGTTTTCCAACAAATTCTGCATTGTTTCATGCAATAGTATCATACCAGTGAGGCAAGTAGCTCTTCATATCGATTCCAATATCCAAGCCATACCATCATTAAGCTCATCTGCACCACTGTTTCGAAGAAACAAGCATCGGTCACATAACTCTACTGGTTAATCCACTCGTCACAAACACCTTTCACCGTTGTCTATCTCTCGTCCATCTCGTAATCTTCACCGCAGTGGACCAACAACCCGCGCAACACTGCTTCTCGTCACCAGATGACTTTGGATAAGCATGCACAGCGGAAGCCAACGTTTGCAGCCATTCAACCGTCGGCTTTACTGCCATGATTTAAAAAATTGCATATCTATAACGTTATAAGACCATTTTCAGCCAATAAATACATTATATTTATTCTTTAGTGTCACCGATGAGTTCAAAATATTTCTTTAGTTCAAGCATATGGGGACGTGAAGCAGCTTTTCCTTCTTCCATATCTGCGGTACGTATTTCTCAACAAGTCATTTCATCGAAAAATCAACCAAACGCCTTCAGAAATCTCGTTTCAACACTAAACACTATTCATGTTAGCTATCAAGGTATTTTAAGACCCAGTCGTTATCTTGTAAATAGAAAGCGCATCTAGAAGTGACTAAGCAATTGTTGCTCTCACAGAAGGACCAGCAATGTGAGGAGAGGCGACTCGTCAGAGTATGACTCTCTAAATATTGAAAACCAAAACGGCATCAGTCTTCACCTCGACTGAAACTTATACCTGCTTCATTATTTCAGCTGCACCTTCTATGAACACAACGGTGTTCATGGAATGTGTTAGAAATAGGCATGACCTACATTTAACAGAATTAATTTCCCCGGGCTCTTCACGCCGAGTGAAAAAAAATTGTCTGCAAAGTTAATCGAATGGTTCGATAACAGACACTGTAAAAATACGTTTGAAAAGAGCCTTCAAATTGTACGCAGAAACACAAGCAGGAGATTTTCAATCACCTAAGTACTGTCGTCCAGCTTGTCCAACACTATACTTGGCTCTATTCCCGGTAAGAAAATTCATGTTGATGACTCACAACTTCACCATATCCATGTTGAAGTCATCTAATTCTCTGTTCATTTAATGGTTCACTGTAGGTCTCGATGGTGGCAAAGGCCTGCAGGCTTAATTTAAGCCTCTGATTCTCATGGTTTCCATAGCAAAATTTTCGGTATTGTTCTCAGGGTCCCTCGACGACTTCTGCATCTGGTGGAAGAACCAAGCCATCGGTTGGACGATTCACTCGATTACTCCTCTTCGTCATTTTTGTACTGTATGTAGCTCATTGACTTCTGTTCGTTTATCAGGCTCTGAAAATTTAAACGATCCGAGTCACAACCCAAAAGAACTCTATATTGACAACAACAATGGAATGAATTTATTTCAGCCGAGCAGGCTTGTTTAAGAGAACTTTTCTCGGACATTTGACTGGTCGTGTTTCCACTGAATTTGAATTCTGTCACCCTGTTCCTAGTTAGTTATTCATAATTATCGAATAACAAATATCAGTATATATTAAAACTATTATTACGAACCGTTGTTTCCTCGTAGCGCGGTGGTGGGTTAATCAAGAAATACATGAGGGGCGCGTACAAGAAGTTGACGGCACCCATGCCGTAGAACATTGTGTCGAAACCGATATTTTCGATCAGCGTTCCAGATAGGGCAGGACCTGTTTTTAACAGAAGTGAGTGTTCAAATTAGAAACAATATAATACATAGAATTCATTCTAATAAGATAAACGAATTCAACAAAATTAAACAATTCGTTTTCTTATGGGAAAGTCCATAAAGGTGCCTCGCCGAATTCGTGATCAGAGAGCGCCTGAATATTCAATTGATGTCAGGTAGTTCGCAGAACCTCACCATAATATATAATCAACTCGGTCCTTGATCTGGCTTAGTGGTAAAAGACTTATATTATATCAAATTGTCTACTCATTCACCGTTAGTTGTTCAAGGAATAATTTCGAGAAGAATGATCGTGATGACAATGATATGCAAATAAAATCAAATGAGCATGCTGAATTTTCTTGGCATTTTCCTTTCCTTTGCAACATTTCTTGTCTTGCAATTTAACCAACTTAGCTTTTTTAATGGATAGACTTCTAAAAAACAATTCGCAAACTCTTTAATCATATTACTGATAGGAAATTTTATTTGAATGAGTGACTGAAAAAAATTGGTTATGTCAATTCTTAAGCAATAGTTAATAGTCAATAATAGTTCGAAAACTCTTTAAATCAAAACCAAAAACTCAAAAAAGAGTTCGCAAACTCTTTAATCATATTACTGATAGGAAATTTTATTTGAATGCGCGACTGAAAAAATTGGTTATGTCAATTCTTTAGTAATAGTTAATAGTCAATATGTCAATAGTTAAGAGGTCAAAACGCAGCGGGTCCGAGAACACTCAATATGTCTCAATTATGTATTAATCTAAACCGAGCCCTGTACTACATTCCCAGGAACGCATGGTAAAGTCATATTGACTATGTACCCCAAGTGGGCACTGGGCAGTCATCGACCTTCGCCAACATTTCACCCGATTAACTAGTCAAGTACGCGGAATTCCGCGTGACAACAGTCGTGCTGTCATCACAACGCTGCCAGGCGCAGTACGTCAATATCACTGACGATATTTCCGAGAGATCTGATAACTTTAATTCCCAGTACTTAGAAACAATATGCAAAGATCATCTGTTGTTCAAGAAAACTCCAAAATTACTGTAGGTTGCTGTGAAAATGTGACTAGCTTTCAAGGTAAAGTTTCTTTTGTTTGTGTAAACTATTTATAACAACTTTAACAAGTTTATTTTATCTTTTTTATTCAGTGCGTTTAGAACAGTGGTTCCCAAACTTTTTCAGGCTGGCGCCCCCTTTGGCTCCCTAGTGAATTACTAGCGCCCCCCACAGACATACGCCTCTTTCTTGAAACTTAGTACGCTGCAATTTTAAAAGATAAAGGTTAAACACAAATGTGTATTTCACAAATAAAGCCCATTTAGTGAACCAATGTGTTTTTCAGCTGTTTTAACTGTTTCAGCACTAGAAACCTAAGACGGCCTGGGGTGAATTTACGGCCGGACTCGCGGCCGGTCTCACGACCAATCTCCAAATTCAATTATCAAGTAATATCTCCCAAACTAATGAACGCAGCTCTATTAAACTTGGAACACGTATTCATCGGAACCTAACGGTGGTGTCTAGCTCGTAATTTTTTTTAATTTTTACCTTCATTCGTGAGTTACGCGTAGTCGCGTACATTACGAAACAGGCCGAAATTCGCAGTGATTAAAGAATTTCTTTCTAACTATTGAACAGTTTTGAAAGAAATTTTGAATATACATTCCTAACTACCAAACGGTGATTTTTAGCTTATAATTTTTTTTTATTTTACTTTCGTTTGCGAGTTTTTTTTTCATTTCACAGTCATTCTTGATTTCACACTTCCTTATATTCGGCCCGTATCGCCTGGTAATTTGTCACTTAAATTCGCGGCGATCAAGAAATTTCTTTTAAACTACAGAACAGATTTCAAGGAAAGTTTGTATATAAATACCTATCCTCTCAACGGTGATGTTTAGCTCGTGACAATTTTTTTATTTGCTTTCGTTCGCGAGTTATACAGATATAGGAGGAACGACCGCCTTTTCTACCGGCCGGTTTAACCAAGAGCCTTATAAGTATAGCCGTATAACTCGCAAACGAAGGCAAAACGAAAAAAACTGTAAACATCACCGTTGCTGAGACTAGGTATTTAAATACTAAGTTTCGTTCAAAACTGTTCAGAAGCTTAGAAAAATTTTCTTGGTGACTGTGAATTTAAGCACGTGTTCCTGTTTAAATCACGAATGAAGGTGTTATAAAAAAAACTCGCGAACGAAGGCACGAAGGCAAAAACTCGAAAACATTTTCACGAGCTAAACATTACCGTTTGGTAGTTAGGACTGTAAATTCAAAATTTCGTTCGAATCTGTTCAGTAGTTTGGAAGAAATTACTTGATCACTGTGAAATTCGGCCTAAATTACATGATCACGGTGAAATTCGGCCCGTATTAATAATAATAATAATAATAATAATAATAATGATAATAATAATAATAATAATAATAATTTATAATAATAATAATGATAATAATAGCGGTTTCAGCGTTTATTAGGCCGCAGGCCTGTCACCGATTCTTAACATCGCAGAACATCCACAGCTTGTTGAGGTCTCGAACTCACAACTTACTGATTCAAATTCTACCGTGCATAACCGCCCGGCCTCCCTGCCGATTCTGACCAGAAACTGACGCACAGAGCTGGGATCGAACCCGCGCGTCTCTGCGCCAATCTTGATACTCTACTGTAACCACTGGGCCACCCTGCCATATAACAATGGCAAAAACAAACGATGGCAAAATTCAAACAATTTTCACGAGCATAACATTATCGTTAGGTCCTAATGAATACGTGTACCAAGTTTCATCGAGTTAAGTTCATTAGTTTGAGAGATATTCCTTGATCATTGAATTTGAAAATTGGCCGTGAAACCGGCAGCGAGTCCGGCCGTTAATTTTTCCGAGACGTAAACCCAGGAGAAGTTAAAAAAACAGATCTGGGTAAAAAACCATCGCTGGGAGTCATGTGCTGCACGTGTTGTGTACAAATCTTCAAACAAACGTTCGAACTTCTGACATTGACTTCGGACTATCGCCCCTCTTATCGCCCCCCTACCGCCCTCTTCTTCCTTACCGCCCCACAAAATCTTTCCACCGCCCCTAGGGGGGGCGATATCGCCCACTTTCGGAACCACTGGTTTAGAACCTCAGCAAGCTATCTCCGATTCTGATGAAGTCTTTCTTCCCTCAACCCGTCATATTAAATTCAACTATAGGGATGATGTAAAATTACTATTTCCATGCAATTTTCCTTAAGGTTACCCACCCAGGAAGAAGCCGAGGCAAAATGCGACGTCTCCAATAGAGTAGACTGAGCCGTAAATGTGAGAGTGACGCAAGTCAACCAAATATCCAAGCTCAGGCATCATTGAAGAGTCCACCATTCCGATTGCAAACCCAAGTCCAGCCGTGGGGAAAATCAGGTGCCACTTGGTCGTGCAGTTGGGGATCTGCGAATAAAAATCAGTTTAATTTCATGGACAGTATTACCTGCTTATTTAAAAGAACTTTAAATCGTGCTTCAAAAAGGTACTAGAATGCGAGTAACCTTCGTTTCTACTTCGCAGTTAAATTTCACTATAATTTGTAACCATCAAGAATTTTCAAATGATAGCAGTTTGGTGCAATGTGCTGGCATTACAGAAGTCTTACTAAAATCAAACTTAAGCCGCTGAGCATGAGCCCCAGGAAGGAAGCGAGACCTCTGCCCATCTTATGACCGAGAGGACCGAAGAGGTTTGTTCCAATTAGGTAAGATATTGAAGCCGGTAGAAATGCTGTGCCTTGCTCCAGTTTAGACGACCCCATTATGTCCATCATTCTTATAGGCAGTGAAGGCTCCAGCATTCCGATGCCCATGTTGGCGAACGTGATAGCGCCTGCAAGATTTGTCACAGGTGTGAAAAACTAATTTGTGAAGGATATGATCTGTCGTCTGATGAATTCTCTTTTTTTTCTGCTTCTGTGTCATTATTCCAAATTTATTGACAAAGAAGTACAAAAACTTCTGCAGCTCGATCCGACATATGAAGTCTGTGCTTCCTGCGGATATTAGTCCTCTTGTTCAAGTTGTAGGATCCGGATGGTAGTTCGCTAACAACGAATCGATCATTGAAAAGAAAAAAGAATATGATTTAAAATAGAGGAAGTTGGTAAAAAAATCGTAAGTCAAAGCTCACCAGCTGCTACCAGAATGTAAGGGTCTTGGATCAGTTCTTTGAGGGTGGGAGCCCTGTTCTCTTGAGGTCGAACTTTGGGCTTCAAGACGAGAAGTTGTAGCACTGCCGGTCAGGGATGATAATTGATATACAAGACATTTTCAGTGCTCTTATATAACATGTTCTTTTTTATTCTATTATATTCATCATAAATATTGTAACTTATAAAAATACTTGACATGAAGCCATGCATTAACCCTAGAATATTCAGGTGATTTCCAAAGAGTTAACATTAAAATAAAATTTTAAATTTCAATTTTATGCCTTTTAATTAGGAATATTTCTTCATTATATATTTTTATTTGACTTACGTCCGTCCCCAAGGGCGAGGAAGGCAAGCACTAGAAAAGGGACGGTCTTGTTGAAGTACTCGTACATGATACCACCGAACGCCGGCCCGATGAGCACCCCCAGGGCTAGTCCCCCCAGCGCCAGGCCCATGGCATTACCACGCTCCTTGTCGTCTGGGTAGCACTCGGCCAGCATGCCCATACCTGAGAAGTAGGTATGGGGTATAAACAGTTACAAATTGATATAAATATAGGTCTTTGGGTAATGGTATAAATAGGCATTTTTCGTTAAAAAAATTGGGAATCTGAATTTATTTATGAGAAAATCCAATGAGGCTCGCTGCAAATCTTTTATAATCAAGATCAAAATTAGAACAACATTTATTATTTTGGGATAAACATTTTTTAATTAACGCCGCATCAGATCGACTTTTACAAATTGAATTTATCTCTCTCGGGTATCAAATTACAGAAGTACTTCGACATTCGACGTTAAACCGATCCAGGACCCGCATGAGCATGAACTTCCCAACAAAGTGGTTTCCGAAGCAATTTACCCTACTAGAAATAACTGAGAACCTATTAAACCGTTCTTTACTTGCACTTTCTGGGTACATTCCTTTCTGTGAATTATGCGAGAGTGAACAAAATCACGTAAAATGAGCAAAAACGAGCAGAATTTCATTAAAAAAAATCAGGATCAATTGCAGACTAACGACAGCTGAGTTCATGAGAGATAATGAGGAGCGTTTGGAGGGATTAGCGTAGATTTCAAACTATGTCTAATTGCGAATCATATGACTTGCGGGGATTTAATGTTTGTGATGCCATTACAGCAAATAATATTTCTCTCAATGAGTGACGCCAACGTGGTATCAGTTTCAGTCATTTCTTTGTGAGTTGTTGTAGTTTAGAGGGAAACTACTTTGCACTTAGTTTGAAGTGCAGTTAACATTAATGATAAATAACATCGTCGTTGTGACGTTTTCATATTCGTTTCCTGGTTATCAGTGTTGAATTTTCTACGAATTCAACACATACGAAAGACTTCGTTTAAAGTTAAAATTCTCTTTCCTTAATCAAAGTGATAAGAAATATCTATTATAAATCAATGGATAAAATAACACTAAACCTACATCTCTTGGAAATTTTTCGCAATGAAAAATTTTTTCAGATGAATTCGAAAATGCATTTATTGCTTCTGTGAGTTCTTCACATTAACCAAGTATACTAAAGAAAAATGTGTGGAACGACTTGCCAATGAACCAAATGATCGAACTGATTTCGCACTATATTTACTATATATCTTATTATTTTTGTTCTCATTAACGTGCTGACCGTTAGTTTCAGAGACTTCCTGTGAACAGGCGTTGACCTCTAGCGTTGAACAGGTGCTCATCCAAAACATGAAACAGCTGCAATTGAAAGCTACTTGACTTGCACAAGTGTTTGGTAGAGAACAATCGTTGTCCGTATCTCAACAAATGCCCAGAGTTATTTAATATTTATTTAATACACAGCTAACTAACTTCTATTCAATTTCTTGAGTGATTGATGCCTCTTAGGTTCGCTTTGTAAACAAGATTGGATCCATAATTGAAGTTAGTTATCAAACTTGTTCATGATTAAATAAATTAAAGCGTGTAAATTATCTCTTCCGTAAATGGCCGTATGTCATTAGCGGGAAAGTGCATGTAAGATTGGATTTGCTTATTAAATAAAACTCTTGATTTCAGATATTAAGGATTACCTAGTTTTAATGGTTAAGAATGTCTCAAAGTATTCTGTGAAGTTTAAAAGGTTCTATCAATCTATCAGACTACGAAAATTAACATTTTTGCAGGCGTATTCTTGTCTGCTATAAAATAATACATCAATCTACTAAAGTTTCGTTTATTATTCCTTTGAGATTTAATGAGTAACAAAAACGTGGGGCACAAGTGTTCATCACACCTGAAACAGAGGAGCAAGAAGAGCCGACACCTTGCAGAGCTCGAGCGATGAAGAGAACGGCGTAGCTGTTGCCAAACGCGAAAACTGCACAAGAAATTGCAATACATACGTGAATTGAGATAACGGGATAAGTTCATTATTTATTGAAGACAATGCTTGGCTCAGACACTTGATATATTAATTGATTGGCTCAGATACTTGAACAATAATTTAAATTTCACGCGGTCTCCTTAATGGAAGGTATAAGGAAATGGATTGCCTTCATACATGGTGCTTAGTTAAATGGTTTATCGTCAAGCCTCGAGTTAACTAGAAAGGGTTACTGTTACACCATACGTTGAGTTGAATTCTAAAATTCCTGCCTGAGTGATATAATGAAGTTGTTATTGAGCGTGATAATACACTGAAATAAATTATGGGTCATTATGTCCAAAAACTCACACACTTTCGTCCCGTATCAATGATACGCCTTTTGAGTGGGTCACAATGACTCACACACAAACAAGAAGTGCATCAATATTTGGACAAAATTTCGCTCACTTTTCTGAGTGTAGGAATGTTGTTTATTGTTCATTTCCATACACCGACCGTGCATGTGAAAATAAGTCAAAGAACATAGTGGATGATAATAACAGACTTGTTATTGAATAATTATGAAATCGCTTCTTTATTCTGGTGCACAGGCATCTTCCCTATCTTTGTTATACAAAAAAGTGTGCTATGAACATCTATTTACGAATGAATTGATTCATGCATAAAATTTCACGAATTATAGAATTTTCAACCTTTTGGCCGTAGGTATACCAAATCAGATCCAAAGAAGGGCAAATTGCATAATAATTTCCCTACAATTAATCTCAGGAACAATTCAAGAATATATAATTGAACCTCAAATATTTTGAATAAAATAAAAAAGTAGACCGAAACTCCTTCAGATGAAACAGCACGAACAAAATCTAATTCGGAATGCAAGGCGTAAGATTTTAAGCTTTACTTATTTTAAATAAATTTGGACTTATATTGGATTTTACATATTTAATTACAGCTTTAAATAAATTCATGCTTGCATTTGAAATGATAATTTATCTTACAGTTGTGAATTGTCTCCATACATTCAATGAAGCCACGTGACTCACTTATTGTTGATACGAACATGATGACGAATCCGGCAAACATTGGAATGCTGTATCCGATTCTGCAAATGACATCGATTTGCATATTAATTTTTGTTATACAAAATTTAATAAGGGATAAAATATTTTCAGGGCATTCAAAAGCATCGAAAATATTCTCAAATTCAGGTACATGATGAAAAAATTGATTTATGATCGATTTATCGATGCATAAGGTCATTAAAAAATGCTCCAGCAGAAATAGTTTTCACCGATGCTTTCAAATATTGCCTTGGATTAAAAACACTTTATTTCTTAATTATTACCCAAAAAATATTTTACCGATTAGCATCGAATAATTAAAAACAATCAATATATGATATTCAGCCTGATGAACCTCTCCTTTACGCACATATCGCCTATCTTTGAAAGGTAATCCAAGGACATCAGAAGAAAACGTAATGTTTGATTAAGTCCATTTGCGCGGAGCACGACACTCTTTTCAAAAAAAACCCACGTTATTTGCTTCGTGTTCGCATGAGCACGCACGCTCAGGATCAACTTTACGAAGATTCTAGTCACAGCTTCTAAAACTTTTACGTCCATCGCAGACTCAACGCGAACTCGAGCGCGACAATAAAGCCATGAAACTAGTGAAAATGGCATGAAATCTCAGATTGTGTAAATGTCGCGCATTTAGTTTTAGGAAACTCTGTCTCCTTCATGTTTACCATGGATTTGTAGTAATTTTTACGAAATTTATTTGGATAATTGAAATATTATTCGCCGTATTATTCCTAATCAATTTCCATAGTGCAACTCACTTCTGTGACAAACGACCTTATAACATCCATGTAGTCAAATCCCACACGCCTATCAAGACGTCAAATGTTGGAAGTTATGAAGCGCCTACAGCGAGACCTAAATCCCAGTTACGACCAACCAAAAATGCTCTAAGTCGGCCAATTTAATTTTGCCTGGCGAACTGCTGCACAAAATGGCTTCAGTAATCGGATTAGGGAGGCAGAGAGAGGTGGATGTCGGTGCACCTTAGGGGAGCTTTAGAATAAAGATCGAGAACTGCGGTCAAAGTCCATGATAGAATTTCAGTGAAGGAATTTTAGTCAATTACATTGCCATGTTGCATAAAGTTTAGTGTGAACTGAGAAAAGTCTATATTTTGGTTTGAGATGCACTATTATATAAATACGTATAACACCTTTTATTGGGGGCCTCCTCGTGGCCGGAACTTGCCTGAGAATTGCAAAAAGGTATTGCCACTAAAATATTTACCCCACAATATTATGATAACAATAACTAATACTTTATTCACCGTCGAACATCAACCTTTGGTAACTTATTCAATTAAATATCAGTTGATAGCAACGGTGCAATTATTTAAATCGAATACCCATTTATTTGAGAACATCACAGTTAGTGACATTTTTCAATTCAATATCATTTGATAGTAATAGACAGTTTATAAATCTCATCGATGAATAAGAGCCAATAGTGATAAAGATAATGATGAATTATAAGGATAAAACTACCAATAATAATGAATTAAAATAAAACCAATAATGATATATTTTAAAACTTGCCGATAAGTGAGAGGTCCGATGAAGGGGTTGGTAACGAGCTGTGTGAATGCCTTAGCACTGAGCATGAGGCCCAAAGGAATGTTCTCTTTCTTGAGGTCGGCGTCGTTCATGACGTGGAGCTTACGCTGGGGCTCAGCTGTACTGTTCTGGACTACCGTTGTGGGGGCGGGTGACGCCGTAACTAAAATTTAAATAAGCAGAAGGTGGTAGTCATTTGCCTTAATTTGTGTTAGGTAGAAAGTTAAAGTCGAAACACAATCAATGGTAACGTTGGTATATTTATGAAAAATATGTATGATTGTATAAAATATATATAAATAATATTAATATATAATGGCTACTTCTTCAATATCAAATTAAATTCAATAATTCCCAATTATAAACAATTAATTTGGAAAATTATTATTCATGAACAATAATCCAATTAATAATTTTTCCAATGCTTAGCAAATAAATTCATTATTGAAAATAAATGTAAAGTGAATTTCGTTAAAATTCTCTGAATTGACTTCGCAAATCAAACATTAATTACCAATCTACTATAATAATGCAGATTTAGCCGATGTTTACTCCTTTTTTGGGCTCACAATTAAGTTGTTCCGAAGTTCACTGCATTTTTGAGGAACTCACAATCAAGTTGTTCCGATGTTTACTCCATTTTTGAGGAACTCACAATCAAGTTGTTACGATGTTTACTCCATTTTTGAGGAACTCACAATCAAGTTGTTCCCATGTTTACTCCATTTTTGAGGAACTCACAATCAAGTTGTTGGGTGTCTTCCCTGTCGGTGAGCCAAGCGCCGTGCAGGTCTCCGTCCCCGCCTTCGTCAGGAGGCTTACAGGGGCAGGGCGGGCACCTCAGGTCCTCGGGGACGATCTCCCTCAGGAGGCCGTCCCCATATGTGCTTCCACCAGTGTCTTATTTGAAAAATAATGTTCTATTATTAGAGAAGTAATATTACCTAATATATTTAACACCAATAATCTTAGTACTACTAATTTCGTCTCTAAATCCTTCTAGTTACAGAAAATATTCTGTAGCTATATAGGGTGATGGAAGCGATTAGTTTTCTAACATAACTTTAAATTAAATTAAAGTTTAATTTAAACTACATTAAAGTCAGCTTAAATAAATTTTAAACTATGGTAATAATTTATTTGTTTAGTAATGTTGCGCGAAATTATTACGACATATCAATGCGTTCAATCTCACCTAATGATTGATGATAGGACCGCTCGCTGAGACGTGGTGGTGACGTGGTGGTTGTGGTGGTGGTGGCGATGGTGGTGGTGATATGTTCCACTTCCTGACCAGTGTCTATGATTTCGTCGGGGTGGTTCAACTCGTACAAATATGTCGGAAATATTGGCACTGTCCAGAAAGAAATTTTCATGTTAAGTTTGTTATCTTAGAAAAAACTGGATTGAAAATTGGTAGAAGTTTAGCATCAGGATAGAATTTTTAGTGAACTATAGCAGTCATACATCTAGAATTTAGGTTGTATTGCAGCATGTATGAATTAACTGCTGTTATATACCAAATAACAGAAATGTAGCATCTGAATACGATATGTTTTAATAACTAAAGAAATCATATGCAGATGGAAATAAACAGAAATGCAGCATCTGCATGCGACATTTTCAATGAAGTAAAGCAATCATATACATCTCGAAATACCATATTTCCACTCACCTATCGTAGTGAGCAACATGTTGTCGAGTAGCAGCGCAATGGCGACTATCACGAGGATGAGTTTGCGGGAGTCTTGGCATCGCGCTTGTAGTTCTTTCAGATAATCCCAGCACCGTACGAGCCCATCCTGCATGCTGCTAGACACCTTTAATTCAGCACAAAAATAATCTCAGCACTTGGAAAAACAATTATAAGATATTTTGTTAGACTTTAGGCTACTTGCTATTAATAATGACGTTTTGGATTAATACAGAAAAACAATTATAAGAAATTTCGTCAGACGTTATTAATAAGTAGGTTTTGGATTAATAGCAATTAACCCGCAACAAATTTTAGTTCAAAAATCTAGGAAAGGGAATAATATTTTGGGATTTGATTTACGCAGCTTTTCGCCGATCCATAATGCAAAATTTTGTTGGTCATTCGTCAAGTCGATAAGGCCTATGGTTGCCCTGGCAGCGGCTCCCAAGGCGCAGCGAAAGGAACAATCAGCCGCTGATATGATAATGCGCGAGACCTGCCTCCTTTAAAGGGAGCCCAGACGTTCCCTTTAAAGCTTTGCACGTGCCAGTGAAATATCACCAGATATTTAGGGAGACGAATAAGATTGTAGTTCTACTAATAGTCAAATAATATTTTTTCGCTTTCGTTTTCATTCTAGATAATTAGTTATAAACTATAATTTTTTATCTCTGATGTACAAAATACGAAAGTTGTTGTTCGGTCTTGAGAAATGTTTCTGTTATAAATATTTAATCAAAGATAAAATATTCAAAGTAAAACATTTTTTTAAGCGATAGACTTCTATTCCCCTTTATATTGATGCTTTTGACGGTAGAATTAATATAAAACAATGAACTTTATGGACTATAGTTACAGTTTCATGAACATTCAATTGCACAACAAGCGTGTTAAATTGAGTGTTCGAGCGCTATTGCACGTCGAAACAATACAATTGTGCTTAACCATGCGATATTGGGTCATTGAAGTGAAATTTAAGCTCGGTGTTTCGAAATGGAATACGTCTGTGACGCTGACTAAGCGACACCAGACCGGAAAGCAACTGGAATATTGGCATTTAATCAACTGGTCTTTCGAGACTTGTTGGTGTAAGTGGGGCCATTGTTCCAGGATTGGGTTACACAGCCACTCAATTCATCTTTCAAACGCTTGTATGAGGTACACAATTGTTTTACAGTTCGCGCAGACTCCCTGAAGATATGAAACGATTGGACCTCTTTAATTTCAAGCTCACAAATGGGACTTCGTTCGGCATCTCCCGTCGTCGAAGTCGTCTTTATCTAATTCGCTCATAGGATTAAAACGAAAGTCGAGATGCAATCTGCCGGTTCAGAGCTCAGCCATGAGCAGCCTATCCGAGTGCTTTTAACACTGATAGCCGAGCTCAAAAGCTTATAGAAAGTGTGTTTAAATTCAAGATAAAGTCGGAACATACAAGCGTTATACTGTTCAAGTCTGGGACACTTACGCTAATTTCCCCAGTCAGGCTTTATAATATATTCTGCCTTATTTTTTTTATGAAAAACGTAAGAAATTTATTTTTCAAAACATTGAAATTCAGGAAGATATCACTTAGAGCTTAAAGCACATTATCATTAATACACACTGATCAAATATCGCGTTACCCTGAACAAAGGAAAGTCTCTTCATTTGAGCGGTAAATATTAGCAAGCCTACTTACTTTTTTGCAGTTTAAAGATATTTTTGCAGTGAGGTGCACCTTTGAAATTTCCGAGTGGCATTCCCGTGACCCCTCTTATTGACGGTCCCAATTTATAGGCACATTCCCACCAGGAAATTCACTTAGCCGCACTTGCCATCTTTCCTCGATCGCTCCCCTAACTTGCCCCCTCTAAGAAGTGTACTTCTAAAACGGTTAAACCGTTAAAAAATTTCTGTATAAGCTGTTAATAATTTTGAAAACCTGCTACAAAGAACATAAACTTCGAAGAAAAAATGCGAAGAAAATTTCAAGTAATGAACAGAATTTTTTAAATAAATGATGTGAGTATATGTTTATGCCCAGACTTACTTGTATCTCATTATCGGCACAACGTTTTAAACATTTTTTTATTTCCTTCTGTTTTACTTTCGCAATTTCTTCGCTCTCCCTTTCACGATCAGCAACAATCAATTTATCACTGTCCTGTTGTCCTGTTTTCCCCTCTCGAGGCCTCCTCTCGCTCAAGCCTAAGCCCAACTCGGAGGCGGTCCTTTAATTAGTCCTATTGATGAGGCCGATGAGACTGCGTCCAATGAAATTCCTCCACCAATTCCTTTCACATGATGAACTTTCCCTGATACTCCTAACAAGATATGCATGCTGTCTCTATGACGAGGATTTCAGTATTCACTGAAAGTGACTCGGGTGAATTGAAAAAAGTAATAAATTCGCGATTCACATGATACACCGTAAAAGATGAAAGACGGGTGCCATTGTGGACAAGTAATTAATTTGTACTCAGAAAATTCTAATTCTTGTGTCAGCGTTTCCCTAAGCCTTTCCCAAAATAACTTGCGAGATAAATTCCGGTCTCAAAAAAGCATCATATTTCACAGTAATATTAAAAACTCCTCATGTATTCTGCCTCCTTCTCTTGCTTGCCGCGGCATTTCGGTGGAAGCTGAGACGTTCTCACATTGATTTTGGCCTAGGGAAAGTGAGCTTCTCTAAGCCATCTGAAATGGATATTGGTGAACAAACACTGGAGATTTGCCTCACTAAAGGCCTCAATGAAATATCAATTCAAAAATGACGAACTAAAATGAATAAATCTAAAATTCTGTAAGCCGAACTAAAAGGAAGTAAAATGTTACACTGCAGTGTAAATTCATTTATTCCTCGGAAACTGAATTTCAAGCTTGGAAGTGTGGGAGAAAACTACGCTGAATTATATCAATGTTTTTTCTAAAAAGTTCATGACAAAATATTCGCTTAAACATTACAACCACCACTGATATGGCCAAAAATTATATTAAAAATTTATCTTTCAAAATATGCTAGTAAGCATAACTATGTTAAAGTATTTTTTATTTTTTTTTTCGCAAATTCCACTTGAAAAAAATAACATCGCTTTCTATCTGCCGAAAGTTTGCCTGCACTGCATGCAGACTCAATGGAATTCATTTTACTTGATTTTCGATCGCCCTGAAAGTTAACACATAAGGCGGGTGCTATGAGATCACTGAAGCTGAAGCTTCATTTGAACGAGACTTGATTGATGTTCTAAACTGATTTGCAAGCGTTGGAGGTCATAAAGCAATAGAACAATTCAGGTGGGCACATAGTTCATGCACCCAGTCAGGCTGCATCGTCCCATTTAGAGTCTTAATGGGACGATGAAGCTGTGAAGTGGGACTTTTTTTATTAATGATGTTTTTTATTAAAGATGAGTAATTCGTGATAAAGCTCTTTCCCATGGAAGATGATTGATATTCGTCATTACTGTTAATTTACAATGGAATGTTTTGTTAATTATTACAATGTCACATAACTTCGAAAACTTGTGGATGACGAATGATACTTAAAAATTGTAAATTAAAAATTCAGACTTCGTTCTTAAATGTCCTTTCAAAGCTCCTTGCTTCAGCATACCATTGATCATTTATTGAGTATATATATACATACATATATAGAAAATAGATAAGCAGAATATCGCATTCCTGCTACTATTTGAAGGTTAAAAACTTATCCCTACAATTTTCGATTAATAAGAAGCTTCATAATTTACTTTTCGATTTTAACCATAAGGAGATTGAGAGCAATTTGATTCAAAAAAAGTCGCACCTGTTTTTTTTTTGCACAGAATCTATAATTAAATATTATGCATGATATCCGTAGACTTTTATCATTTCAATGACGCGATAAATATCACTTACCTCGAAATCAATTACTATTTTATTTACCTTTTACTTTCAGCTCACAGCATAGTAGTCTCGCAAAGTTGAGGAAGCGGTGGATGCGTTGAAAGGTCGAGTGTATCAAGTGGTTCGGGGCAAATTAACTTTACAAGTTGTGTTAAGAATCAAGTTATGATGACCGCGTGTCAATTATGTTATAAATGTGCTAAGGTCGGTTTGACAGCAACAGCGGTGTTAGCACAGTTGTGGTCAGGAGTGTAGTGAGTGTCAGGCTGGCATATGAGACATCTGTAAAAAAGATCAAAACGACGATATATTCAGCGAATAAATATATTAGTAAAGATATTCAGTAAATAGTATAATAAATACATTCCGCTAGTGATATGAGGTGCAGTACGCTAATATTAATCATGAGCGATATTTTTTTAGAAATGAATAGCTTGAGATATTCCATAAAATTCAACAGTGTTTAATGATTCAGTTTTTCCAGTTTTATCCTCAAGGCTTTCCACATATTAAAAGGTTCATTCATTGATAGACAAAGGTATTTATTTATTTATATTCAAGCATCAAATTACTCAAGTTATTATAAACTATAAATGTGCTTATAACACTATAAAAAACAGTCAGTTTCTGTATACATAGAATTTTATATGTCATATAATTAATATGTATCACCTCCAGAGATGTCCTCCGGTGTCAACCGAGATTGTGTCAGCTACTCCCGTCAAGTGAGTCGAAGGGAAGGGATCTGCAGAGCTGGTTATTCTACAGATTAACTATACATAATTGTCTGAAAAATTACGAACAGACCATATTTAGCAAATTATTTGTTCCAATTTCTCATTACTCCCCTTGTACTGCTAAAGGATTAAACGCGTTAAGACTTGAATTGAGTATTTTAGTGTAAAGTTAAAAGTAGTGTGTCAGTATATTTTCTAAAATAATAGCAAATTTTTGGTCGACAAGTAGTCTTCTTGTATGATTAAAATACCAAAATTTTTATTTTCAGGTGTTTAATTTTTTAATCAAATCGCGCGAATGCCGACAATTAGCAACCCTGTCTTGAGTACCAATAAGATAAAAGAGTGAAAGCAACAGGTGCCGGCACAAACAGCAACGCTGTTTTAACTTTAATGGAGGGAAGGCAACAGGTGCAGGCACAAACAGCGACGCTGTTTTAACTTTAAAGGAGGAAGGCAACAGGTGCAGGCACAAACAGCGACGCTGTTTTAACTTTAAAGGAGGGAAGGCAACAGGTGCAGGCGAGAGGCTGCCGCCGCAACAGGTTGGCGTCACCAACAAGTGGTCCGCCGCTCAGCGGCACCGACAAGCGGCGACGCTCGAGGCCGAGATCATATCCTTATCAACATTGTAGTGCCTCGATTTACTTACAAAGGTTTTATTTTGGAACGAATCTGAATAATTTTCTGATTTTGTAGAGACTGGCTTATAAATGCAGGTATCGAATTTAGTTGGGGCATATTAAATATAAATTAAAAATTATATGTGGCTATTATTGCGGGGATATAATTCGAGCAACAAATGAGAAAAATTTTCATGAAGCAGATTTATGAACCTCTCAACTCTAATCAATCATAGAAAATCAAAAATAATCACTGACACCTGAAAATTATTTGGACTGGACTCCTTTTTCTTGAAGTGTTACCTCGCGAACTCAGAACTGGGCGTGGAGACTGCCGGGGTTTTCTCTTCATCGCTCCTAATCCTGCGCTACGGAGGCGAGGCACTGGGAGCACGTCGCCGCTCGGTGCGACCTGCACGACAGCTCCCGACGCTCTGACGCCCTCCTGACGCCGTGGCTCGAGGGCTGCGAGGGGTGAGGGCTGCGAGGGGTGAGGGCTGCGAGGGGTGAGGGCTGCGAGGGGTGAGGGCTGCGAGGGGTGAGAAATGGAAGAGGACAGGAAGTTATGCTCGAAGAGGCTGAGGTTAGGGTTGAAGAAAAGGCGTGGGCGAGAGACTGGTCAAAATTACGTAGGGCCGTATTCGTGTCAAGAGTATTCGAGGGAGAAAGGTAGAGCGAGAGCTAATCCAGCGAAATAAATGATGTTATAATTATTAGAATTTTAATAAACATCAGCCTTGTATTTCAATGAACTTATTTTTCTGAATACTGTTTTATTTCGAAGCTTTAATATACTGCTACTCCAAAAAAGTCACTATTTTCTGTAGGGAGCCACAACTTTATTTCATTCGATATCACACATTTTATTTCCCCGGGGCTTTTGTCCTATGATAGAGGAAATGATTCAATTTTCTCTAATTTTCGTCGGTGACCGGGAGCCGAGGAATAACCATATAATTTACGTCACCACTTTCCTTATACAGTGGGGGGAAATAAATATTCGTACACTTGAAAAATCGTATTTTAATGTATGTAAGTACACAAACCTAACAGGAAAAGTAATTTAAATTATGTATAGAGACGCATAGCATTCAAAAATACTATCAAAAGAAATTAAATCTCAGTGCAACAAAAAACAATGCAACATGTTCACTTTTCGGGTGAAAAAAGTATTCGTACAAAACAATAAATCCGCATTATTTTAATTGTTGCCTTGAGATTTAATTTCTATTGATGCTATTTTTGAATACAATGCGCCTCTATACATAATATAAATCACTTCTCCTGTTCAGTTTGTGTACTTACATACATTAAAATACGATTTTTCAAGTGTACGAATATTTATTTCCCCCCACTGTATGTTCAAGTTTCAGTGGGTAAACTTGCGTCTTCAATGATGCAAATAAGTTCCTTGATGCATTGTAATTTCACAATTTATGAAATACTTGGACTAGTAGCATACTTGTCCCAAAAAAAAAATGAAATGCATAATCAGTTATATTCAATATCCCCAAAAGTTGGGAATATTTCTCAAATGGAATGCCTTAAAATGTCTGCTTCAATGCTGATATTATATTAAATATATTTATCTGTATTTTCAAAGTTTGTCAACGAAAGTGTGAGTTCCGCGCCTCAAGCTACAAGCTTTGGGTATTTTGCTTCATACTCTCATTTCCTATTGTAAATTTCCAGCACGATATCAGTGATATTAGTGAAAAATCACGATCAAAAATCACTATATGGATATCATGATACTTTGTTAGCTCTTTCACCGGTATAAATTTGGCACTTGTAAATCATGTGTAACATCCAATCGTGTACTTCAGTAATATGTGTGAAAATCACATGATCAATGGTGCATGAATTGTGTTGAAATTGAATGGTGAACCTCAATAGTGTTTTCAATGAGTTTAATTACCTCACGGGTATAATCATCATCACATGTCAAGTTGATCTGCACAGTAAATACATCATAGGCCTTCGAATTTTTTTATTAAAAAAATGTATGGCGTATCAGTTATCATCAGTGACTGAAAATTAATTTGCAGAAAAACATAAGGTTCTTTTTGACATGAACTAGCTTTTTTGTGGTTCCATTACTTCACATCTTAAAGTGAGACCATGAATAAATTATAAGAAATTAGTTTTCTGCAAGAAATGTTTCGCATTAAGCCTCGGATCTTTGGACGATAAAGCCGGATCGCCGCTCAAGAATTTAATCAGAGTTGGCTGTGATGGAGTGGTGGTCGGCAAAGCGCTTATTACCTCGAAGTCAGCTATTCCCTCTCTTCCGGAAATGTTCGGAAGAATTTGTGGAACTCAAATCACGGATCAAATTTATTCATCTTAGAGTTTCGGCAGTTGAACAGTTCTGAGCCTCTGCAAGCCCTCATGCATTTAGTGACGGCATTGGACTCACGTCGTTATCAATTTCAAAAACTGAAGCAGAGACTAATCATTGTTGAAAACTTGATGTCTTAGATAAACAAATGTCTTTAAAAAAAGGCCAAAGATTTGTCATTAATATATGTGTAAATGAATAATTTTGTCATTATACGTATGTGCTCAAATCGTCTTGAATCCTTTTAAATTGCATGGTTTTGACGCATTGGTGAAGCTGTAAGCAAAGTCGGTTCAGAGTCACATATAAGAGAAGGTCAGCTATGGCGGTGGAGCGAGCACGACCCGGCCATTAGGTCACGTCGCTTTATATTCTGCCAGGCAGCCGCACAGCCTCTGGAATGCCCTCATCTGAACTCAATTTTGGCGAGTCTTTGTGTGGGGCTCACAGCAAAATATGTGGCGGCGATCTCAATGGAGGCGGCGGCATGAGGCCTGCCAAAGAACGGCATATGAATTGACTGCGTTTGACGAAAGAAATTTTTCAAATCCAGGTGCGTACACAAAAATATTTTAATAAACTTTGAAAATAAGCAAAAAAAAATAAAATTTTTCAAAAAATTTTAACTTGAAAAAATCATGAATGGACGGTAACAAATTTCTAAATAATATTGTACACCCTATGTGACCAAAGAAAAGGAACACTGACACCAAAAATAAAATGTATAAAAAAAAATTTTAAAGACCACGTTTTTCATGTGGACTCAAAAGTAGAAAATAATTTTTCGGCCTCTGCTGATCTCTGTTTGCTTTCATTCTCTTGGTCTTTTGTATTTCAGTTAAAATATTTTACAACATCTAAAACGAAAAACGTGGGGCGCATATGTATTTAATTGTTTGGTTAGTTGGTGAAATATCGATTGCAAGATTTGATCATCACAGACACGAAAGCGAGCTAAGAAAAACGTGGTAAAAAGCAATAATCGCGGCAATTTCAAGACTTGAAATATTTCTGGATTTTTGGAAAGTCAAGCATTGCTTTACGATGCTCCTATCATACATTACATAATACATTCGCTCCTTTTGAAAGATGATGCTACTAAGAATGTGAACACCTTATCTGTGGTCTTCTTCTGAATGGAAATCCAAGTTACTGTGTTTTATATCATCAATTACGTTGGTACTACAATGAAGTGAAGCTACATCGCTACATGTTTCAGTTTCAAATTCCTATTTAGCCTAAATTGATCGTTTGAAACTAGCTAACATTGTTTGTATAACATAATACAACATACAACTTCGTGTGATGATGGCTCTCATTCAGTTACTTGAATTCTATTATGAGAATTTAAATTTTGTTTTTCTTTTTTCATTTCAATAAACCTATCAGGATAAGCTACACATTGGTCGTGATTTCGAGCTTAATATCAAAATTCCAAATTATTTTCATTAAACCAAATACACACATCTATCTTATAAAAGTATCTTTAATACTCAGAAGGTGCGGTAATTCTAGCTCGGGTGAGTCAAATTCTGACAACTCATATTTTAAGTAGACTGAAGCCGAATTGACATTCGATTATACTACAAATTATACGCAACTGATTCAAGTTAAGAAAACATGAGGTCATTTTGCGTGTGTACAAATGTTCAACTAATGGACGACCAAGAAATTAAGCTGCCATGAATGTGAGCATATAACCAATTGATTGACTTACAAATTATTGATGACCGCCATATACACTTGTGTATTATTTGTGGTCTGATAATTAACTCCGTAAATGATGTTTATGATTAAAGAAATAATTGCTGTTCTTCCAATGTCTCCTGATGATGCCTTCATGTGGAATCTTTATTGCTTTTTTGATATGTAGCATGTAATGATATATAACCGAACGTTCCGCAATAAATGCACATGAGTAGCCTTTAATCACGTATTCAGCAATCATGAGGTTAAAGGTTAAATAGTTCATTTAGCTCAGAACTAATTTTACAATATATTTATCAGCATTACATTAAAGAAAAGGATTTGTAAGTGTGGGTCTCAGGGATACTAATGCTTCTCGTAAATGTAACATCGTGAGATACACAAATTCAAGATATTAATAAATCTATAGCAGCACAAGAATGACTAGACGTTTCAGTTCAAAACGAGAACATCATAATAAGAACACAGAGATTAATCTCTCCAAAGCTAAGTTCCGCAACCAAGTCCCTATAATCATAATCTCGTATACACCCATGATCGAGATCAGCACAATCACATCTCACATATCAGAAGATAGTACAGAGCAGCAGGGCGGTTATAAGTGTCTTGTTTTGATCGGCGCATTTGCCTCCTGCATGGATCGAAGTACGTGCAAAAAACTTCGAAGTGGGCCGAGTGAACGAATGACTTCAAGCCAGAGAAGATCAGTCTTTGGAAACATCAGTCTCTGTCCGCTCTTGTCTTGTCCCACTTGTGTTGACGAGCAAAGACTTTAGTGAAACTTGAACATGTCGTAGGCAGTAGAAGGGAATCCTGTAGCTCCCTTCTTATTCTGGCTCTTAGCTACGAGTGCCTCCGCCATGCCGTTCCTGAAAATTCAAAACATAGAGATTGACATTAATTAAACAATTAATTATTTAAAAGACGGACATAACAACCAGATCCTACTGATTACTCTTTTTAAATTTACGCTTATATCAAAACAGGTTATTTTGTTTTAACATCGGACCTATTCCTTAGGTGTTTCAATATTTATTGTACTCCAGCACGAAATTTAAACAATGCATTGCAGACTGACAGCGATAAACTCTCTGAGATTGCCCTCTTGAAACGCTAGACTTAGTTCTAAAATTCCACGCACTCGTTCACTGCCTGAGTGAAGGAAGGGTCGCAGAGCTTCGACTTGAAGTTGTGTACGGAGTACTTGTTGTACATGCCCCAGATGCTATTCATCATCTTGCTGTTGTACATCATTGGGCTTTGGCCTGAAATGATAGGCAATTAGTTTTGAGAAATGAGTGATGTGCATTGTATCTATTAATATAAATAGTGAGTGTTTTTACAGTAATAACATAAACTATCCTGTTTTACTACATTTTGGATATTTTAAATGAGTAGAGAAGAAGAAAATTCGTAAAAATAAAATGAGAATTTTTTTATTTACCTTGCTTCATGGTCGAATTCATCTTAATAAATTATTTCTATTTCAATATTGCCTTCAACAACACTTCAAGAATCATCGGAGCAACTCATTTTCCCAACCTTGTAGGTGCTCTTATCTAGAGTAGATAAAGATGCATTGAAATGACTACCTTCAAGTAAATCAGAATACCTTTTTATCCTTGGCTAACATGATTAATAAATCTTAATGAAGGAACAAATCCTGTTTCTACTTCTATATTGCCAACACCAACCCCACAAAAACAATTAAATGTAGATTTATTTGCACATTCCTGCCAATCTAGCGGATAAAATGCTCTTTAGAATAAATTAGATAAAATAAAAATTAAAATGTACCAATTGCTTCTATAAGAATTATTTTTCCCACTTAAATCGAAACTTTTTATCGCACTTCTGTTTCGTATATATAAGCTGAACGAACACTGGATTTCATGTACCAAGTTGCCTAAATCTCAGATTTCCTGGAATGATCACAACGCTGGACCATACCTGAAGCTATGGAGACTGCCGGTGGTTCTTCCATATACGCCGACGGGGGTGGTGGACTGGAGCCCTGAGAACGTCTCTTCTGCTCGGCTTTCACCATCTGCATTGCGTATGGCATCGACATGCCGGCAACACAGTTTGTACAAACTCCTGCACAAAATACAAAGGATTAATTCATGGTCAATAACTATGTAGTGAATGGAAACCATGATGATAATCACTTATTGCAGACAACTAGTCTTCTTTTCTAGTAAATAATCTTGAATTCGATCGCTCGCATGGGAGCTTCAATAGATGGATAACCAAAGCAGTCGCGAAAATAATGTTTTGGCCAAGGTTGCATGATGGCCTAAAAACGGCCAAGTTCACGAACAAAAAAAGGCCAAAAAGGCCTATAACTCAATATGTACTGGTTTATTTGTAAGTTCCGGTTTAAAAATTCCATTTATTTTTTTTATAGTTTTTAAAATTTAATTAGGAAGTACCCCTATCATAGATTTTTGCCACCCCAACGCAATTAAAAAAAAACTAAATCGCGGAATTTTTCCGGAAAAAAATACCGCCTGGCAACCCTGGTTCCGGCCACGCATTACTTTATGATGTGATTCTCAAACATAATATAGGACAAAGATTCAACATAAAAAATGTTACATGGGAAGCTGAATTTACCGGAAACATCAAGATCTTTATAATCGTTCGTAGCTTGTTCGATCAAGATCGCTAGTTTTCCTTCTTCTTTCTAGCTCAGCCCCGATCACCCGGAAATATTAATGTTAAATCAATGAATGCATTAATAGCTCTGTTGTTTGCAATGTTAATCATGCGATGCGATGGTGAATTCGGCCGATCAGAAGGTCATTGCATTAATAGCTCCATTATTTGCAACGGTGATAACACGTTGTTTGAGTGAATTCGTCCGATCAGAGGGTCATGTCAAGCACCACGCGTACGTGATGGCAGTGGCTCGGGTTAACTGGTTAGACCAAAATGTTGGCCCCCGCCATAGCTCGAGCAGCTGGGATCACGTCCGCAGCTTAGATGCTGTACCTGCAGCTGCTCACTTATCTTGTTCACTCTCTACGATCGCCAATGCGGCAGAGAACAACTGAATGGGGCTCATCTATCACGATGAAAAATACCTTTTTTGACAAACAAATCAACATGGCTAAAGCAATGGAAGCTTCTCAAATTACCAATGTAAAACTACGCTGGAACAGAAGTGTGATTTACCCTCTGCATAAATTTTGCAAGTATATCCTTGTCCGTCCGTGCTTGAAAAAAGAGCCTAACAACGATTCTATGGTTAAATTTTACGAATTTGCGTCTTACTCTTACCTGATCTGATTGCAGAAAATGCAGCAAAAATGCAGTCCGCCCCAAAACCACACCGTCCGTGATCACTGTTGAACACGATCATAAAATTAATGAAACTTCGTTCTCCACCACAAAAGTTAAACGAGGGCTGGGAAAATATCGTACGAGATTCAAGTCACTGGTTCTCTTGTCGATCGCACTTGAACAGACACAGAAAGGTTCTGGGGCCAGGAGCCTGGTATTTATACTCGCCCTTTACCAGCCCCTAAAAACCAGTCTTGCTTGATTTTCGCCTCATCCAAGGTGAGCAGTAACAACAACAACGAGAGCAAGAGTTGCTGTCGCTGGGCAGAAATCTTCTTAAACCTTAAAGGGGGGCGATCAAATACGATGAAGTCATGAATCCTATCGTTTTCGCTATATTCACACAGTGAATCAAGGTGAAAGCTCCTGACCGTGCACGACGTTGACGCACATAGTTATATAAATCTGTTAAAGGCGACATATGTTTAGAGACTCGGGTAAAAAAATTGGTTGTGAGACTCGTCATGAGCTGCTGAAAATTTGGCCCTGAAGTAGCGGCATAGATGGTATTAGGACATCACAAGCGACAGGACAAGGTATGGAAATCTGTAGAAGTTTGGATTATAACGACAGTTTTATAAACAATGTCTCCACATTCAACTACCGGTAATAACAATATTATGTCTCACATCCTATTTTGTAAGAACTAACCAATTTGTTCGGTAGACATCAACTAATTCTAGAGCATAACTTCCTTGTACGAGCAGACGTCAGTGTAGTAACACTCAATGATGTGCTGAGTAGCCATGTATGAAATTCGCTGGTGCTTCGGGGTACCCATAGCTGCAACAGGGCCATCTACATGTATGAAGGTCGGAGCTCCTCAGCCAGAAAAACTATGGAAGTATACTGAAAAATTTATTTGGCTTCCGTGATGTCCAGATGGCTACGTTTCTGTCTGCGTCATTCGTCAAAAAACACAAGCCAGCGCATACATCGGTTAGGCTCGGTAGAAGATCAGGAGGGCGAGTTTCTTCGACACTGACATGGATTTGATCACGTGCCCAACTTTTGCCTGCACGTGTTGAGCGCGTGATTATTTAAATACATAGGAACACTTTCCATTTCTATTTTGAGCTCAGTTGTGTGGGAAAGCAAGTTCAAGGACGGGTATGCATCTTCCAAGTCAGAGTAAAGACTCATGGAACGCTCTTTTTTTAGTAGTAGGTCAGTTAACTTGGTTAAACGGTACTATTGCAAGCCCAAAAGGATTAAATATAAGTGTGCGGTTTGGGATACGTTAGTGACATACCAAGGGCCAAAAGTTCATTAAAATTCTAAAGAGAACTTTACTGTCTCAGTGCAAACTTATCGTTCGGCATTCATCAATCAGCAATATCGATTCCAATAATTTTCCATCGATGATTATTGAATGTTGGGGCCCTCAATGAAGAAAATTATTTTTTATATGACACGCTGAAAACCTTATCACACGAAATCTCACGTATTCTATTGATGTCATCTCTGTTTATGTTGCGTGTAAACGTAAGATTTAAACTTGTTCCTGAGCTAACCTGTGTACTGGCAATTTTGGCATCTCGGCACGCCTTTCATTGGACCTAATCGACAATTCTCCGAACTCATGCGAATGGTTTTTACTTAACAAAGAGCCTAGCTATCTGCTGGACCAAACCCTTGCTTACGTCAGCCAATCTTAACATAAGCTTTTAATGAGGTTAGCAATTCATTATCTATTAGCTTCCGTTGAGAAACGCTTTTACGTTTGGTTGGGTATGATGCGATTGTATTTTCTTTGATAGTTGCAGATAATCGTGCACGCTACATTTATGCAGCGTTTTTCGTTTCGGTCGCTTATTACAAAAAAATGTATAAGTTGATTTCGTCAGGGCCATGTAAGGAAAGAATTTTTGGAAGACATGCTTTGTTTAGCGGACTTTTCGTTGGCTGGCAATACTATACTGCGCGATGTGAATATTTTTACAGAAACACGTCATGCAGCCATCGCGCAGGATATTCGAGAACCTTGGTATCAAATATTCATTCCTTTGTCAAGTGCAACAACGTTAGTGCTACTCATTGCTTATAATTTAATGAATTCAACATAGCACATGTACCAGAACGTACAACCACATTGTGATGGTGTGGAATTAAGCCAGTTACCACCCATAAATTATCAGTTACCACCCATAAATTATAGCTTAAACATCGCTGTTGCTTACCCCACTTTACCTTTCTTCGAATACTACCGCATCGTCAATGCCACTGATTTTGTCGATTGTAGCCCACAATCAATAATTGTTAGTACTTTTTTGGCTGGGAGATAAAAAACGGCAACGAATGCGTTATTTGAGCAACAAATACCAACAATATCTTCTACAAGTATCGTACATATCGATGACCTATATCAGTTGACCCTATTGAAGACTACAAATGCACACTCATATGTTATACTGTAATTTGATTGGTGATGGAGTCAAAATTGTAACCGCTTAGTTTAGTTCCAGTGAAATATATTTATTTAAACGTACTTCTCTACTTAAAAATAGCCAAAGGCTCAAAATGACCTGGAAATGTTTTGCTTCAATTTTGTGTCATAAATAATTTCATTGAAAATACTTGACGAAGCAACTAAAGTCCATTCATCTATTTATATATGACGTGTACAGCGTTACGCGGAGGTACTATCACGGAGGTTGCGTTCTGGGATGCCTCCACGATGCCCAAATATCCGTAGAAATGAAGATAACAATTTTTAAATTTATTCATCATGTATTTGTAATTAATATGCATTTATGGATGTGCATAAGAAGTAAAATATAGGTTTTTACTTCCAACAAATATATTACCTCAATTCACCCGATACAGCGATACTTGTATATCGATCAGAGTGTGACGTCAGCAACATCATTATTACCTAACCTGGATCTATATGTGGTGCCGGTCATAGTTGAATTAATACAAATTAATTCAACCATGGTGCCGGTATTCTTCTATCGAATAGAAACTGTAAGCTTTGAAAAAAAAAGGAATGCTGTAATTTGCTTCAATAGTTCCGTAAAAGGATATATAGTAATAATATTCAATGCGAGTTTTGTCTTTTGGAATAAAAACGGATTTGTCGATAAATGTCAAATTTTCATGATTTAACTAACATGTTCTCGATTATTATTTTTTAATATTAATATTAATAAAAATACATTAATATTTTTTCTCTTCAGCTCAAAGAATTACAATGTACGCTTTGCCACTGGACAGTAATTTTTGTACTTCGTGTCGCCATTGCCTGTGATGGGTGTCAAAATTACAGGAACTAGCGAGTCGTATTGATTCCCGAACAAATGAGCATCGAGCCAAAGGTATTTATTACGTAGTTTTATGGCACTTAAAATGACTTCTGATGGGACAAAATGGTGCTCTTCAAGCCAATGAAGAAATTTATCCACACAAAAATTCCTTTCAACAGTAAAATGATACTATTCGACTACGTATTAGCTAGATTTTGGCAATTTAACTTCAATTTCTATGATAGATGGTTAGAAAATAAGAGTACGGCGAAATAAGAACCGGGTAGTAGATTCAGTAAGCATCAATTTACTCGGACGAGAAGGGGAGTGAGTAAACCATGATTATTTCAATTCTCAAACAAATAATCAATTAAATTCAAAAGACATCTGAAGCTGACTGAGCTGGACGTGTGCAGACGTTAGGTACTACGTAAATTAGTTATCAAGCGCGCTAGACGGAAAGTATTGCGCTGATTCGATCTACTTTAACTTGAACGAATTCAGCTAATTGTCAATACTTTTGTTAAATTTTTCTTTACTAAGTATAAAATTTAGGACTTCTCTGATTCAGAACAGAATCGCACAGCTACATAAAAGATGGGTCAATAACAATTGGGTTCCGGCTTGCTAACATTTTTGTTCACTTCGAACGACAAGAAGGAATCTTTCTGGAGACTCAACTGGTTAGTATTTCGTTTCCAAGAAACATACAAGGATAATAAAATAAAAAATTTGTAACTATTTTGTCACCAAAGCCACACCGGAAATTTATCGTCTTACAAGGCGCCGGGCATTTATTGTTATTTTTACGTTCGGCAGGATAATAAAGGTTAGCAAAGGAACGCATTCAGCAGGATAATCCTTGATAACCCTATTACATGATTTAAAAACTTCTAATTCTTTTTTATCCAATGCTGCACGAGAATACTTTACTGTGGAATTTAAATCTATAACTAAATTTCATTCACAATACATTATCTATGAAGCGAAAAGTGTTCATCGACGTATTGCTTTTCCTATGGCTTTAGACAACCATCTTCCCAATCAACAATCTAATAATTATGTAAATCGCAAGAACAAATCAACCTTGCCCGAATTCAAAAGATTTATTGTTTGCAGTGTAAATTTGACGGTGATCAATGGGGATGTTTTATTTTAGATCTTGACTTTAGCAAGACCTCTGCTGACTTCTTCGAGCTTGTGGATCTGGCGAATGAAGAAGTCGCCGTAGCGCTGAGCCACCTTGGTGTCAGCGATGTGAATCATTTGTTTGTCGATGTAGAAATCCACCTGAAATAATAGGCAAGTAATTAGAGACCATTGACTAGACATGAACTCAATGTTTATCATAACTTAAAATTGAATAACAATCACGGAAATTTTTAACTAAAATATGTTCAAATCTTAATTGATAATTTTATTGTAGTTCAATATCAAGAATTATTCAAGCCCGTGCACCACTCCTTCCTAAAATGTTTGCGTACTTCAGAGTCACTCTGGAAGTCACCGTTGAGCCCTGAAGTGCCTTTGGTCCAAACGACGTTCATCATCTTGTGCTTGAAGCACAGCAGAGAGTTGCAGAAGTCTTGGTTACTCATGCCCGTGAAGGCGGCTGCTTTCTCCACTGGCATCGTCGTGTAGAGTTTCAGATAAGAACGCATCACGCTGATCTGCATCTGCTGCTGCACTTCATCCAAGAACACCTGAGAATAGATGAAACAAATGCGCAAAAAATTATGTTCAGGCTTTGAAGAGACAGGAAATGAACGGCTGCTTCGATGCCATACATCGAAAGCAACACATAATTTACTCTTTGATTTTGGAGTACATCAACTTAACTGGGAGTATTGAAGAGAATTGAATATATTCTCTGTTTACATATTTTAACTATTCTTGAATGAAAAAACAAAATCGCCATCACTTAAATGCGCAACATCATTTACAAGAGCAATAATAATGCTTTGTCGGGAGCAATGTAGAATTCTGGGAATGTGGTTTCATATATTCAAGATTGATCCAGCTTAGTAGCATGATCAGTTCCAAAATATTAGCTAAATATAAGTAAAAATTTAAATGCGAATTTTTAGGTCTAATGAATTGTTTACATGTTCATATATTATCCCTCACAAATTCCACCATGGTCGGGAGTATAAAAATCCCATAATATATTTAAAGCAATAATCAGGTCACTTACATTCAAAGTTGTTAAAAATATGATGGGAATAATTCAAAGTCACTACCCCCGTAGAGCTAAAGATGAGAGATGGAAATCTCAACCAGGCGTTTCGTACCTTGAGCTGCTGCTGGAGAGGCTCCTTATGGTAGTCGGCGGGCACAGCATCTGCAGCAGGGGGCACAGGAGACAGGAACTTGGGGCAAGCGTAAGTGAAGCAGTTGCTGAACTCGTTTATGTCGCCACGCTGTGTGTGTAAAAAAATAGTCCAAACAAATAATTTAAATCTCAGTCGACCAATAATTATGACTTATAGATACCAACGAATTCATGTTATGAGAAATAGAGAGAACTGAGCAACACCTCTTTGGATTTAATTCCTAAAAAGTCAAATTAACATAATATACTATGCAAATCTTTATAAAGTTCATTTCACCAAACCAAATTGGATTGAATTAAACAAACACTTTAGGAAATCTGTTAATGGCCAACACAAGAAATTTCTAAAAAGATCACTCACAGTCATCCTGGCAATCTTCTCAGCTAGAGCCTTCTCTCTCAGCGTCGACTGAATGGCCTCATCAATGCGCTGCGGATGCAACACAAGGCAGATCGCCAGCAGCGTGTACATCTGTTCCGTCTGCATGCAGGAGAAAGGCTTGAAGTCAGTTTTTAACAAGAGAAAAAACATGGGTAATAATTATTCATTTATTGACGCAGTATTCAACGCTGACAATGCAGGGCCAGTGTACGACCCACCCTCAATTCATTTGCATCAAATTTGCACTATTCATTGACATTTTCATTAATCATGCTCATTGGAATTTAAACACATCAATCCACGCCCAACCTAACAAAATTTCACTTAAAAGACTATAATTTGACCTGCTTGTTGATTTGATCATTCTGGTAGGTCCTTGACTGGAACATGGTTCGTGTGCGCTGGATGTACACGAGAATGTTGGAGAATGTCCTGATGGCGTCAGCATAGCGCCTCATCATCATGTAAGCAAATCCCACGTAGTAGTATGTGGTGATCTGGCAAGCAGCTACTCGGGAATACATCGACTTCTTGTTCAGTTCAATGTTCTCAAGTACCTGATTGAAAGGGTAAATTAGATTGAGTAAATATCCTTATAGGAACAACAACAATGTAAGACAGCTAGTAAATCTGAGCGTCGTCACAGTACTCGCCAATTAGAGTACAGCAGATAATTAAAGAACACATGTAGACAGACATATGTGCAAGTGAGTCAATTAATGAACTTTCCAAGAGGTCGCCTAGAATTACACAAGCACAATGCGGCCTGAAAACTGGAGCTAGTAAAATACGCTTCAACACCTCATCTACCAACATATCAGACAACAAAATTTAGGATTTTCTAAGTGCATAAAATAGCCCAGAAAATTACCTTCAAGGCCTGGTAGTAATCGCCCAGCAGCGAGTGGAGACGCAGGAGTCCCACAAGACTGAAGTATCCAAGCATCTTGTACAGAGAGTGGCGTCCGAACTCTCCAGCAACAGTATCTGGGTCGCCACCACTCGTGTACACCTTCAAGTTAGACCAGTAGGTATAGTTATACACGCATAAATCTAACAATCATTAACCCAGGCACTCCAGTCTAAACTTCATTATAAATAAAACTATAACGGCAAAATGGATTGAATTCCAATTTTTTTGGCATTGAGTCCTATTTCTTCAACTTATCCATTATTAATGTATTGAAAACTTGAAAAACATATATAAATAGCAGGGACTGAGTCACTATTTTAGTGACTTTGATATGATTTTTTCATGCTGAATTGAAAAAATACACAAATTGCTTTTGATGCAGCATTATAAGCTAGAAAAATGTTAACTGACCTCTAGCTGCTGATTGATGTTACTCTTGTCAATGACGCAATGAAGGACGTTGAGAACCGAGTGAACATTCCAGATCTTGGGATTTTCACGCAGTAGCTCCAGTTCACTTTCAGTTTTCTTTTGCAGTTTGGAACGGAACTGCGAGAATGCCTGTGAAATATAAATATTGTAAGTAAACATTTTTTACTACCACGAAACTAAATATATTAAATTTATTAAGCATTGATATATGGAACAATAATTATGCAAAGTGTGTGGTACATGAATATTGTCATTGATTAACATTAGCCATACAAAACACATGAGGTAACTTCTGAAGGGATTTTGCAAGTTTTATCAGTGAAGGACACAAGTAAGTTATTTAAATAGAAAAAATGTGTATAACTCCATCAACAAATTTTTATCATCTAATATTCATGCGCATGGTTGTGATACAGACTAGAGCACCGAACCTGGAACTGGTAAATGAACTCGTCAATGATTTCCCATAACCATTGGTTGGGTAGCTCCAACTTTATGGGAGTCTCCGCACCTGAGGAAATTTTACAAATATTTTAGGTTATGAGGATTATAAGAATTCTGGGATCACTATTCTCATAAAAATTCAAAAGTGGTGCACATGTTTTGGACTTTACCAGATCAAGAAATAATAAATGAACTTGTAAATGCATAGAAAGAGACTGCCAGAACAAAGATAATACTTCTAATATCAGAGTAATATTTGAATCTAAATTCAGACTAATAAGACTTCATTCGCCTCAGCTGCATTACACAGAAGAGAAAACAGAACTTTAACTCACTCAGGATAAAGTTGAAGAACTTGCAGTAGTTGAAATAAGACTCAAATCTGTGCTCAAGAGTTGGTCCACCGGGAACTTGAGCATAAATGTGTCGATAGAAGAGTTCTTGGTAGAGGATCAGAAAGGTCTCATCTTCCTTCTCTTCAATGAGCTTGTTAGCATACAAATCACTAAGCTCAGGCCAGCTCTGGTTCATGTAGTAAAGTTCTGTGAGACGCCCAAACCTGTCAAATGAATGTATTTGTACTCAAAACATGCAGATAGGGCATTAATATCATGCTTTCATTCACACTTAATTATAGTCTAAACACGTAAATTGTTATCATTATTGACAGATGATGTTTATATTTATAAACTCAAATAATATTATCCATTGAAGTATATTTTTGACTGAAAGTGAGGGTGCTTCATTATGTGAAATTCTCATAGGGTGCTTCATTATGTGCCTAAATATTCATTTAAATATTTTCATCATGAATATTCATTAGAGCAATTTGAAAAACATCTACAACCTTAAGCAGCCATTAATCCTGACACCAGAGACAAGCTTTCAACCAGACCACGTCACTAAGTATCACATTCAAGCAACATAATCTTATGACCTGTGATTAACTCAACAGGGTCCATGACACCCTTGAAAATATTGTCAAACTCAACAGGTCTATCACTTGCACTGTGACAGAGGAACCCACCAGCATCATCATGCAGTGGCCCAACATCATCCAGCCGACCATCATGCACTGGCCCAACATCATCCAGCCATCCAAGCTGTAGCCTTAATCTCTACAGATTGGACTGCAGCTATTCATATCTTAACTACGTATCACATTTTTGAACTTTGAGATTGTTTTACTTATTTTCTGCTTTCAAAATTTTGTGTTGTAACCTATTAGTGTGTATAATGTTCTTATTTTTATCAAAATTTCATTGTTCAATGCTTCCTATAACTTAAAAAAAATGCTGTTGCATTTTAAAGGTTATAAATAAAGTGAAATTACTTTTTTAAACCTGCCTTTTGATCATCCAATGTCATCTGAAGAATCATTCAGCCCTGGAAATTTAAATTATTAAATTCTCTGGTCATTCTTTGCACGTGTTCAAACAAGCTAATTCCGCCATCTAACACTTAATTATAGATGAACAAATGTGTGAAACATCACATATGATTTCTCTCATCAGAAAATTGCTCATTGCACTAAAAACCAATCTCAACATGCATCAGAGGAGTAGCAACATAATTTCTACTTACTCAGAATAGAGTACAGGAATCTCATAAGCACTTCCATCCCTGATAATGTCCCGGAAGTACAAGATGTACTTCTTGACATCCTCTGGGATGCTGTAGGTGATGCTACTGCCCTCCTCAGGAACCGACAGACCTCGGTCATATTGGTAGTCCTCAGGGTAGTTTTCAAACTGGAAAATAGAGTAGCTTTCAGAAAAATAACCTCAAGGTTTCTTACATTTTAGAAACCTGCTTCTAGTTCTTCACATTTATTTTTCCTAGCAGCACGTGTAGACTCCAAGTGACTTAAAAAAATCACTGGTGCATCTTCATAAAAAAAAAGAGATAGACGGAGAGATCTTACTTTAATTACATCACAATGTGTATTTGAAAATTTAGCAACAAGATATGCCATTGGATAAATAAAGAAATATAATTTTAGGATGATATATAGTTATATTATTTATAAAAATGGTAAATAATCATAATTAAATGAATTTACAGTAAAATACAAAAGGAATATTATTTTAAATAAAGCATGATTGAAACTGCATAACTAACAGTAAATATTGAGGCACAAAAAAGTTCAGAATTGAAAAGAATTATTTAGCCAAAAAATTGTAATATATTGTAAATGAGAGCACTGGAGCTGTTGAGCAACATGAATTTGAGGGGAATTTTTATTCTCATTTAATCAATCTGATAGATGCACCAAAATATGAGGAAAAATGCACTGTATGACACAAATAGTCCAAACATGGATTTGAGCTGCACAATTGCATGCAAACATATACTTGCATCACATGGCTATGCACATGTGACAGAACACAATTTTTGTGGATTATTTTTTTAAAACATTATTTTGCTTCTGATTTCACTCAAGAGATTTAACTTATGTATGACTAGGTAATGCGTAGACATATTTTTATTTCTTAACTGTAACAAGGAATATCCTTTGCTGTGATATTATCTGTCAGTAGCGTCGCATTGCAATCATGCACTAAGTGCCATTCCTTGTCTGCTAGCCCCGACCACGTTTAGACTTATTTCTATATATTAATTGCAAATTATTACTTGACCTTTGGTTTATATGATTTAATGCTCAATTCTTATATTTTTTTATTATTATATTTATTAATCATGCTAGACATCTTAGAGGTAAATGTTCTATAAGAAGTTAATTATAACTTGTAGTCATGTTGCCAAATGGTTAAACTTTTTATTAATATTAAGGTATTTTATTAGGTGATAATACTTCTCATTGAATTTGATAATGCTTTTAGTCAATGTTCATTTGTCTAGACTATTGATAAACTGGTATTGACTTGCGCGCTTGCAAGGTATTTTTGAGAGTAATTCTGTCATAATCAACTATCATCCATTAATATGTGACCAAAGAAGTAGGATATGATTCTGCTTGTTGTAATATATTATATTACCTATTTTTTGCAATTAGAGTGTTAACAGCCCGTTTTGTGCTCCTTGTAAATGAGGTATTGTGTTGACATTATTTTAGCTGAGTTACCCCAAGCAGGCAAGTTGTGAGTGCTCAGTTGTACTGGGTGGGCGTGCAGACATTTCGACTCAAATTCAGGGAAAGAGCCAGATCTGGGCTTCAAAGACTACCAGAGTTCTGGAAATATCTTGTAAAGAGATCCACTGAATAATTATGGTGTAGGTCAGTTAGTTCCAGTGGCTAGTTCCAGTTGATTGAAGTGCTCTGGCATGGCTAGTTCCCACACCAAGAACCTCTTGTGTTGTGAGGACTTATAACCTCTGCACTCAAGTATATTTGTCAGCATTCTGGCACAGCATCTGCCAAACTGTTTGGGACTCCCGTGTCAGGGGAATTGATACCTTTCATGCTTCGGAGTAATTAGAATTTGGCAGTGTTTTAGGGCAAGTATCCCTAGTATCTGTGGCTGGTTGTTGGTATCTTGGTGCGGCTAGTTCCCGTACCATTTGCTATCCAGATTTACAATTCTTGGTAGTGTATTGGGGCTGGTACCCCTAGTTTCTGCAGCTGGTTTTTGGGATCTTGGTGTGGCTAGTTCCCAAACCATTTGCTGCCCATTTTTGTGATTATTGGCAGTGTATTATGGCTAGTAACCCTAGGCTCTGCATCTGGTTTTTTTGCACCTTTGTCTGGCTATTTCCCGTACCACTTCCTTTTTTCCTTCATTTATTTGCAAATTCGATTACTTTCCAAAACCTGAAATGAAATCTCATGACTTTTCAGGCCTGGAAAACAAAAAATCAAATTCCACGAGTTTCTAGTTTTTCCATGACTGGTATGAACCCTGTTTCAACTTCACGCCAGTTTTTCCAGTTAAACTCATATGCATATTAGTGACTGCAAATTTGTTTAATGCCTGCTGCTGCTGACAGTGGTGGCAGCTGCAGCTGTGCAATGAAACCATTGTATCCTCTCACCATGCAGCTATGCATGTAGCAAATTTGTGATCATACATATGTTCAATGCCTGCGGCAGTTGACAGCGGCAGCTGCTATGTGATGAAGCAATTGCATCCTCGTGCATGGTAGCCATGTATGTAATTAGTACTGTTGCTGCATTCAAAGCCAGCTGCTGCTGTCATTGAGGCAAAGCAGAGACATCTCAAGACATTTTTTTAGTTTGTTTGTGAGTGCAATTAGATCACTAAGATCAGTAAATTAACATTGATACAGTCAACTGGGGTGACTTTGGCCAAATTACACTAGTTTGAAGTTTCTGCCAATCAAATTCCAGCAAAATAGAAATGAGGCATTGCTGGTGATTGTAAATTTGTAAATATATTACTGAAAGGTTCTTCTTTGAATATCTCATGTCTAAATCATGTCACTTTTATCGTTTAATAATATTTTTTAATTAGCTGGGTGGCTGATGTCACCCAGCAATGGGGTGACCTTGGCCACGTGTGTTAAAACACAGTAAAAACGTAAAAATGATTTCATGGCCTAATTCAACCATTAGCGGGGTGACATCGGCCACGTAGTGTGTCTTAAAAAATGATAATCAATGCCACTGTGTATTACAACAATTGAAACACAAAGATAAGGACTCACATTTGTGAATCAATGTTTCATTAAGGCAGCTTTCTGTCTATTTCAATGGCAGCTGGACGTGAAAGATTAAAAATCTAGTCCCCAGGAGATCTTGAGCATTCTTCAAAAAAACCAATGATGCTTGAACTTAGAGATGCAACCCTTGAACTTACATAAAGTGCCACCCTGTCTGTCAAGGTAATTTTCAACCAAAAACGCAAATCCATACCATCTAATGGGAAGCCCCAGTTTGGTAGCAGAATAATGTAGGATACTAAATCTGACTCCTCTGTAGGTGAAAGAGTACACTGCCCTAAATTTTTTGCATTAAGGCAAGCACGTCGGTCGTTCAAAGTTGAATGAGGGACTTTGAAATGTTACCAGCTTCTCTTAGGCCAACACCATCTTCTATCAACTACAATGCTCTCTTAAGGGGAGTATCTGGCCAAAATTTTTTTTAATTTTTTTAATTTTGGCTTTTCTGGTTTTTAGTCTTGTCTTAAAGCTGACATTCTGCTCTATTCAATGGTACCAAAATCATCTCTGTAAGTTGATTTATGCGTTCATGACAGATCATGAAAAGGTGGGGGGTGGTGGAGTTCTTTCACATTTAGTTAGGATAGGTGAAAATTCCCAGTAGCATACTTATTACTTAAATAGCTAGTACCTTCAGTTACCCGCCTGCAGTTGTACGGGAGGGTTTGCATGTCGTTCACACTATCCTTGACAGGAATTGAGCTCTAGTATTGCCTAGTCTTGCATTCTTGCCACCTTGAACGCTTATTTCGAGACGCCCGGGACTTTGTCAGGCTCTACCTAACAATTAATTTAATGTCACTGCAAACCTATCTCCTCCTACAGTTTTGAAGCTACACTGATGAGACATATACCATTCAATTCGCAATTGAAATATCTAGAGAATCATCATAGCTTTTTTTCAATTTTGTTATAGTTTTGAAAATATTGTGAAAAAAAAGAAAGGGAAATTTGGGGAAATCTAAAAATTTTTGAAAATTTTGGGAAAAATGCTCCCACATCCACAAAAATTTGAAATTAAAAAAAAAACTACAACGAATCGATATATATTTTGATTGTGAATCGAATGGTATGTGTCTCATTGCTGTAACTTCAAAAATCTAGGAGATAGATTTCTATAGTAGGTACCCCCTTTTTGGCCATTTTCTTGGAATTTCACACTCATTTTTTCAAAAAAGGGACAGGAATAAAAGCTGTCTATTTTTCAGTTTCACACATGTGTACCAATTTTCAGAGTGATCATCTGTAAACAGCCGAGATAAAATTTTGCCCAGATGCTCCCCATAAAAGACTCCTCAGAATATAACCTATATGGCACAGAATATAATTTATGTTTATAGCTGCGCATATTGTCTGACAAAAGAAGACAAATATATTATTCTAAACATTTATTGGCTGGCCGAAGTCACCCCATATAGCCCATATACTATGTGGTGACTTTGGCCAGCTAATTTTTCAATCATATATATATTACATTTGGTAAAAAAATGTATAGCCATTGATATAATCATTATACAAGATACCAAAATAAGTGAAACAAATCTGATTTCAAAATTCTTTTTGTATCTCAAAATATTGAAGTACAGTATATATATAAATATATACTGTGGCATTCAGATTGTGTTGGTCAAGCAGGATATAAAATTATTGAAACAAAACAGTTTCCAATTGAAAGATAAGAAAAAAACTACATTGGATACCATTTTGTTCCAATCACATAACACAACTACAACAGAAACAAATGACCACAAAACAAAATCATAAACGTTGGCTGAAGTCACCCCGGCGGCCGAAGTCACCCCAGTTTGTTACCAGCATTGTTGTACATAGTAGGTAGTATGTGCAAAGCAGCATGTAGAACAATGCAAAACCTAAAAATTTTGGAGAATTTTTTGCCTTCAACATACTGTAGGCATTTTTGTCCTAATCTCCATACTTAATCAACAGCTTGATTTAGTTGACTCATGTTTGGAAATGAACCAAAGAATCTCAAATTACTACCATACTAACTTTTTTGTCAAGAAGTTTATATTAATATTTTGTTTGATTGCTGACTGCAATTTGCTAGTGTTACCAGAAAGTACAGAAAAAAAGTTCTATCATTCATGGCTTTAAACCAAACATAGTTGACAAATGAATAAAACAGTTGAGTATGTTATCTAAAGCTTAGGGGCTGCAATAAATCTACAAGTATCTAATTTGATTCATTACTTGAATTTGTCTTGAAATATTAACACATTTGTATTTCATGTCATGTAACTAATTCCATTAGATTCATATACTAAAAAGACATTACAGCCTACAGACATTTACAAATCAAAAACAATTTTAACTTTAACATGGATACCTATGTTTTCATTGATTTATTTTTCTGTTTATAGAATTGCTTACCTTTAGTTTCTAACCATTTAGCATTCAAGTTATCATATATGATCACTTAAAATCTTTAAAAATAGGCTTATCATCACTTAACTGTAAAGAATGCTCAACATTGTTTTGATGAAGTCAAAGTCAAAATCACCTAGCTATGCAACAATTGGTTATACTTTTACCAACAAATGTCTAGGAAAATTTTGCCCAATATTTCTTATTGGGATGTCAAGACTAGGAAAGTTGGCAACTGACAATTATCCACTAGAACGACCAACTCTTGGTCTACTATTAAAACAAGCTTAGAGATGAACAAAATAAATTGTAAAAAATAATTTTTGACTTAGGGTAAACACACCATATTCTGACATCGTGGGTAATTCCGATACTTCTCAACCTTTTTCTTCATATTAAGCTTTGTCTTATTTCCACACATGCATAGATGGTTGAAATAGTGACGTCATACTATTGCGCGCCAGATTTCCGCAAAACACTAGGTGTGGCAGGAAAATGTCAAGATCCTCAGAGCGAAAGTCCACGTCACCCAGTGAGAACATCAAAAAAGGTGTCAAAGTTGATAGTTTACCTTGCTCTACCAAATAGTGATAAACTGTTTGTGTAGAAAGAATATTATGGTTTGAGACTTTTAAATAAGTCTGTGAATATATTAGGAATCCTTTAAGTATACTCGTATTTGCTGATTTTAAGTGGTAAATAAATTAATAGATGATCAACTTAAGAGATGGTTATAGACACATAAAAACTAATTTAGACACAGCTTGGAATTAGACACACACACCTCATTCCGAGCTGTGTGCAAAAATTAAAATTTTCTTAATTAAAAGCTAATTAACTCTTAATTAAAAGCCTAATTAAGTAGTGTTCAATATTCAATAGTGTTCTAATTCCAAGCGGTGTTGTATTCCAATACAGCTCACACAGGGATTGGAATTCGAACACAAGAGGGTTGGAATTACGAATTAGTAGAGTTTGAAGCACAGCCGGAATTAGTCTGACAAAATTCCAAATTTAGTCACACACAGCGTAGGAATATATGGATTTAGTAGGTTTGCATTCTAAAGGCTTTTAAATAAATATGGCAACAGTTTGTGATGTTTCATTGTTGCTGGCGTGTAGTGCGGTGTTTTGAGAGTGACGTAAAGCAAACAAAACTCGAGTTGCGCGTACGGTGTATTTTTTATAGCCATTCCTTTTTTGCTACGTCCCTAAAGTGTCGGAATATACCACGTTTACCCTAGATATTAAATAATATTATAAACTAGAGCTGGGCAGGTACTTTCAAACATTGCCAAGTGGATGTAAATTCTTTAACTTAAGCTCAAGAAGATACATCTAGCGTACGATCAGCGTTTTTTGACACCTTCAAAACTTTCGTACGACCAACTTAGCTAAGACCGTACCTTCAAACCATGTTGCATGTCAGCCAATCACAAGCTCGCTTACATCCTTTGTTTACATTATGAGTCACATGACGCCACATGACGCCATGCTTCTGTGTTCAGTTATTTAAAAATTTTGTTTCTTTTTAAAGAATTCTAGACTCTTTTAATTTAATATTTTGATGACAAATGCCGTTTTAAGATAGCAAACTGTTATTTAGTGATTAATATGACATAATGAACAACGAGAATAGAATTTTAGTAAGTTCATTTTTTAGCTTCACCCCTCAGATTCGTTTTCTGTTGACATATACTAAGAAAAAATTCATTTGATGCATGACTAATAAAATTTTCTTAATATCGAATAAGGATATTTTCTAAATCTAAATTAGAGGATTTACCTTAAAATGATACTAAAGTCTAGACACTAGTATGATACACTAGTCCAGACACTATTAGAGACTAGATACTAGTAACTAAATGATTACCAACCGCTTCATTCACTCAAAAGTTGCTCGTCACTCCACTTACGCGACCTTTCAATCGGCGCAAAGTTACGTGCTCGTAACGTACTGCAAAATGTTTTGAAGGTACCATTATTTGAAGTTACGAGCACTTAGCATACTTACGCTGCACTTAAGCCGCTAAGAACACTTGGCAATGTTTTGAAAGTACCTGCCCAGGATATTATAAATTAACTAGTTACTAAAAGAACCTCTCATTTGCTGCTATTAGAATAGAATAGAATAGAAGTGTCGGCGTTGAAGAAATAGGCCCACCGCCCACGGCCTGTTGCCCATTCTTGAACTTTTCATGACTTGATTCACAAGGGACCCGGCCTTTGGAGCCCGATCTTTCCATAGCTTACAATTTCACACTCTGATAGGAGATTATTAGCAGTCAAATGATCTATCAATCGATCCCTCTGCCCTCACAACAGATTCCATTACCTTGCAAACAACACTTGTCAAACTGACAGGGCGATAGTTGCCCGGGCAGCTTTTGTCACCTTTTTTGAACAATGGTGTCACTTGAGTTTCTTTCCAGTCAGCCAGCAAAATTCCTTTGTTCAAAGTTTTTCGAAAAAGTGATGTCAGAGGGCCGGCTAGGACAGTTGCTAGGTAACTCTTTGAGTAATCTTGGGTGGAAGCTGTCTGGTCCACATGACTTGTTTGGATTTACAGCAATAAGGCGCTTGAGAACCTCTTCCTCTTGCATTTCAAAGCTTGTTAATTTAAAGCCGGCTGGGCGCTCGTCCATAGCTGGAATACTGTTCAAGTCCTCTTCAGTGAATACGCTACTGAAGAAATGATTAAGTACGTTAGCTTTGCCCTCATCAGAGGAAATCTTTCGTTGAGCTACTTTCAAATCAGAAATACCTAGGGTAAACGCGGTATATTCCGACATCGTAGGTAATTCCATCACGGTTTTGGAAGGTAATCTTGATCTTGGCGTCGAGCATAGTGGCAAACCAGAGATTTTTTAGAATCAGTTCATTTTTAATTTCATAATTTACTCAATATTTAAAGCAATTTCTTATGTATGATACTGCTGGTATCCATGATAGGTACTTTATTGGTCTACTAATAAGACTCAAAAATGAACTTGAGGTAGAGTCTAAAAAACTCTCTGCTTTGCCACTATGGCGTCGAGACATATATACAATAATTCTTTATTCATAGGTCCCAGCAATATTTTGCAGCACTGGCATCACCTCTCCAGCTTTTCCTTTATATTAAGCTTTGTTTTAGTTCCATGCGTTCATTGATGGTTGAAATGGTGATGTCATACATTTGCGTGTCAAAATACTGCAAAAACACTAGGTCTTGGCCATCTAGTGGGAAAATATTGAGATCCAAAGAGAGACAATGCATGTGAAGATTTTATTTCACACTGTTGCCAGTGGTGTTTCGGTGTTCTCTCTTCTGCTCTGCCTTGCTGAAGATTAGAGAAAATCGTCGCCGAAGGTTCTAGAAGGTTCTAGAAGGTTGCCAAATGTGTTGATCAGTTGGAGCTGTACGCTGGTCAGCTGGAGACCACATCCTGCAGAGTGAGGCAGCTCATTGGTGTTTTGTTCTTTCGTTTTTCTTCCGTTCTGCTTTTGCGGAAAACGTCGCCTCACAGAAAGCATCGTTGGCAGCATAGCCGAAGCTTCTGGAAGGTTGACTGCGTCGCCGAAGCTTCGGGAAGATTGGTAAATGGCGTCGGCAAGATCTTCAAAGAAGTAAATTTGTCTGCTAATTCGTCTCCGAATATCTTTCAAATCTTTATCACTCTCTGCATAGTGGCTGACGCGTAGTGAAGTGTTTTGAGAGTCATGTGAAGGCAACAGAACTTACGTAATGCATACGGTTTTTTTTTAGTTTTTCATTTCTCGATGCGTCCTTAATGTGTCGGAATATACCGCGTTTACCCTACCGTCCTTCATCTTGCACTTCAAGATAGCATACAAAAAGAAGGCTTTCGAGTTCTTTTTTGGTAGGCCTACTATGCACAAATTTCTTAGGTACTATGCACAAATTTGAAATAAAAAAATCTAGATTGAAAATTGTCATTTATTACTAACATATCATTACCCCAAAATTGTGAATTTCAAGTGAATTGATTTCAAGCATTGAGAGGCATCATTGAAACAAAATTATGTTTCAAAATTAAATTTGGAGCATTGATCTTTGTATTGGTATTCTGTGAGTGTGAAAGGTTACGCTATATTATATAACTCACAGTCTCACACTCAGCAATATCGATAAGTCAATAGGCTGAATAGCAGTTACAATGTTACATATACTGAAATAGGTACCTAGTCCTAAAACACGCACATCACGAACTCCGAATCAAAAACAATACTTAAACAATAAACATACCTCATCTACAAATTCATTATACATTGTTAAAGTCAATTCTGAGCAGCTTGAAATAAATTTTATTTCTTGAACAACTAGCTTTACAGCACGAGGTCTTTAGCCGTTTAGCGCGCAGAAACACTTCTTCTCAGGATGTCCACGCCGGGGCAGAACCAGTGAAACACTGCAGCAGTTTGTAACTAAAAGTTATATCGCTATTGTACTTACTATGAGAACTGTTTAGGTTTTTGGGCCGCTATTTAGAGTTTCGCCTAGGGTCTATTATAATCAGAATCACTATAAATAAGATTTATAATACAAAATGTATTCTATAAATTATAAATCTTTATAAAAATGTATAATATGTTTGCTGAATTTATTTTAGAATCATATTTAGAAACAGAGTTAGCTCCTCAGTACGGTCATGTTGCTTAACCCCACGTTTATTCATACTGCACTTCGCCCTGCATAAAAAAAAATCTGAACAATATACGACAATAGTACGCTAAATCACCAACAGGAGAATTTGATATTTTATACTATGAAAGTATGATTCGCTAAGATAGTGTTACAGTATCGTGCAAGTCGGCAGGCTGTGTGGATTCACGGTTTACTTGTAGGGATCAACGGTTTACCACAAACCATTGCTCAACTGCCTAGTACTGACTACTGAGCTTGAAGTTTTAAGAAGAATTCAATTTAGGTACAATTTTAATAAATAGCGTGCAGAATATACTGCAAAATACTGAGTTATTCTCAAAACTCGTACTAGACATAGCTACCTAGTTATGGCTGAAAGGAATCCAGGCTGTGATTTGGGTGAGTTCGTTGAAAAACATTTTGAAGATTGGACCAATCATAATCATTGGATCTTGAAAGCATCATCATAGCCTACCTGACCGCTATTATGCTGTATATTTGTGATTTAACTTTATAAATAATAAATCTATAGGGCATAGGCTATAGGTATAGCTATATTGTATAATGTATACTACTATTGATTTATATTCAAAGTTTTGTTTCAGCACTGATTAATTTTTTTCAGTTTTTAATCAATTCTTTTTGTTGGTAGCTATGGGCAAAAAAGTTTTCTTTCATTGGAATGAATCTGAACATCTGAAAGAAGAAAAATTTATAGAAAAATACCATGTAATTTTAAGTGGAGTACATTCAATGAAAGTAAGAAAGCTTTTATCTATACATTTTTTCCTTTATTCATTTTCATTGCATCCCAAAAATGGAGCAATTTTTGGCACAGTGCAACATACCATCAACCGGGGCTACTCGGGATGGGCGTGGTAACTCGGGACAGTCCTCCGACATGGCGTAAAACTGTTTTAGCCTAGTAGCAAAACTAATTGGATTATTGCAAAACTAGCTATAGTGGCATAAACATCAACATTTTTCCTATTTAAGTAGTATAAAGGGAACAAAGTTTTCCTTTACTAAGTAGTAAAGGAAAAATACTACATTTACTAGCTTCGAAAAATTCCTGAAAAAAATGGTAAAGAACAATATTTTGAAAAGTTACTTCTGCTAAAGTCTGTAGTAAAAAATATTTGCCGTATTAAAAAATTTTGCTTAGAAAAAACTCAAAAAAGTTGCAGACAAGTGTCAGAATTAAAACTTTATTTGCGGAATTTACATAGGGTAAACGCAGTATATTCCGACACATTAAGGGCACATTGAGAAATGAAAAACTATAAAAAAATAACCCTATGCGTTACTCAAGTTCTGTTTGCTTTATGTGACTTGCAAAACACCGTTCTACACGCCAGCAACAATGAAACGTCACAAAATGTTGCCATATTTATTTAAAAGCCTCTAGAATGCAAACCTACCAAATCCCTATATTCCGACACTGTGTGTGGCAATATTCGGCACGTGGTGAGGCGTATTCCATCCGCGCTTCAAATTTTACTGATACGTAATGCCCTCATCCAGGTGTTCGAATTCCATTTGCTGTGTGAGCTGTATTGGAATACTACACAGCTTTGAATTAGAACACTGATGAAAATTGAACACTACTTAATTATGCTTTTAATTAACAACTATTAGGCTCTTAATTAAACAAATTTAAATTTGTGTACATAGCTTGGAATGATCTGTGTGTGTCCAATTCAAGTTGTGACAGAATTAGTTTTCATGTGTCTAAATCCAACATCTCAACTTAATCATCTATTAATTTATTTACCACTTGAAATCAGCAAATACAAGTATACTTAAAGGATTCCTAATATATTCACAGATGTATTTAAAAGTCTCAAACCATAATATTCTTCCTATACAAACAGTTATTCACTATTTGGTAGAGCAAGGTCAACTGTCAAATTTGACACATTTTTCGATGATCTCACTGGGTAGCGTGCATTGTCTCTCTTTGGATCTCAATATTTTCCCGCTAGATGGCCAAGACCTAGTGTTTTGGCAGTAGTTTGATGCGCAAATGTATGACGTCACCATTTCAACCACCAACGAACGCATGGAACTAAAACAAAGCTTAATATAAAGGAAAAACTAGAGAGGGGACGGAATTACCCACGATGTTGAAATATACCGCGTTTACCCTACCTCAATCCTGGGACTATTTGGGACACCCCCAAAAATGCATTTACAGTAGAACCTCTGTTAGCAAAGACTCCAGTTTAGAACAAAAATTTATTAAAAACAAATAATATTGATTACATTTACCTCGCTCAGCGAAAAAAATTCATTTATCGAAAAATTAGTGCATCATTGGTCATCACAAAATGGTGCATAGAATGTCATATAAAGAATTGTGCACCAGGCATCATAGAATGAAAAGTAATTGACCTAAACTATGATTTATTTCTCCAAAACATATGATGGTTGTCACTAAAACATTCCTTTCTGTCTCAGGTATGTTTTTCATAATCTTTTTTTTTTAATAGTAAATTCACTTAACCCAATTAAAATGGTGTGAGATTACAAGCCGTCCTGTAAGCTTACAGATACAGAAAAAATGCTATAAGGCTGCTGATATGAAGCTTGCAGTGGACAAGGTAGTTGAAATGCTCAATGGCCTGTTCATGGATACGGTAATATCGCATCAATAATACGGTATGGTAATTAATGTATATGGTAATATATCAGTAAAGGAAAAAAAGTAAAAATCACAGAAAATGTCATTTATTCCACCTCTACATAATCTACAATGAAAGAGGAGGAGTTCAGAGTACTGTTAGTAATGGATGAGTACACTCTGCATGCTTCAAACGTTTTAAAATTGATTTTTATTGCAAGCCTCCCGGATTACTCCGTTCCCAGGGGTAATTCGGGACGGTTTTATTTTGCGTCTGGCACATTATGAATAGCATATGAAATTTTTTTGAAGGTGCCATTCGATACCTCTTGCAAAGAGCCATAAAATGAGCCTAAACTTGTTTCTGAAATGTTTCATGGTAAGAAGTTATTAACAAAAAACGCTCTAAACCATCCCTTTTTACCCCGTTTGACAGTATTTTTATTTATTACTAAATATTATAGCTTTGAAGTAATTTCTTTTTTATAAATTTATAATATTGTAGATCATTTGTATAATTTTTGTAACTTTAGATTAGAAACAATTTATTTAGGTCAAATACAATCATTTCTTTGTTTGTTATTCTATAATCCTGGAACTATACATTTAACTTCATTATATTATATATTGAATATCCAGTTAGTTGCCAATATTTGTAGAGATACCATCATCCTCCCTTGTGATTTAAAATCTTGCAGAGCTGTGCCATTTTTTTTGTCGAGCCTTTATATTTTTTTTAATTCTTATACCTGAAACTTTTAGCCATTTATGCTAAGGACAATGCTATGGTATATATTGAATACAGCAATCCCTTGATTAGCACGGTTTTGAATACCGCGGTTTTGATTAACGCGGAAAAAATTTGCGACCTACCCTTAATCTACGCAGTGCCAGTTTTGATTAGCGCTACTTTTTTTCACAACGTATCATTTTCCCGCCTCTAGCCAGAGGTGTTACGTTCGTAACAAAAGTGTTACTTTTTGCTTATTAGATCTTATGTTGTTACTTTTGTTACGACTTTTGGAAAAATTTGCTAAATGTTGTTACTTTATGAATTTCAGCCAATAATTCTTTCAATAAGGTCCCGTTCCGTAGGCACTCGTGCTGGCTACAGAGTCGGTTTAACCGTGCCTTGTCTCGTTCATAACTCGAATGGTCAAGTTCGGCAACGTTCGCCGGTAAGTGCGCCATGCCGGTGCTCTAGTTACTCGTTAGCCTTCAACTGGTCAAGATCGCTGCCATATCTACTGCTCACTTTTATCAAACTACATAGTTTTCCTTGATAAATTACCACCATAATTATGGACAAGAAGGGAACGCTTAAACGTAAAAATATTGCTTTGGAGATTAAGCTTGAATGATGAATTGAACTAAGCAAAATATGATTAATTCTAGTGGAAAAAAAATGATTATGTAACTTTGCAATTTTTGAGGATTCATTATAATTATTCCCATATATTCTAAGTTTGATTAGCGCGGTTTTGCTTAACACGGTAAATCTCGGGGATTTATTAACGGCGTTAATCAAGGGATTGCTGTAGTTAGTCCTAGCAGTTTGCTATCAGAAGTATAATAATATAGGTCACCTCACAAATGCACACCAGGTTGTATTGTCTTGTATTTGGCTTTGTTGAGCATAATTAATGATAACAGTTATATACCTATACATACAAATTTCAAGTTAACACACATAGTAACTTCTCAATCATCAAAGCAATAAAGCAGAATCCCTGGCCAACATTTTTCTATACCTATCAGCCTGGGTAGGTATTCTGTTGAAAACAAAATCAAGCCTAGAATGTTGCTTCTACCTCCAATTTTCAAGTAGTTTATGATGCAGTCGTGCTATAAATTTTAACAAATTTCTTATCAGACCTAGCATGGGTGGAGAACTCGTACATCAACTTGCCCAGCGTACAACGTCGCGCTGCTACTCTGACCTCAAGCAGGACTGTCAAGAAACAGTGGCAGGCTGCTTGGCTGCTCAGAGCCATCACATGCACTGATCTTACAACTCTTGGTGGTGAGTGTTTGACTGCATAAGTGCAAACCTGAATTTACTATTGTCATTTATTAATTCAATAATATTCTATCTATGGAATTTTTGATGTAATTGAATTATTTCAATCAATAATTTTTTATACAAATTGACTTTTGAACCAATAGATCATTTTAATATTGGCTGATTTTTGGTTGTGACTAATTTTGATTGCTGTAATAACTGATTTTCAACAAGCATACAATGTAGAGATTTTTGGCTGTTTCTGAGGCAATTTTGATTGAATATAAAATACAAAATGTTCTCTTTCTCAAGCTTTCTATTGTCCTTTCAAATTCACCATGCTATCGGTTTAAATTTTTTGACAAGTTTGCAGTAGCTGTCAAATTGTTAGGGGTTGAATTTTTTCATGCATTTATGCTGAGTTAAAATAACAGCTGTGCATTGTCGTTTCAATATTGTACCTATTTCCTTACTAATTTCATGTTCTAGTTCTTTGAATTCTTGCCAGAAGTTGTAACTTTGTGTTTTTATTATCCATTTTTTCTTTTGTCTCACTATTTTACCTATGTTCATCAACTGCTAGTCAATTCTCTCACCAATACTTGCTTTTCAGGTGATGACACAGACGGCAATGTGGTGCGACTATGCGGTAAAGCTGCCCAGCCCCTGCGTCATGACATCTCGGCATCCCTCGGTGACTGGACAAAGGAACTCACCGTCGCCGCCGTGTGTGTTTACCCCAGTCGTGTGCCTGCAGCTGTGGCTGCTGCTAGGAAAGCTGACAACAAATATGGTGTTGCTGCTGGTAAGTTTCTTACTAAAATCCTTCTAGTTTCTTCATTATTCTCCACTCTTGGAATAATAAAATTTACTGCTTTCTGGAAACTTGAAGAGATACCTATACTATAAATCAAGTTAATCAAACTGCTTAATAATATTCATTTTGCATGCACACTAATCGATCAAACATCCATTTCAAAGGGAGCTATAGAAGCACCAGAATAAATTATTACCCTTGATAAACACCAGAATTATTATTATAGTGAATTCAAAGTTGGCATCTCAACACTTTAATTTTTCCTGCCAACTACGGTATATGAAATGCATTGGGTTATTGGATCAATTTCTAAGATATTCAGACAATTTTATATGTGTCACTCAGTGAAGCAAAAAGTTGTTTAAAAATCATGTGTTATTGAATTCCCATCCATGCACGGCTTTGCTTTTATATCGTTTCAGTTGCAACGGGATTCCCTTCGGGTCAGTATCCGCTATCTACAAGGCTTGAAGAAATCAAGTTTGCTGTTGCAAGTGGAGCCACTGAGATAGATGTTGTAATCAACCGGACCTTAGCCCTGCTCAACAAGTGGGAAGGTGGGGTTGCCTAGTTGGCATGTAACCATGATAATAATCAAAGTGATGCTTTGACTACTTAGTTACTTTTTCTCATAATTTTCCAAATTTTCACGAGTTTTATGCATTCGACATTCTCTCTGTGAAAATATAGTTATTTTATGGTTCACTATGAAATATCTTAGTGAATCATTATATGATCACTTATTGGTCCTGCATCTCCGAAGGTATTTCTGATTGGTTTACCCACCAAGATTAGAGCCGAGAGTTGAGGGTTCAAAACTATCAACTGGTTGTGAAAATTGGTCTAAATCAATAACGTTGCCAGGCGGTTAAAAAGCACTTGCATGCCTGCACGGCCCAGACTATATTTTGATATAATTAACTGAAAAGAAGAGCTATGCTGCAGAGCTGTACGCCGAAGTGCAAGCCATGCGGGAGGCGTGTGGCGATGCCCACATGAAAGTCATCTTGGGTGTGGGTGAGCTGGGCTCCCTTACGACCGTCTACCGCGCTTCTCTTGTATCAATGATGGCTGGCGCTGACTTCATCAAAACCTCCACGGGAAAGGAGGGCGTCAACGCTACACTGCCCATTGGTCTTGTCATGTGCCGGGCCATTCGCAACTACCACGAAAGGACTGGCTTTAGGGTACATCAACATGCAATGCTTTACTAGTGCTGACTGAGTTATGTTCCTGCTACTGTGAATCATTTATTTCTTGGTACTAGGAAAAGCTAGAATAGATTTAATCTATTACAAGAAAGAAATTTTATTGTTTTTCTGAATCTACCATATGATTTTTAGGTGTGAAATAAAAGTCCTTGTAAATTAAAGTAGTCCTTGACAAAAAAATTCCATGTCCTTCTAATTTTACAATGCTTTAATTATTTTAACCAGTTCCATATCTGATTTTCAGGTTGGCTTCAAGCCTGCAGGAGGCATACGCACAGCCAAAGACTCTCTGGCGTGGCTAGTGTTGATCAAGGAGGAGCTTGGCAACGAGTGGCTCAACAGGGACCTTTTCCGACTTGGTGCTTCGTCTTTACTCACCGACATAGAACGTCAGCTCTTCCATCACGTGACTGGCCGCTATGCTGCTGCTCACGAACTTCCGATGCCTTGAATACTTTTACACATCTGATAATGTCTTCACTGCATTCCAAAATTACCTATAAACTGATATTCTAGCTAGTCAACATATTCTTCATTCCGGATTTCAGGTTATAGAGCAAGACACTGTGGCTACCATTATTAATGCTACCTAATTTTCGGTGGCTGAAATGTTCACACTTTCGTATTTACATATTGAACGACTGTGAAAATCAATTTACAAATTTTCTACGTCTTCTGAGAAGTCACATTGTTACTCACTTTCTTACTATTCCAGTTTCTGTGCCATACACTCATACGTTGTGCTAACTGGTCACGAAATAACGACTGTTAGCCATGGAGTATTGCTATATCAATCAATATCGCTTAAAGGCCCGTACGCAACGCTTGGCTTAGTTGTAAGTTTTCTTGATGTGGGCAATATTATGACGTAGTAGGTAAATAATTCAAGTTCATCTTAACGGCGAGGTCATGTCGCTGCGTAAGTGCGAACTACGCTGATTCAGTTTTCACATTTTATTCTTTACGGAAAGATATAATTCATATCGAAGTTTGATTGTATTTTAGTCGTAATGGATACTTGTTACATGGATATATTGTTGATTGAAACTCGAAGTGCAATTTGTAAAGAACGAAATGGCTCTCTTTGCTGTGTTAATGTTCGAATGATGTTATCAGTCGGGCGTTTATTGAAAAAAAAATACAACTCAGTACTCACTGTAGTGAGTGACAGAGAGCGCATGTTCTCGTTGACGAAAACGTAGTCACGGACGAACATGACGACACAATAGCGCCTTTTTTCCATGAATGAGAAAATGCGCTAAAAACAAAGTCTAGGTAGTGCAATACTATGTAACCTATTTTTAGTGATTCAGATTTTATTAAACCAGGCCGTTTCCTATATTCATTCCAATTATGCTATCATATCTTCACTAATGTCTAAGTTCCAAGAATCGATTGCGATACTGTTGAAAGGATAGCACTGCACAACTTTCACGAAAAGAATTTGTGTACTTTGATACTTTTATACCAGTAAAACTCTTCAACATGATCCATTTTACAGTTTTACTATCATCATGGGTGAAATAATTTCTTGGCATTCCTGGCAGTCATTTACTGGCTGCTCGATGCCATCTTCTCGTCCTGGTAGCGCCAGTGCAGGTCCGTGCAGTCGTCTTCACTGATGATGGTCCAGCCATCTTCTTTGATATGGTAAACTGTGCAATTACAGAGATAATTTAAACAGGATATTAAATATCCTGTTTCAGCAAAATCTTGAAGTAATCTTTAGATGATGAAATGGTAGCGCAAAGATTGATATAAATTCTAACTGGTGTTAAATTTTCAGCCAATTTTTTACCTTGGAAGATAATAAAAATGTCTCAATCCAATGTGTAGTCTAGGGGCATTAAATCTGAATTTAACCAACAACTGAATGGCACGCAAGATATTTGTTGAACATGCCTTATTTTAAATTCAACCAATAATAGAAATGATCGCAAGAAATGAGTGCTCTCATTTTTCACTAAGCACTCAATCCTGCATTTATTTGTGAAAAAATTATCTCGGCACAACATACCTATCACTGCCTTTTTACAAATATATTAGTGACGCAGCGTTAGGTTTTAAGTTATATAGAATGATAAACATTACACTCCTAAGATAAATACAATGTGTTGGGCTTTATCAAACTGAAACATGTATATTCTTAAACTTGATTATAATTAAAATAACCTATATAAAATTATAAACCTTACACTCCAATGATAAATAAATGTGTTGGGATTTATCAAACTGAAAAATGTATTCTTAAAATTAGTTTATTATGAAAATTACCTCTGACGATGCCACCTGAAGCGCCGTCTCTGTGCGTGGCGTGGTACACAGCACGACGGCCGAGGTCATGGGCCTCTTCGTCGGTCATGTCCCAGCGGTAGCCGCTGTCCACCACACCATAAGCATAGATGCTGCCTGAACCTATGCTGAACAAGTTGCCGGGCATGCGAGACCCGTCGTTGTCTACGTAGTAAAGACCAGGGCCCTAGCGATGCGAAAAGAAAACAGAAATTACTGCGTTTTTGCCAACACAAACCCATGTGCTTTAACATTTATTTGCTAGTACCAACCAAGGAATTTTCACTGACGACCAGCCACCAATGAGATAAATCACTGACTTTAATGTACCAATTAAATAATTCATAGCTGCTATATTGAAAGGAAAAGTAAAAAGTAATAAGATAATGATATGATATACAAACAAAGATTCTACAAGAGTTTCATTTTTTTACTTGCCTTCTTATCATAGCCTGCAATCATCACTCCCATGCTGAGGCCATATCCCTTGTACTGGTATACCATATTAGCCAGGAGTTTGGATGCAGCTGCAACACTGATATGCACCCGGTTTCTCAGCTGGTAGATCTTGCACTGCTTGGCAAGTACACGCTCCCAGTAGGTGCAGTCAGCTGCACCACCGGCCATTGTGCCAAGAAGGCTAGGAGTGATGGGGATGATCTTGCGCACATTGCCTGATCCTGTTGTTAGGCAAATATATTAGGTTTGAATATTCAAGCCAAATGTGGTGCAATGATTAGTTAGCACCAAAACATTAATACATAGTTACAAATTCATTGGAGCTTCCATACAAAAAAATTATACAAATAGACAATTTTTGTCACTTACCAATATACTGGCCACTTGTAGCACGGGAGTCAGCTACCAGGATGGTACCACCTTGGAACTTGAATCCAAGAGTGGTGGTGCCATGGTCAAAGTGTAACTTGATCTTGCGGCCATGCTCATCAACAAGATAATCACCAATTTGGGTGTTGGCCTGAAACATGGAACATAAAAACAAAATTATAAATGCCAGGTAAAAAATCTATGAACAATGTAATTTTTCACTAAAATAAATATAATCTAATGGAATATTAATATGGACCGGTCCACATGGTGATATAGGTGACCCAGAGCTGAGAATATGGAATGTGGACAAAACTTTGTACATTATATTTACAAGCATAACAAGAGGCAGCAACTTTGAGCAGGAATAGTTTTCATTGTGGTGACATCAAAATTATCATAAGAATTGAAATATTAAGAAGCACAGCAAATTCTGAAAAATACAACACGGAATCTTTACTGTTCTCTGTTCAGGAGTAGATTTTTGTTCACACATTATGACAACTGCAATTCTAAGAATAAATTCCTTTATTCCAGCATTGTAATGAAATGTCTGCATATTGATAAACAAACATATCCAAAATATAATTAGTCTGTCAAAATTCCACCATAATTTATAATATTGGACAGAATTGAATAAAAATGGGGAAAAAATAATACTTGAACTAGTGACTTTTAAAAATTGTGGACAAAAACCATTCTGTTTCTTCCTAATTCTCAGTGATTTCTCACTAAAGAAATTAGACAAGAATGGAGAGGATTAAATTGTCTGCGAGCATGGGAGTATTCATCTCTACAGGGGGCTAAGAGCCAATTTCACTGTTTGGATTTAAACATTTGTTTAAACATTGGTTCTTATTTGTATCCACTATCTAGTGATCTAATCTGAATAAGCAAGGAAAATTTTATACAAATTTTAGGTAATAACCATCATTTTATGGGTAATTTTTAGAAATTCTGGTTTTCTCATTTATAATGAAAAAAATTAAGCAAAGTCTACAAAAATTAGCAAAATTTAACACAAGTTAGTTTTACCTGTTTACATCTAATTCACATATGGCTTTTTAGCACATTTTCTCATTTATGGAAAAAATGCACTTGTGTGCTCGCCCTGTCTGTCTGTCTGTCTGTGACCTCAAGTTTTTGTCAACGAGGAAATGCACTCTCTGTCACTCACTGCAGTGAGTACCGAGTCATATTTTTTCCAATTCCATAGAATGGCAACTAGTCTACTAGTCTAAATAATTCCCATTCTTAAAGTTCAAGCTCAAGCCACATGCAAATAAAACAAATTTGCCCTTGCTCATGATCAATTTTACCCATTTATAAAGTCCTTGCCTCAGGGTTCGCACCAGTATTTAGAAAAAAAATTCCATGCCTTCCCCATGACCATCAATATAATTTTTCAAGACTCATATACAACAGGTTTAGCATTACTGAAAGACTAACCGTGCATATTCTATCATCTCCTACAGTTTATAAATGGCAAATGTGTAAATGCATAGCTCTTCAAAGCTGCTTCTCCCATATTTGACATATCAAAGTCTTTCGAGCACAATGTACATGATATTGCCATAGGCCCGTACCTAATACCTTCATGAGTTGGATGGCAAGCAAGCCAGTCAAGATAAGCTTCTATTTTTGACAAGTCATGATATTTACACTTTCCAGGCATGGTGATGTAGGAATTGCATGCTGAAGATGGAAAGCTGTCACTGCAGATCAAAAAGTTGTACAATCGTCCTATGCAACTGGGCTTGGTGACCAAGCTCACGTGACTGGTTCTCCAATCATATGACAGACTGTCACGTGATTGGAGAACCAATCAGAATGCAGGAAACAAGCGAGGCTGAAGAGTGAAGAGACTGCACAAACAGTTTAACACTCGCAGCACAGAAAAACACTTCCCTTTTCTTCTTCTTCATTTTCTAATTCCATGACTTTCCATAACCTGAAATGAAATCCAATGACTTTCCAGGCCTGGGGAAAATGAAAAATAAAATTCCATGACTTTCCAGGTTTCCCATGACTGGTACAAACCCTGTTGCCTACTTTCTTTAATTGAACTGTTTGTGTTTGAACATAATAAAAACAGCCTAAGGTAAACGCGGTATATTCTGACATCGTGGGTAATTCTGACACTTCTCAACTTTTTCCTTTATAAGCTTTGTATTAGTTCCATGAATTCCTTGATGGTTGAAATAGTGACGCCATACTATTGCCAAAACACTAGGTCTGGGCCATCTGGCGGGAAAATGTTAAGATCCACAGAGACAGTGCACATCACCCAGTGAGAACATCAAAAAAGGTGTCAAAGTTGATAGTAGGCCTTGCTCTACCAAATAGTGATAAACTGTTTGCGGAGAAAGAATATTATGGTTTGAGACTTTAAAATAAGTCTGTGAATATATTAGGAAACCTTTAAGTATACTGTACTTTATTTGCTGATTTCAAGTGGTAAATAAATTAAAAGATGATTAAGTTAAGAGATGGTTTTAGACACTTTATAAAAACTAATTCAGACACAGCTTGGAATTAGACACATAAAAATTAAAATTTTCTTAATTAAAAGCTTAATAGATCTTTATTAAAAGCTTAATAGATCTTAATTAAAAGCCTAATTAAGTAGTGTCCAATATTCAATAGTGTTCTAATTCCCAGCTGTGTTAAATTCCAAAAAAAATTTCCAATACAGCAGACAGCTAACACAGCAATCAGAATTCAAACACAAGAGGGTCAGAATTACGAATTATTAATGCCAAAATTAGTCACACACAGCGTCGGAATATATGGATTTTTGGTAGGTTTGCATTCTAAAGGCTTTTAAATAAATATGGCAACAGTTTGTGACGTTTCATTGTTGCTGGCGCGTAGTGCAGTGTTTTGAGAGTGACGCAAAGCAAACAGAACTCCAGTTGTGCATACAGTGATTTTTTTTATAGCCATTCATCTTTTGCTACGTCCTTAATGTGTCGGAATATACTACGTTTACCCTACATTTTTTCATTAAACATAATAAAAACATTTCAGCTTGCCATTTCCAGAAGAAAGTGTTCATTAGTTTGTGAAATCCTAATCATCTTACCTGCCATATTTTTTTGGAATATTCTGCCCATTTCCAGAGTAGATTTCATTCAGAGTGGCTCAACTGATTTTTACTAAATTTTCCAGCTTGGCTTATGAACCAGAAAATAGAGTGCAAATGAGTAAAGCTGCAGTGCATGTGTAATTACAGTAATATTGCTAAATGCTAATATAGGTACCTATATACATATACTGATATAGGCCCATAGGGTAGGTATGTGCACAAAGTAGGCACAAATGTAAACAATGCGGGCAAAATGGTGGACAGCCAGTTTTGGCATCGGCATGTGTAAGGTATTTAATTTTGAAAGTTCCACCCAAATGTTTGCTTAACACGTTGGCCGCGATTGCTGATTTGGCCCGAATGCCGTACGGGCGATAGGTTCAAACTTGTATATCTTCAGTTACCCGGCAGACAGCAAGGAGAAAAGTTGTGTGCAGCTCTGCAGGGGTATGTTCTGTCATTGTGTCACGTAAAATTTGTGGCCGCATTTGATGCACATCGCTCAGGGTAGAAATTCGTCATTATTCCTGGCGATGTGTATCAAATGAAGCCATGCCTGTTGTGGCTCATATTGGCTCACGCCGCCTATCATAATCACTTCTAATACTGTGGGCGATGTGTACCAAGCAAAGACATGCATCTATGGCTCATGTGGCGGAAAAACGCCTAAAGTTATCACTCTTATCACTGTGAGTGATGCGCGCAAGAAATCTACATTAGTTTTGAGTCATAATTGCACACATTATGACTAATGGTATCTCGTAGGTTTTTGTGAATGATGTATATTACGCATGGAAATTACTATGGGAAGAGATTGGTGTCCAGGTTTTCATAATCCTGAATAAAATTGAGGGTATTTACATTGTTAGTTCAGTTATATTTACTTTATAGAGATCATTCATCGTATATATTGTCTTGAGCTTCTGTTACAAGCAGCATTTCAGAGAAAGAGTAAAATCAGGATTATATCTCAAATTATTGAATGGGACAGAGGACAGCCCACTTTCATTGAACCAACTAGAACTAAAGCCAGGATGCGCTGCCATGAATGCTACAACATACTCTCAGCAAATGAGGGAAGTGCCGTAGCAAAGGTGAAACGCGAAGGGTACAAAAATATTTTGATGACTGTGAAGGAAAACCATACATGTGCGATAATTGTTTTTCAATCACGTATTGCCAACATTGGGTGATGTTGGCAACAGCCAATGTTGTAGTTTCAGATCAATAAAAAATATTTTATTTTGTTTTCATGCAAAGATAGATATATACCTATTGCTTTCATCAATGGACACAAATTTCATAATTTTTGTATTACTTGCATTTGAAAATAAAACTATTTCTCTAAGCAGTAGTTGACTTCAAAGCATTCCCTAACATGCCTATTTAATTGCATCATTGAAATTTTAAATTTGAAAGAGTAATAAGATTTAATAAAAATATGTATTTTTCATATGAATGTACTACATGTGTACACATCGCGATTCTGAGAAGTGCAGCATGTACATATATGGCTCACATCACGGCCAATGTTTTAATTTGATTGACTTGTGTTTGGAAATGAACTAATAAAACTTGAACTATGAGGACACCATTTTTTTTTTTCAAGAAATGTCTATCAAGTACCTGCTTAGCTGGGGTGTGCAAGGGGTAACATTTGTGATAGAAATAAACATTGATATTGTATTTTGAAATTAATGAAAGATAATTTGAAATCAAGATTATAGTTTTTAGAGCATGCTCTCAAAATTTCAGAGCTCTGCAGCCATTCTGACAGTTTTTCTATCATGTCCTGTCGTGCAGTTTATGTTCAGTTCAGTCATGAGCCAGTGAGGTACGCTGGTCCTGAACTACTGCCGAGACTGAGACACTAGATGAGACATGAGACAAGACATGAGAGGGGACATGAGATGATGCATGAGACAAGCTACGAGACGAGACATGAGACGAGATGTGAGATGAGACGCGAGATGAGATGTGAGATGAGACACGACACGAGACATGGACATGAGACGAGACGTGAGATTGGACATGATACGAGGCATGAGACAAAATGGAAGATGAGATGCAAGACGAGACATGAGACAAGGCATGAGACAATACACGAGATGAGATGAGGCACAAGACGAGATGAGATGAGGCACAAGACGAGATGAGGCAAGGCACGAGATGAGATGAGGCACGAGACGAGATGAGGCACAAGACAAGATGAGTCGAGGCACGAGATGAGATGAGATGAGGCACGAGACGAGATGAGATGAGGCACGAGACAAGATGAGGCACAAGACGAGATGAGAAGAGGCACAAGACGAGATGAGATGAGGCACAAGACGAGATGAGACGAGGCACGAGACAAGATGAGACAAGGCACGAGACGAGATGAGACGAGGCACGAGACGAGATGAGACGAGGCACGAGACGAGATGAGACAAGGCACGAGACTGGAGACAAGATGACGAGATGACGAGACTAGACGAAGCACAAGACGAGATGAGACGTGACATGACGATGATGATCATATTTAATATTATTATTAATATCAATATTCACTAATATTTATTATAATTAGTTAAGAATTATTATTAATAAAAATTAATAATATTATTATTACTAGTAAATTTTATTTGCGTATTCTATTTAATTTCATATTTTTAAGCTCAATTATGGTGCCAAGGCCATGAAACTGAAATTTATTTTATCCAATTCTGCCTTCAAGTTAAGTTATAGCATTCATATCTAGCAGTTGCACCCATTTCCCCATACCCAGGATGGTGCCGTTTTCCGCGGATTAATCCGGCGTAAACGAGGCTCCAAGCCCTTCTACTGGCGTACAACGCGGCGTACAAAGAGCTAAAATAACGTTATTGGCGCACACGCCCGGCATACGTCCGCATCTGGCTTGTCCTGACGTACCGTACGTCCGCATCTGGCTTGTCTTGGCGTACGTCCGCATCTGGGTGATCTGGCTTGTCCCGACGTACCGTACATCCGCATCTGGCTTGTCTTGGCGTACGTCCGCATCTGGGTGATCTGGCTTGTCCCGACGTACGTCCTCATCTGGTTTTGAGCATTTTAGTAAATACTAATGCGTTTTATGGCGATTTAGTGCATTCTAATGCGATCTAGTGCGTTCTATTACGATCTAGTGCGTTCTATTACGATCTAGTGCCTTCTATCATAGTGGCAAACCAGAGCTTTTTTAGAATCAGTTCATTTCTAATTTCCTCATTTACTCAAGATTTGAACCAATTTCTTAAGTATGATAATGCTGGTATCCATGATACTTTACTGGTCTACTTGTAGGACTCAAAAATGAACTTGAGGGAGAGTCTAAAACTCCAACTCCTTATGGAAAGGACCAAAGCCAAAGGCACGAAACACAAAAAAAAGTAAACAAATAAAAGAAATAAAAATTTTAATACAGATAAAGAAAGAAAAGAAAAATATAAAATAAACTCAAAATAAATTAGGTAAAAAAAGACAAAAAATAAATAAATAAAATAACAAATTCAGCAAACTGCAGTGCAGACTGCAGACTGGCAAACCCTTGAGGGAGAAAGCCAGTTGTGTTTATAAGGTAGGCCAATCAAACTTTAAATTATTATTATTTTAAGTAAATACAAATGCTTTATCCTTCGACAATAAATTCACCGGTTCTTTAGAGAGCTCAATTAAGTGAATTAACACACGTGCTTTCGCCGTGAACGCAACTGACTTTCTCCAGTTGTCAACCGTAGCTTCAACCCTCGATTCAGTCGATTGAGTCGATTCATGAATGTACGGCCGCAATGTAGGAAGAAAGAAAGAAGTATTCGATCCGGAATTGAGAGTTGTATAGCGTAGAAATTTTACTTATTAACTCAGCATTTCAGGCTACTTGCTCTTATTCCATTTATCGATAATAAGGGGTTGGCCAACTAATTCTCAGTTATATTCATTTTAATGAGAACCAAAATTTTCAAACGAATTGAAAGAAAAAATTAAAGAGATTACCGTGGGAAGCTTTAAAAAATTATTCTGGCCTCCACGACAGACGAAAAAACATGAATTATTTCATAATTGAATTACCAGGGACATTTAGAAGTTGCCTTTCATCAAGAAAGTTGGAAAAGTAATATGTAGGTAGAGATCAATAACAGATGCGGAAATGCCCCGTGGTCCCTCATGTGCATTAATCGATTTATCGAGTAGCTGAATATTATATAATTTTCATTAACACTGTACCTATAACTTATTACTTCATGTCTTGGAGAAGATGAAATAATTATCATTGTATTAAAAATACTGGAGTAAATTAAACACATACGAGATAATGTAAGAGCACCATAACCTAAAATTAAATGAAACCGGTTAGTTTACCGTTCACTAGGTAGTTAACACCAAACAAAATGACTCCGATGAAGACCGACGTTTTCATAACAAAGATGAAAATAAAAAGCCTTTAATGGCATAATCAGGTATATATTTCTTTGTCGTAAACATTTATCTATTGTCGTCTCGTTTCCTCTTCTTAGACGCCAGTTTGGAAGCGACGCTGTGTTGTTCACTTAACTGCTTGAAGAAAGACGATGACGACTTGACCGTTGCTCCAGCCGTATCCATCTGAAGAAATGACACGTATAGTCTTACAAACAAACCACCAATTATAAGCGTAGAGAAATTCTTTGATAAACTATATTTTCTGCGGTAAAAACAAAATTGTTTCTGTTAGAGTAGTTAGACGATAGAAATTCAATTATTACAAAAATTTTCAGCAGGAGATTCTTAAAAGAATTGATAACATATATTTTCCTGCACACATAGAAATCACACACAGAATTAATAAAAGAGGATAGAAGCATTTATGACGATTACTAACTAATTAACACAAACATAAAATATTTTGCTAGGCTTACAAAAAGATCTTGCCTAGAATAAAAAATATTGACGGTCTTATACAAGATCTTGGCAGGCACTTGAACTATCTCAACGGGCGTATGAAAGATCTTGCCAGAAATTTAGAAGATATCTGAGAGAGCTCACCCGTTTCACTTGTCCCGTCTTAAGGGCAGCGTTGACAACTTTAGCGGAGGTGTCAGCGTCGATCTTCTTGCCTGTGCTGGCAGCAGTCTTGACCTTTGCACTGATTTTCTTCTCCTGCTCCGTGAACTTGAGATGCTGCTTGTGCTTCTTGTGGCGTCGCTCGCGCTTCTTGTCAGTACTCGTCTTCTCCAGGTCACCCTTCAGTAGGCCTCGAACAGGAACTGTGTCACACAAATATTCACGTGATTTTAGAAATGGTATGCAAATTTTAGTTCAGGTTATATCTTATCTAAAAAAAGACCAACAAAAAATTAATGTAAATAGTTCTGCTCAATAAATAAAAATATTTAATCTCCATGCTCAACTAGTGAGTTTTAAAAAACGAGACTCTGCTGAGGAATTAGAACAAAAATGACTATTCTCGCTAAGAAAGTCTTCGAATAAACAGTTTAATATTTATTAATGAGATCTCACGAGTAAAATATTAGTTATTTTGATTGAAGAAGTGCAGTGACCTGTAATTTCCTGGGGCGCTAGTAAGTCGCTGTCGTTGGCGACCACAGGCGTGTTCTCCTCCAGCTGCATGGCGGGCAGGTTGCTCACGATCTTCAGCTCAGGGTTTCTCTGCACACATAAAACTAGAGCCATCACAACACGAGTCAACTTTTGGACAACTAAGAGCAATCTTATACGTGGTCATGGAGAGAGTAAGGCAACACATCAACAATTAATGGTTAATGTATCTCGTGAATTGAAATTTCATAGTAGATTATCATGATTCTCAAACAATCCGTTAAATATTGAATGAAAAATACCTTGGAACCTGCGGTGAGGATAAGAAAGGCTTGTACGTAGTAGAGAAAAGAATAGCATGAGGAATGTACGAGAGAAGCAAGAGGTTTCAATTAACACAAGGATTGAATTCATAAGTCTTATAACAAATTAGCCTCGGACATTATATGTAAAGACTTGTTTAAAACTACATCACTGATAACTAGGTAGAATGATGTTAAAAACAAAGCTTGAAAACTTTGAGAATCTTTAATGAATATATTTCAGCTATCAACTTCATCATTAAACCCATCAACGAGCCACAATTCGCGAAGAGCACATCACTTTCAAGTTTGCTTTATTACTGCTCATTAACATTCTTGATCTACATCGTCGCCATAATATCGCCTCACCAATTTGGGCGTGTAGTGCGCGTTGCTGAGAGCGTCCAAGTAACCCTCAAGCTCCTCGTATGCAAGTCTGATCTTTTTGTGCTCGGGCAATTCTTCCTCTGCTTTCTTGGCTGTGTCCATTCGCTGCTTTTTGAGGTACTCCTGCAAAGGGCAAATTGTAGAAATTATCAAGACAGAAATATTTCAGTTATTGATTAGTTTAAAATTACCTTGTATTTGTGATCTGAAGTCTTATGAACATCTATGGTCCGTAATCACGAGGTACTAGAACCAATATCTGGTGTTGATTGTCTCGTACAATGATAACTTTAATTAAGAATGTAAACATCCATGTACAAATACTAGTATACTTTCATTGCCACTGGAAAGCAGCTTAAAATATCAAAACTTACTCAAATTACTCTCCGTCACACACTAAACTAGGTTTTTTTATTGACCTGGCATACACAATACATATAGTATTTTATCAATTTTAGTGGTGCAAAATTTCCATTAGGCGGGTAATATCCAAATTTGTTGTGATGAATTTTGGAAGGCTAAACTAAAAAATATTGAATAGCATCAAAAAAGAGGATTACCATTCCCTTGCAAGTTTGATTAACTGCGTTAAATAAACAGCTCCAAAAAGTGTACAAATGTTGAAGTAAGTTCAGTCAATATAATCTCCTATATTTGTCTAAATTACTTTGGACCATTCCAGAGTAAAGCTCAATACAAGACAGTGACACAAGTCAACGTTCGTCATTTTTCCCCAAACATACATTCCCGAAAGCATTCACATAAATACATTATTAATTACTTGGTTTTCAAACAAACATTCAATAACAATTCACGATCCCTCGTTAAGTAAACATCTACTCATAATTTTCTGCATCAACTCCCTCTTCAATAGTTAGGCCTACTAGGTAGGTACCTCTTCGTAGATTTTACTCAAGCTCTTAGAACTTTTTTCCTGATCAAGAACCATTTTCTTCTTGTATTCAAATGGGTTTTCTACGAGCTTAGCCTTGCGCTCGACGTCATTGAAGGCCTTGGTGCGGAACCTGTCGAGGATGACGCGCTCAATGCGCGCGCACAGTTCCTCGTTGATGATGGGCCCTGGGGGATAATGGTGAACACATTAACGGGCGGCGCATCAATGAGGCAGAGCAAGTAATGACTTGCTGGTGTTGTTTGACTCTAATGGCGATGCTCAGAGTAATGCTTACATTACACATAGCAAATGAGGAAACTAATAATAACTTATATATAATTATTGAAAAATATTGAATCAAAGTTGACGAGATAAAATACCGTAAGTGAAAAGAGAAAAACAAAGAAATTTTACTTGGCAAAAATTTTTGAGGTCAGTTAAATAAAAAATTTAAACAAAAGAACAAGGACAGAAGTAGCTTACATCTAAGAACAAGAAGAAACATGTCATGTATCGAGATAACCATGACATAACCGAGCCTGAGGAGCTTGAATGAGTGCCATTACAAGGTTTTTGGTTCTGAATACAGATCTCGCCAATTCCCAGGTAAACTTTTGAAAAAAGAGAATAGAAGACTGAAATTAGTGGGACAAGACTTGGACTCACTAAGTTTAGCTCCACTCCTGAACTCGAGGTACTCAGTGAGCACGGAGTTGGTGGGGCGGTCGGCGGCCTGAACCTCGCCTTTGAGCGCCCACGGCTTCTCACTGATGTTGCTCTCCTCGAGCTCCTGACGCAGTCGTGTCTCAAGCTCCAGCTCCTTCTCAAACCGAGACTTTACCTGCAAGACAAATTTATAAGTAAATCTCTTTATCCTTTATATTTTCTTGAATTTAAACTCCAGCCCTGACTAAACCAATTAGCTAGCCAGTAAATTTCTATCACAAATGCATTCAGTTTTGTCACAATAACATAGACATATTCATCTTGCTTCCCATTCCACATGGTGTTTGAACTCAACCGCAAGATGTGAGCAAAATTCAAAGGAGAAGACATGTAGTCTCCGTTGAAACCACGTCTGAAAACTCAGATAAAATCTTTATCCAGAAATCTGTTCCAAGAATTTCTGCAGCATTCTAGGGAAAAATAAATAAGTAAAGAACATCCATGATTCAATTCAAAAACATACGTACATAATCATCATTGAGTGTCATTGCTTTATGTCATATTTGACTATTCCCTGCTCTATCTCTCAAAAACATAATTTTTACAAATTATCAAGGAATTCATCAATTGGCAAATGGTTGTTGTTTTTGAAGATCTTTAGGAACCTGGTCATGCCAGTAAGCCCAAACTATGCAGGAAAGCCACCACCCAAGTCAGCTCCGACCAATGTTGTGTGACTAATGTTATGTGGACCCTGCGCCTGGTTGCTGCCGGCTCCAGGCATTCTTGCAGAATATGTTTGACAGTGTGGAGCATTGTATTACGTTGAGAGCATAGGTTTGAATGAATGTTAATACTAATTGCTGACGTTGGTTGATATTAATAATTGCTGACGTTGGTTGGTACCAGAACTGACCTGGTCGGCTGAGTTGCTCTCTGTGGTTTCTCCTGAAAGTCTCTGTGCACCAGAGTTGTTAGCATCAGAGTTATCGAGATGGTCGGCTTCATCGAAAGTATGGAGGCCCCAGCTGTCAGCATCTTTGTCTTCTGAAGTAATTCTTTGAGATTCTTCAATGGCTGGAGCATCATCAAAGAAATCCTTATATGTCGCCTGTAATACCAAGTATAGAAATGATTATCGGAGATCGAGATAAGTTTTATATATATTTTTTTTGTTTACCTGGAGTGAAAAAAAATTTTCAAGTCAAAACAATGATACCAAAAATAATAACCAATTTCATAATTGAGAAGTTTATGTTGAGAGATACGCATGTAAGAGAAAGGAGTAACCCACTCGAGAATGGATAAATTGACATACCTTTGCTCCACCATTTTCTTCTTCATCATCAGGAATGTCTTCCATGAAGTCAATATCACCAAAGTTATCGGCTCCAATTATGTCCTCATCAGCAATATATTCACTCTGTCTTACACTGAAAAATTGAGAATCAACATCTGACCTTGAAAAAGTTGGCAAGTGAACCTTCTTCAGCGGATTTTTATTTAGTTTTGAAGTCACAGTAGAATCAAAATGCACTTTCTTTTTCTGTTTCTTGTTTTTCTGAGTGTCAACGTCATCCTCATTTTCTGAGTCATCTTTTTTTTCTTGTCCACTTTCTTCCTCTTGCTGTGCAGGCTCCTCTTGCATCTCCTCGTCACTGTCAACTTCACTGGCCCCTGCCAGATCTTCTATAGGGTCATCTTCCTCTCCCTTGTCACTGTCATTTTCATCATTAAGATAATGTTCAAATAGCTGCTTGTCAAGCTCATTATATGCACTGTCATCACTGTCATTAGAATCCTCATTGTCACTGGAATCGGATTGTTCAGAATCAACTTTGTTAGATGCTTCAGGCTCATCAATTTCAGATGAGTTACTATTTTCATCATCATCACTTGCCACCAACCCTTCATCAGTACTGCTTTTACTGTCATCTCCGCTAACATGTTCTGTTTCATCTAATTCATCATCCTCTCTTCCATTACTAATATCACTTTCTTCTCCATCAAGATTATCACTGTCATTATCCTCATTCTCATTAGCCTCACTTTCATCTGCTTCACTATCGCTGTCATCAGCTCCACTGTTCTGACTGCTTGAATGGCCTGTTGTTTCTAGATTTTTTAGAGGCACATCTATAAGGAGTTGCAGTTCTGTAGGATTCGTGTCCATACGGCACATCAATTCTGTTGTCAAGTTCACCAAACTGCAGGTGGAATTGGCTTCATCTGTTGCCAAGAATTCCTCCTCATTGGCAGCCAATTGATGACAGATCTGCAGAGGAACACAAATTTCAACAAAGAAAAAACGTTATGGTGAAGAAACAGAGACTTCAACTGAAAGTGGCCAGGATGAGAGGATCATCATGTTTCACTTGACAACTGTAGTTGAATATAGAGTTAATTTTGCAGACGCATGTCAATGAGAGATGGCAAAATAGTTGTAGGAGGCAATAGACAAAACAAAATTTCTGTAAAACTAGAACCTTACGGCTATATAATCCAGGATTTAAATCTCTCATTAAAAATGTATTAGCATTTTTACTTGTAAATTATCTGTACATCCTCTCCACACCTTCCTTCATACATCCTCTCCACACCTTCCTTCATACATCCTGTCCACATCTCCCTTCACACATCCTCTCCACATCTTCCTTCATACATCATCTCCACATCTTCCTTTACATACCATCTCCACATCTTCCTTCATACATCCTCACTACATTATCCCTCACACATCCTGATGTACCATACATATCTGCTGTAACTGATAGCTGGTCCTGCAATGTTATCACTCAACTTTAAGTATATTATACATGATTCACTAGCGTGAAACAATTTTACCATCAAAATTAGTGCCACAATATATGGATCCTGAACAGATATTGAGGTAACTCACTGTCTTCTTATGCTAAAATCTAGCAATTAATAGTCCATATTATGAGAAGGATGGTAGGTAAAGGATGGTAGGCAAATGCAGGAGTGGTATATTTGCACTAAAGATAGTTTCTGCCACACATGAGTTGTGCTCATGCCATAAAGGAGTGATAATATTATCATCAGTTAACGAATTCCTTTTGCATTATGAATAATTGTTCTTAATATAAAATAAAGTAAATTTTTGAGTATATAGCAAGCAATTAATATCCCAGATCCAACAGTGTCACCAATGAACAACAGAGAAATACTTTATTGGGAAAATGATTCAAGCAGTTATGGGCAAAGCTCTTCAAGACATTCAGAACAAAACAATTGAATAAAAACAAATTAAAATACTCTTAGAGAATTTGCTTCCATTCACAACCAATGATTCTAGTAAAAAGAGTTAGGAGGCACAAAAATTCAACAGCTTAACTTAGATAAGCAAGAATAATTTCCCAGTGCAAGTTGAGTGAACCAGGACTAGACAATTTGGTTCAGTACACATAATCCAGAAATTTATCAACCACCTAACCTGGTCATAGTCCATGCCATCTGTGTAGAGCTGCAACAGAGCCAGCTTTGGTTTGGATAATTTGAATAACTTCTCATCATCTCTGATTTTTCTGTGAATTTGTTGACATAATTTGAGGTGAGGGCCAATTTTCTCTTGGCAGTCCCTGGAATAGAGCAGAAATAAGAACATCACATGTTAAGTTTTCATCTACATTGTACAACTGCACAGCCACAAATCAAACATGCTTACTACTTACTAGTGCATCAAAATACAAAACCCATATATTACATACTCAATTGATTTTTTAATTTTTCTATCTGAGCAATTTGAAACAAAAATAGTAGGTATAAATAACATCTATAAAAAATATTAATCAAACTGCAATTCTTATGATTTGCATGAATAAAAAATAGAGAGAAATGTTAATTCTTTGAAATAATTTATAACACTCAGGCCTTAGGAGATCCATGTAATAACTTACCCAACAAAATCTTCAATATTTGTAAAATATTGTTCTAACTCTTGTGAGCTCATTTTAATTGATTATTAAATTCAATTTATGTTACAAAATTAAAACAAGCTTTCATTAACAGATATTTCCTTTCTGTTGATAGAAGTGTCAAAAAGGATTTAGAGAGCAGGTGAATAAAATTATGGAAATATGAATATGTTAGTGTTTTATTTACATGAAATTTCCTAAAGGATTACATCATAAACTCTAATTTACAAAGACTTCCTTGTTTATAATGAAATGCGTTGAAGCATTTATAGATAGCATTGATCTGCTTCAATTGGATATTCACTAAGAATTACCTATGGTATAAAGCAAGTAAAATGTCAAGAAAATTCATTATATCTTCCTTCTCAGCAGTTTGTTTTCAACCTGCACTAATGTGGAATACTTTTCTGAAAATAGCAAGTGAAAATGATAGTTACACAGGTGATTTTGAGAAATCATGGGTAAGAATGAGCAATTTTTTAAATTTTAACAATAGAAATTATTAGTCAAGGGTAATAGGAATGGTAAAATTGTAAGCATGAATGGGTGGCTTCTGCCTGATTTTTCAGTTTGAAATAGGCAATCATCTGAAGCAAGTGTGCATTTGTGTGCAATTGCACAGCAATTCATGTTTATCATACTATTTATGGTGCACAAGGAATTTTTTCCTAAATATACTTTGGCACATTATGCTGATTAATAAAATGACACCATATAATCCCTTGCTAATGGCACATCACTCTAAAATGGATAAAGGAGAGACCTTTCCAGACTATCACTTGCATAGACAATGTGGGAGAAATGCAATATCATATGGATTTGCATGCCTGTTAATGAACTCTGCAGGTGGCATAGGCTGCAAAAAATTCTGCATGATGCATACCGTCAACCGGGGCTACTCGGGACAATTTCAAACATTTTTCATTCATAACTTCTTACTATGAAACCTTTCATAAACAAATTTAGGCTCATTTCAAAGCTCTTTGCAAGGGCTTTCACATGGCTTCTGCAAAAAATTTCCATATGCTATTCATAAGGTGCCAGAAGCAAAAAAAGAGTGTCCCGAGTAGCCCCGTTGATCGGGGCTACTCTGGACACTTGGAATAAAACTTCATTTTAGAACATTTGAAGCATGCAGAGTGTACTCATCCATTACTAACAGTGCTCTGAAGTCCTAAAATTTCATTGTAGATGATGTAGAGGTAGAATAAATGACATTTTCAGTGATTTTTACTTGTTTTTCCTTTATTGATATGATATTACCATATACATTAATTACTGTATTATTGATGCGATATTACCGTATTATTGATGCAATATATATATAGTCAGATGGGGTAAGACAGGACCAAAATCACTAACAAGCCTGTAGCATCTTTACCATGAATAACTAAAAAACCCTAAACCTATCACAAGGAGTAGTTATGCAATTGGCTTCTAAGTTACAACTCAGACGTTTTGCATCTAACATAGGTAGTTTTCTGTACAGATTAAAAAAAGTGAGCTGGTCCCATCTTACCCCATTGGGGTAAGATGGGACCAGGCTGGGGTAAGAAAGAACCAACTGGTAATTCTTATGTTACAAGGTTTTTAATAAAAGTACAAAGCCAAAATTCAATATTATCCATCTAGAAACACATTATTTGATTAAACAACCACTTGTTACTGTTTTGTGTTGTGGGAATTGAACTCAGTCACATTAAAGTTTTTGTCATGAGCAAGCTTTGTTAAGCATAGTAATAGTGGGTTGGCTTTGGATCATTGTAGAGCACTGCTAAATGCTTCATGTATATTCCATTAGTGTCATTGTCTGAAAAATTTTCAAGTGAAATTTTTTCGCTGAGCGAGGTAAATGTAATCAATATTCTTTGTTTTCAATCAATTTTTTTCTTAACTGGAGCCTTTGCTAACTGAGGTTCTACTGTAAATGCGTTTTTGAGGGTGTCCCGAATAGCCCCGGGGGGTGTCCAGAGTAGCCCCGCCGTGCGGAAATGGCCGCCATTTTTTTATTGAGGTATGTAAATTCCACAAATAAAATTTTCATGCTGACACTTGTCTGCCACTTTTTTCTAAGCGAAATTTTTTATTACAGCAAATATTTTTATTTACTACAGGCCTTAGCAGAAGTTTTAAAAATATTATTTTTCACCATTTTTTCAGGAATTTTTCAAAGCTAGTAAATGTAGTATTTTAGTATTTTTGAACTTCCTTTATAGTACTACATAGATAGAAAAAATGTAGACATTTATGCCACTATATTTAGTTTTGCAATATTCCAATTAATTTTGCTACTAAAACAGTTTTACTCTGTGTCCGAGGACTGTCCTGAGTTACTCCGCCCGTCCCAAGTGGCCCCGGTTGATGGTATATTAATTAATGAATTAAAATTAAATTCCACAATGCAATCCAGAAAAAAATCCATGTGAAGCTCAGAGCACAAACCTATGAAGTTGCATCAGCCTAATGACAGATTTGCAAAAACAATACAAACAATTTGCAAAACAATAGTTACAAATCAGAAACAGTGAACTTTGTGAATCAGTAATAATAACAAATTTTTCATCCAAAAGAAGGTTATTTTGGGCCCAAGTGAGAGCCTCCTGTATAGCAAATAGTTCTGATTCCAGTACCTACTTGTAATTCTGGGCGGAGCTTCCAGTTGAGAGAAACTCCCCTGGATGGGACCACCACAGCAGCAGATGTGGAGCATGTGGGTTCTTCTACTTCTGACCCATCTGTGTAGGCAGCCACACAGTTTGCATACTTATTTTGGGAAAGATCATGAAACATTTGCGTGATGGCAGCAGGTGAGAGGGATGACTTTGGGATGCTGTTAAAATTAGTAAAAATATAATTGTCAACATTGAACCATGGAGGCAGAGGTGAAATCAAGGGGGATGCAATGAAGCATGGACAAGGGAGGCCAATGCTGCTGAATATTGCCCTGGTATGGGGAACAAAGGAGCAGGGCACATTTTCTGGACAGAAGTGCATGGCAAGGATGAGCTCGTTGGTGGCTGGGCACTTAGGGAGCTGCTGTAGCCTGGAATAATGTCTGCACATTAATTGATCTCTATGGATTTTAAGGGGGGAATATCTGTTTCAATTTCTAAGGTAGTGATTGGAGTAGTTTTTCTACAGCTTGTAGCGATTCTGAGGCTACTGTTTTGGAGCACATTCAGTTTGGATAGGTGCGATTGCGCTGCTGATGCATAGAATGGAGATGCGTAATCAAGCTTGCTACAGAGTAAGACCTTGTAGAGCTTTATAAGTGTCTAACGATCAGCACCCCAATGCCTGTGGGATATGGATTTCAGAAGATGGAGTACTGGCAAGCATGAAGTTTTCAGCATCTCTATGTGAGGCCTCCATCTGAGGCAAGGCGCATCCAGCACAACACCAAGGTACCTGTGTTGCTGAACAAATTCTAGATTGCGTCCATTGGCTTGGATGGGAAGAGTGCAAACTTTTTTGGTGGTGAAGCACATAATTTTGGTTTTTTCTTGATTTAATTTCAAGCCCCATCTGAGTTATAATTTAGTTGTTAATTATCTCCTTGTTGTATTAATTTGGCAAACTCGTGCGTGCGCAGATGGTAAAAAGTAGCCATAATTTGCTAAATAATATCGAAGGGAACTACTTCGAAGTTTGAATAATATCGAAAAAAACTACCCTTCATTTTATTAGGTCAAGATTGGTTTCCATTTAAAAAAAAGTATACGTGGAACCATAGTGGCAAACCAGAGCTTTTTTAGAATCACTGAATCAGTTCATTTTTAATTCCCTCACGAGCTCAAGATTTCAACCAATTTCTTAAGTATGGTAATGCTGGTATCCATGATACTTTACTGGTCAACTTATAGGACTCAAAAATGAACTTGAGGGAGAGTCTAAAAAACTTTCTGCTTTGTCACTATGCGTGGAACATTTTCAGTGAAAATTCGTCTCAGAACTGACCGAATCGACACTTCAGCGAACTCGCCTGCAAGCTCGAATGCAAAACCTAACTTCATTTTCAACTCTGGCACTCATAAATCCGTCAATTATGAACGGATTTCATTCAAATTTGAAATATAAGTCGATTTGGTCTACAAAAATTCACCAGAATTTCCTCTACATCGCCTTTCGAAGTTCTTCAAACAAACCTTAAGTCAAGGGTATAACTGATAAAATTAATAAACGAGAGAATTATGAACAAATAAAAATTAGGAAGGAAAAAAACACTTGAATTGCTTAATGAGTTTTTAATTTAAATAGCAATGTGTTGTTGCCATGACTATTTAGATTGATTGACACATTATTTTGTTGCAGAATGGCAGCCAATAATCAATATACATAGGAGATAAAATGTATGTTTTGAAAGCAAAAATATTAATGTAAATGTAAGGCTTTCAACCCTTTTAACGCGTGCGAAATTCTTTTAAGTGTTGTCTACCTTATTGTCCTTTGTTTATAGTCCGTTACATCTATAGTCCACGACTGGCGCCTAATTAATTCGCGTAAATTGTAACAGTTTTGAAGTGTGTTGACTGCTAGGTGCTGTTCTTACTCCGATCTCCAGTTTCTCCTCGAGTGGATTAATGATAAGTGATAACTGACTAAGCTAGTCGTCATTTTATGAGCATAGTAACTTTACTAACTTAGTAAGTAATATTTATTCGTGAATCGTGATCATTCCTAAATAGGTAGTTGCATCCAGTAGCTAATCTACTTTCATATCTCCTGTAAATGGCTCCATTGCGTAAGTCTCATAGCAGTTCTACTTCTCCCTTTCTTGGCTATAGCTCAAGTCAGGAAAAGATCTACTCTGTGAGCCGCGACTGGATTTTTTGAGCCGCGAAATAATGAATTTTCAAGCCGTAAGTCTATTTCTCAAGCCGTGGAAAGCCATTCTTGAACCGCGAAGTTGCGAACTCTTGGCGGCGATGGCACGCGCGCAGCGCCGCCAGCGCGCGATCACGATTCACGAATAAGCTCAAATTTTGCCCTAGAAACAGCAGTTAAACATTATTCCCTTAATTTCCTTAATTCACAT